CCGTCCTGCCCCTTGGTTCTCCTATCTCATGTCCTTCTCCTCACTCTCTCCACTCCAGCCACACTCGCCTTCTTGGAGTCCTCTAACTCGGGGGCTGGCAAGCTTTTTCTGTAAAAGGCCAGGTAGTCAATATTTATTTTGAGCTTTGGGAGCCATACAGATCCTTGTTGCGACAACTCAACAAATGCAGCCATAGACAGTGGCTGTGTTCCCATAAAATTTTATTCACAAAAACAGGCTGCAGGCCGCAGTTTGCCAACCCCTGCTCCAACTCATCAGAAACATGTCCGTTTCCACTCCTCCACACCTGTTGCTCAGATATACACGTGGCACTTCCCCTCACCTCCTTCAGGTCTTCGCTCAATGCCACTGTCTCGGGGGGCCCTGCCCAGGCACTAGCACGGCCACGCTCCCCGTCCCCTTTCAGTCATTGCCTGTGTCTCCCCAACTCCCACTGCTTAAAATGTAAACTCTACAAGGGCAGAGAATTTCCGTTTTCCTACTTCTGCCTTGTATTCTTAGCTGCCTTACACATAGCAAGCCCTCAATAAATGTTGCATAGATGAACCAGGTTTACTACGAAATTTAGGAAAAGGTACATCACCTCTAATCAACCCTAACATAGGACAGTTTCACAGTACCTAGAAAGTCCCTGGTCACTGGATTATGTCACAATCGATGATGTCATCCTTGGGGAAATTCTCAACTTGACCTCTGATTTAAGCCTCTCAGGCCTCGAGGCCAGTGGGATCAAGGAACTTCCTGAGAGCAAGATGGCTCTCGATAGCACGTGGGCTCCTCAGGCAGCAGTCATGGGGGACGGGCCTGACAAGAGAAAGGGCGAACAGGCGCCGGTGAACACGCAGGTCCTGCAGACCGCCTTCCTGAAGGACGGCCCCGCAAAGCGCGCCGTGTGGGTCCACCGCGCCTGTTCAGAACCAGAAGAACCTGCCAAATCAGCAGAGGCCAAAGAGAAGCCCAAGGTAAAGACGACCAAGGCTGTGGTTGTGGACCTTGGCACTGGCTACTGTAAATGTGGCTTTGCTGGGCTGCCAAAACCCAGCCACAAGATCTCTTCAACAGTGGGCAAGCCCTACCTGGAGACCGCGGAAACGGGGCACAACCACGGGCAGACATTCGTCGGGCAGGGGCTCATCGGTCCGGAGGTTCGTCTCAAGCTCATCAGTCCTCTGCGGCGCGGCATCATCGTGGACTGGGATTCAGTGCAGGCGATCTGGGAGTATCTCTTCCATCAAGAGATGAAGATCGCCCCAGAGGACCATGCGGTCCTGGTTTCAGACCCACCCCTGAGCCCGCCCACCAACAGAGAGAAGTACGCTGAGATGCTGTTTGAGACCTTCCGCACGCCTGCAATGCACATCGCCTACCAGTCCCGCCTGTCCATGTACTCCTATGGCAGGACCTCCGGCCTGGTCGTGGAGGTCGGCCACGGCGTGTCCTACGTGGTCCCCATCTACGAAGGTTATCCTTTGCCCAGCATCACGGCACGGCTGGACTACGCGGGCTCTGACCTGACAACCTACTTGATGGGCCTGATGAACAATTCGGGAAAACACTTCACTGAAAACCAGACGGGCATCGTGGAGGACATCAAGAAGACTCGTTGTTTTGTGGCCCTGGACCCCATCGAAGAGAAGAAAGTCCCAGCTACTGCCCATACTGTCCAGTACACTCTGCCGGACGGGCAGGAGATAAACCTGGGCCAGGAGAGGTTCCTCTGCTCGGAGATGTTCTTCAAGCCGTCTCTGATCAAGTCCATGCAGCTGGGTCTCCACACCCAGACGGTGTCCTGCCTCAACAAGTGTGATATCGCCCTCAAACGGGACCTCATGGGGAACATCCTGCTTTGTGGGGGGAGCACTATGCTCAGTGGGCTCCCTAACCGTCTGCAGAAGGAGCTGAGCAGCTTGTGTCCCAGTGACAACCCCCAGGTAAATGTGTTGCCTGAAAGAGACACTGCAGTGTGGACGGGTGGCTCCATCCTGGCATCGCTGCAGGGCTTCCAAGCACTGTGGGTCCACCGCTTTGAGTACGAGGAACACGGGCCTTTCTTCCTCTACAGAAGGTGCTTCTGAACTCTGGTGAAGCATGGTCATGTGGCTGTCCCGTGCCCGCTCTGCTGGGTGAGCAGCCACCCCGCACACAGGGAGCTGAGCCAACACGTTCATTCGGGCAGTATTAAACAATCTGTTCCCCTCCATCATGTGTTTCTCTACTCCATGACTTAATGAGAACATACACGCAGTTCTGCCTTAAAATAATCATTTGCTAACACAGAAGTGGAGAGGGGGAAGGGGGGAGTGAATGACAGAACAAAAAGACATGCTTCCAATGTCAACTGCTTAAATGTTCTTGGGAAAAACTAGCTCTAAAATTATGTTGCCCTTTATTTTGTGCATTTCCCCCTTTAGAAACTACTGTATTGGTAAAATCTGCTTGGAAGGGGGAGCGTGAACGAAAGATTACATGCCGTTGATGGCACACCAATAGGAAGTATACTGTCATGGTTCCATCTCCCACAAAGCACCTCAATTCCAGTGTCTGGCCTCCCAGAGGGGATCACCAGTGTTGTTAGGATTACCTTGTAGACTTCTCTCTTACAAGGAGCCCAGAAGTCTTACTATGGTCTCGAGTTCCCTGTACCCCGCCCCCACCTCTCCAAAGGCACACAATCAATCGCTTGCAAGAGACCTGCTGCATCCCTACCATCCCAGGGAAGAAAGCCCTACAGACTCATGCTCGCCATCCCCCTCCGCTCCCCCCATCCCCCGCCCCGGTTTGCCTAGACAGCCTGAAAGACCTACATGGCAGACCCTGGATCCAGGCCTGGTGAGTAAGCACAGCTGGTTGGCACCAGCAGGCTGGAGGAGGGAAGTGGAGGTAACCACAAACAGGTACCCGGAGTTCCTGCAGTTCAGCAAGGATGACTTGGCCTGACCTTGGAGCAAGAGACCAGCTAGGAACTGGGTACACTGACACTGAGAAAGAGGTATGCACTGTTCATCTCAGTTTCTGCCCAAACCACTTAAATGTCAATACTCTGAACAGTCAATGACAGGTGGGTTGAAATTTGGTTAATTCTTAACCTTTGAACCTCTTTGACAGGATAATAAAGTCCAGGATTAGAGGAAAGCAATCATACAGAAATAGTATCTTTAGATCCCTTAAAGGTTTAGAACCCAAGTGAAAAACTCCCCTAAAAGTGAGGGTCTTGATGAAGGGGAGGCATGGGAGGTGGCTCTGGAAAGGAAGATCCAGGCCATCCTATGTCTAAATATCCTACTATATTTTAAAATGAAAAATACCAGCACTGACCAGCATGGCTCAGTTGTCCCACAAAGCAAAAGGTCACCAGTTCGATTCCTGGTCAGGGCACATGCCAGCGTTGCGGGCGTGCTCCCTGGTTGGGGTGCGTGAGAAAGGCAACAGATCAATGTTTCTCTTACACATTGATGTTTCTCTCCCTCTCTTCCTACCTTCCCCTCTCTAAAATAAAAAAAAAAAATCTTTAAAATAAAATGAAAACATACCAATATAAGGCTAAAGAACTGCAGAGTCTTTTTCAAAGCTCTTTTATAAATTTCCTCACTATACCCTTATAGAAAAACAGAATCCTCTCACAAAAAAGTGAGTACTTTTAAGTATTTGGAAGTCATCTTAGGCCTCACTGGCAATGTCTGAAGATATTTTTGGTTGTCATAACAGGAGTGGGGGGTATGTAATACTGGCATCTAGAGAGCAGAGGCCAGGATGTGGCTGCACACCCTAAAATGGGCAGGACAGCCCCCATAACAAAGAATGACATGACCCAAAGTATCAAAAGTGCCAAGGCTGAAAAACCCAATGGGCACACAAGTTGTGGCAAAGCAAGACTCGCTGAGATTAAATGATTGTGTCTAAGGACACTAAAATGGAGAGACTCATGGCTTTGTTCTTTCCTGCAAGCCAGGACAACATCTTTTAGTCATTCTGGAACTTGGGTCAAGTTCCTGAGACTTCAGAGCCCATACGAGTAATGATGGAGTGGCCTACCACGAGGCACAGGCAAGCACTGGGTGAGCAGAGGGAACACAGGAATCCAGCGCAGGCCTTCAGTGCTGCCAAACAGCACAGTATTAGCTCTGGCTGGTCCATGGAATCTTGGATATTTGTGATTATCTAGCTTCTAAGATGTTCATGTTCCCCCCAGTTACTAATAAACACAACAGACAAGGAAGGACAACCAAAGACTCCCAGGGACTTGTCAGGAAGTGCTTCTAGTGAAGCACAGAGGTTTATGGGCCAGCACAGCCCAGGGGGTGGGGGGAGGGTGGAGCTAATTTTGCTTCCCAAACTTGTAGTTTCCTTAGGTGTTACGAAAAATCAGCAGTTTTATTTATTTTTAAAAACACCTTCTTCAGTTATGGCCATGAAAAATCCCTCAAGTGTATGCATACGTATATATATGTATATACAGGGAAAATGTTGAAAAATATTGTATGTAGCAGTGCTAAGAAATGACACCAAGCTATACTCCCAAAGACATGATGAAAACATTAGTTTCTGCCTTTTTTTTTTTTCCCAAGGAGTGTAAATTTAAAATGCACTTCGATCCTGGGAGACAGTCCTCTTGGAAGTTACCTCTTAATGTCCGGAGCATCTGAGCAATGCTAACCCAAAGGAGCCAACAAAATAACGAAGGCTTTTAGCTTACTGCATCATGAGCTTACTTTGGGACAGAGTCCAAATGTGGGGGAAGTTATATACTCTTTTCTAGAACTTGACAGAATCTTTCCCCCCAATGAAGCATTTATCACTCCCAGGAGTTTCTCTTTTTCCCATTACTGCATTTTTCACCATGAATTCTTCCTGGACTTCGCCTTCAATTTGGAAGGTCTGCTCCTGTCTGCTCCTTCTCCAAATGAACAAAATTCCATCTTGCTCTCATCAGAAAGGTAGCAATTGACAGTCATTTGAACTCAAAAAATTCACACACACTCTTGTTGCTTCTACATGTTATTTTAAGGAAACTGATCATCCATGAAGTCACACTATGATCAACAGACACATTTCCTTGTATTTCCTATTCTTCAGGTCCCTTCACTACAACTTACCGGATGCAATATCAGTCACCATGTTCATTTACCCATGCCCAAGGGGGTCAAAAGCACTTCCAGTCTTTCAGTGTTGGGCACTTCATTGCGGCAAATCCATATGGGGATGAGTCAAAAAGTCAATTTTTCCAAAGCAGAATATATCTATCTTCTTTTTTTCTATTATTTTATGAAAATCTTCAGACACATAAAAGTTGAATTATACAGTGAACACACCTAGATTCTACAGCTAACATTTTGCTACATGAAGAAAAGTCTTCATTACCATTCCAGATATAGCTATACTCTGAGAATCAAAAGCAGCATTTCCTATTAGTTTATATATAGTAATGAAGGTCTGGTTCTGGTATTAAAGGCATGGAAGAAATTTTCACCCTTACCTAAGAATCGGCCACAAAACTACTGTCAAAATGGAAAGAGCTTGTTCTAGACAGACCAGAATGAGAAAACACTCTCATTTCTTTCAAAGGAAATAACTAAAAGACAGAGGTCAGCTAAGTACCATATAGAAAAATAAATGAAATGGTCTCTAGACACTGACAAAAATATCACATTAAAAGAAGCAATAATTGGAGAAAAAGGAGCGACTTACAACTGCGCATGCTGTGAGACGGACACAGCTCGCCGTAACAAATGTGCATGACGCTGCCTCAGACATTCTAATCTGCTCTGCTGACTCTCCAGCAGGAAACTCACAGGCAGGGAAAAGAAGTCCCTGTGGACGTTGTAGTAAGAGAAGGCTCAACCCAGTTATAACTGGAAGCGCACGCCCAGGTAAGACATTATAAAATAACAGCTAACGTAGAAAACCTTGAGATTGCAAAGGATGTACTTAGCTTTTTATTCTGCTTTAGTTCAAAGTGAAAAAGTCACGTGAGTGATTAAATGCGCTAAATATTAGCTGCACTAACAGCCATGTTGTTGATATGTAATGCTCTCCTCTGGGAATGTAAAGCAATTATAAAACATTATTTTACTTTTCTTCACATGTTTGAGGTAGAAGCCATGAATCATTACTCCCAAGTAACTGAGGCACAGATTAATTACGTGACTTATCTAAGGTTCCAATATGAATCTGACCTGTAACTGGGAATAAAACCACATCTCCTGATCACCATAAATATCAGAAATATGCTCTTCCATAGAACTAAATAAGAGTAATTCTTACACAATGATGCTATATTGGTTAAAGATTAAAGTTCTGCTCATTAAAACTCTATGCAAAACAAAAGAGAGTAGAATAGAATTGCTTGGTGTCTGCAGAGGTCTGCTGGACAGAGCAGGTAGGTAGGTAGGTCATCGTCTTACTCCTCCCAGTTCTCAGTTCTCAGCAGCCAGGCCCCAAGGAGTGAGGAATGGAAAGATGGTCTTCTCCGGCAGAGTCCTCCTGATTAGGATCCCTCACTCTAAAAGGCTCAGTTTCCACTGGGTCCCTTTGTTGATCTTCGGTGGTATAAAAAGCTCAGCATCTAATAAAAAGGAAAGAGACTGGGGTAGAACACGCTCGTACTTGTCGGTGGGAGCTGAGGCAGTAACTCTCATCTAAAACTAGGTGACTGGGCTCTGCACCTATAAGACAATCAGAACCAGACCTCATGTTTCTACTACCTTATAACCTGTGCCCAGGGCAAATGCAGCCTGGAGGCTCTGCCCCGGGAGAGGAATTCCATTGCAGCTTCAGGCTCACAGGACAGCAGGAGGAAAATGCGCACCGAGTGAGTCAAAGTGAAAGAATGTTCTGTTTCACATGGGTGGTGGTAGTGGTTACAGGACATATTATATTAAATCCCATCAAACTATGTAAACCTAAAATCTGTACAATTTACTATACATAAAATTTACCTCAATGGTAAGAGTAAAGAAACATGGTGGCATGTATTCAGTTAAGTAAAGGTACAGGAAAGAAAACACTTCCTGATTTGAAAAAAAAATTCTACAAATACATTTGGTCAACAAAAATGTCCCTACTGAAAAAAAATGGGGGGTGGGGGGGGTGCAGTGAGGAAAAATTGTCACTGTTAAGACAAAACTCCCAGACTCCTTTTCAGTTAGATTTGTGGAGTCTCTTATCTACATAAGAATCATATACAGGTTTATTTTTTATTTTTTTATTTTTAGAGAGAGGGGGAAGGAGGGAGAAAGAGAGGGACAGCAACTTCGATGCTCAAGAGAAACATCGATTGCTTGCCTCCTGCACACCCCCATGGGGCACCTGGCCTGCAACCCAGGTATGTGCCCTGACCAGGAATCAAACCAGCAAACTTTCAGTCCGCAGGCTGGCACTCAATCCATTGAGCCATACCAGCCAGGGAAAGAATTATATACAGCAAGTAGAGATATAAGAAAATATGTATAGTTCTGGCTGGTGTGGCTCAGTGGATTGAGTGCTGACCTGCAAAACCAATGGGTTGCTGGTTCAATTCTCAGACAAGGTACATGCCTGGGTTGCAGGCCAGGTCCCCAGTAGGGGGTGCGTGAGAGGCAACCACACATTGATGTTTCTCTCCCTCTCTTTGTCCCCCCTTAACCCTCTCTCTAAAAATAAATAAATAAAATCTCTTTTTAAAAAAGAAAGAAAATATGTATATATAAAGATGTGCTGTCTTAGCAGGATTCATGATAAACTTTCAAGAGTACACCTATATGTATGAGCTATACAGACACTAAAACTTATTTTCAAGAATATTTAACAATGTGAGAAAAATGCTCAAGAGTTTTTAAAAACATGGCTTTCATATTATACATCAATCCACGCCCGTTTACACGTATGACTAGAAATCATCAATTTCAATTTTTAATATACTTTTCTGTACAATCCAGATTTTCTCTACTAATCATATCGATTTTATAATTTCACATACAATTACTGCTCTCTAGTGGCCTGAACAAAATAAATAAATAAATAAAAAGACCACAGGAGGTTTTGCTTATTAAGAAAACTTATACTGGAAAAGATTACTTACGAAAATTCACTGTCAACAAGGCCCACAACTTTATATTTGTGATTAAACTTTGAGATTTTATCTGTTTTTTTTTTAAAAACAAGTTATGAAAATACATCCTATCTTATTAAAAAATCAGGTCTAACTATGACAATATTTGATCCCTAGACTTAACTAAGAATAAATACCAAGTATTGACTTTGAGCAGGAAAGAAGTTTTTCTGACAAACTGTGTCAGAGCAGGACATGACCCCTTTCACATGCCCATGTTTGACTCTCACAGCACGAAAAGAGTTGCTTTTACAAAAATACACCAAAGGCTTTATCAATTTTCCAAAGACTTTTCTTGATCCTTTGATAGTCAAATCATTCTCATTCGAAGCACTTATTTTGTTATCAATTGTAACCAGTCCAATTCAGCTACGATTTAAGCACTTTTCTGATAACACTTTAATCGATTTTATAAAATCCTGCATTTTTGCAAGATTTGTAAATTGATCGGCATCATATTACACGGCACTGTAAACATGAAACAATTAGGAAAAAATGCCCCATCAAGTCACTGGTCCCACGTGTGGGGAGGTATGATTGTATTTAACTACTATTGTTAGCTAGAGAGGGATAATTGATGAGTATTTTAATGGAACTCCTTTGTAAGTAGTTTACCTGTCTACTTTAGTATTGAGAACTTGTCTTTTCCTACATAATACTGTAACCACAAGGACCTTGAATAATATATATTCAGATAATGAGGAGCCTCAACATATTAAAGTTGTCAAGGCTCAGCTAGAAAACGGACGGGCTCTTTGATAAATAAAGCCACCTAGAATACTCCAGGGGAAGATGTGACTGGACTTGACCAAAAGGTCAGCATCAGGCCAGCGAGGAGGAAAATGGGACAGAAATTACTGGATTAGACACAGTACAAATTAAACAATTCCTAAACTGCCTCAGGTCTAAGATGAAATTGTAGCATCTCAGAAATAAGTATGCTTTGGGGCTGATATCAAAAGCAGCTTGCCAGGAAGCCGCTTCTTCCAGGAAGGGCAGCTAGGGATGCAGCGGTTAATGTCCAGGTCCATGAGCTTAGCTGGGAGGATGCTAGTTAGTTGTTTATTCTTGGTAGCAACATAAGTCATTCAAGTTAAACTTAATCTGAACCCTCAAAGGCTACTCCAAATGTCATCAAAATGCTATCATAGTATAGCATTTAAAGAAAAATAAATTCAAATAACATTAGTAAAAATCACCATTTTAAACATATTGCTAACTTTTCCAAGCTATGAGACTGGCATGCTTGATTAATCTACCTGAAGGGCAAATTCTCAGGTACCCAATTATTTGTCAAAAGTTTCTAGTCAACTTTCAAAAGAAAGTGTTTCAGACTTTTAACTTGGATGGATAAGTAATCTGAGATTCATCTCCCCTCAACAAACAATGTTCTTTGGATTTGCTTTCAATTTATACTGTCAATCCTAAAGATGATTAAAAAGGTCTAACTCTTAAGGATTATGAAAACATTCCCAAGATACAAATATGCAACTGCCAACAGCCAAAAACTATGATTCAGGAGAATATTTAAAATATATGTGTAAATTCGACCATTTAGATTCAAACGTCAATGTGCCCATATGCTGTTTTATTAAGCATATGTCAGGGCAATTAAAAAAAAAAATCATACACTTAATGTCATGTTGGATTCCCACTCCACCTCCAGGTTCCCAACATTAGAAGCATTAAACTGATTTTACTAAAGACGTAGTTGTAGAATTGAGGGAAAACTGTAGTCAATACTCAGTCTCACCTCATACTGCTGGACTTCTCAACACATACAGAAAGATATTCCTTCTGCTTAGTACTGTAATAATTGAGAGGGGAAAAAAATACTAACCTAGAACAGGAACTGACGTCTTCTGTTGTTGGTAAGAGGCCATGATACTATTTGCAGTAGAATTGGGACCTAGAACCTACATAGAAAGTAAACTGCGTCAGCAAGGATTATTTGTACTTCTGATCACCGAACACCAACGGCCAGATCGCCCCCGCCAGTCACCAGCCCGCCGTTTCACTGGTAAGGTGTCGAACACCGGAATTCTCTTTTCCTATGTGATTTCAATTTGCCCGTTTCTCCAGTCTCAACTCGAGACTTCTAAAATTCCTTTCTATCAGAAGAACAAGGTAATGATGAGGGTTTAAAAAAAAAAAGAAAAGAGAATCTGGGAACCTCTCCTGTATGTGAGATCTCTGACTCTCATGTATGTGGGGTTCCCATATATATGTATTCAATCTGGTTGTTTTCAAGAAAGAAAAGAGGGGAGGGGAGGGGTGGAAAATCAACACCCAATGTTAGATATGCCTTATCCTTTCCAAAAGAGCAAGCTAAACCCTAAGGGAAAAGAAAATAGTATAAGAGGCTACGGAATACACAGAGTATCAAACTGTCCTCAAAGATTTGTGGGAATTTTTATAGTTAGATAAGAAGGTATGTATCATGGAATAGAATGAAAATTCGGCCTATGCGTTCCAGGTAAAACAAGGGGCATCACAGGAATCCCAGTCCTGCACAGGCCTTGGCGTACACACACGAGGCCCTCTGCCTTCACTCGGCTCTGCAGCGTGGGGTGCTGGCAGCTCCTTGGTGGCACCCTGAGCAGCAATGTCACGTGCTCCAAGCACTTCCATGTGACTCGTGGTATCCTGTGCATGTGCATTACCACACTTTAGCAACCAAAACAAAACCCCAATATTCCTGGTCATTTTCCCTAAAAGACTCATAAAGTTAGTAGGATCTGAATAGGGGAGTGTTGGGGAGGGCATGGGGAAGCATTATAAATCACTAGCTTTGAAATCACTGGCGTTTTAAAGGTGATCACATTTCTTCTAGGAATATCTATTACAGTAAATTCAAGTATTTGTGAGGATAATGATTCTTAGTTGATTTTTATGGTGTGCAAGATGCCTTTTCATCTATCCTTTTATCTAACATTCAAAACATTTCATGAGCTGTACAGGGGAAGCACTATCTCCACTTGTAACTGCGGAGTCGAGGCCAGTACACCGGTGCGCTGACGACCAGCCTCTCTTTGATCTCCAAGCCCACCTTCCATGTGCTGCCCGCAATGCTGGGCTGGGAGCCTGCAAAAACACTCCTTTGTCAGCCAGCTCCACACCAGAGGGAGAGTTCAGGGCTGGAGGGAGAAGGATCTGCTCCTTCATTCGCTTCCTTCCATTCAGTGGCACTGCCAGGTCTTTATGCCGCCAGCAGCTGTTCATCCCAGCGCCTGTTTACATCTACCCACTGAGAACCAGCCTCACTGTGCCCCTGAGAAGCACCAGCACCAGCACCGGCCGGCCGGTGGTACCCTCCTCTCTGAGGATCAAGACCCAACACGGGAGGGTCCCGTCTGCAAACTTCTGAAGTCTAATAATCCCAAACGCTTCCTTTTGTTCTTTCTGTGGCTTCTCACAGTTTCTATCTCAGTTTTCCTCCTCTAAGGGGTCCCTTTTTTGTCTTTCAGTCCCCCGGCTCTTGTCTAAGCAGTTCCATATATCTAATTCACTCTGATAAAAGAGTAGCTGTGGGGTTTGCTTTCTTTATCAGACACCGCGTTTCTGTATCCAAATCAAAACTCTTCATAGGCTTGAGTTGTGAGAGGCTGAGAAGAGGCATAACCACAAAATAGATGATAATACATTATAATTTTTGATGAGACACAAACAGCCTTAAACGTAATTAGCAAGGCTTGTCATAACAACACAGAAGCAACGAGTCAAATTTGGCATAAAACAAAAAGAAGAGCAGTGGTCTGGGGTTGCTTTAAAGAACTCTGCCGCCACCTGTAAGTCTGAACACCTCCCTCTTCCCACCCCAGTCCCACCGAAGGCCACGGACAGCCACGTGACTTTCCCATCTTCTCCATGACAGCTGTTCATGCAGAGAGGAGAAATCAAAGCAAACGTAATCAGGGCCAAGGTGTAAGTGTTACTGTACAGTCAACTAAAAAATCTTAATAACAGCTTAAACATAAGCCTCAGATAATTTAACTATGGCATATTATGTTTTAAGAACAGGAAAGTCTTCTGCTTTGACTTTTAAGAGATTGTGTGAGTGTCCACAACCCTTGAAATGATGAAAAAAAAAATGCACATTCTGTCTTTGAGGAGCACTTACAGGTGTAGCTGTGTTCTGCTGGTGGCCGAGAGTCCAGATTTCTGGAAGGGACCTTTCCATTAGCTGCAGAGTATCTCCGAAGGCCTTCTGTAGTTCCCTCCCTTGCTCATCAAACTCAAAGAGGAAGAGCACCTTTAAAATACAGCGTATTTCATCTAGAGAACAGAGATGTGAAGGGGTGTTAAGGTGTGTCCCCAGCTCCAAGCTAGAATCATAATACAGTTCCTTTCTTGTAGAAAAACATGTAGTATCACACGACAGTTGCCGCCTCCCGCATTTTTTTTATTTCTTCCCCAATGGTGGAGTAATTCAACACATCTACTACAAAAGGAGAAACACACCCTCGCAAAAGGCAAACCACAGCCACCGAGGCCCCAAGCAGGAGGCAGCGTCTCTGCAATCCTTGACCCTACCTTCAGCGCCAAGCTCTCCCAGCTCAGGTATGTACCTGACGCCAATGGGAGAAGGCTTCTAGGCTACTGGCCAAGGAGGGCTGAGTCAGGAATGTGCCCTAAAATGACCCTTCCTGCCGACAGTTTTCGTCTTTCCTCAAGCTGGGAAAATTGCATCTTCGCTGTGTACTGAATTCTGTCTGCCTGTGCAGACCATTCACTCACTACCTGTCTGTGGGCAGGAATCGTCGGTGAGTATCGAGCAAATACCTTTCAATTTTTCCATGCCCTGAACCACTTCACTCAAAGCCTCCAAAAGCGCCAGCTCCTCCAGGGGGCTCCCTTCTTTGAGGCTGTGCTTCTTGCGCTCTGCTTTGCGGCGATTCTTAGATGATCGCCTGGTAGGAATTAGAGAGATGTTTCAAAAGGGCTCTCCCTGTGCTGAACATATTAAAATGAATGTACCTGTTGGCCACCAACTTTCTGAGAAAGCTGGTGTCTACAGACAGATCTGTACTTGGGAGAAAATGGTGATGAGGTGTTAAAGTGACACAAAAAATAAAAAGGGAGAGGCCAGTCTTACAGGCAGGAAAAAGGAAAACCCTAAAAAAGTAATGTCTGGCCTTGATGTTTTAATTGAAATACAGAGTAAATAAGGTTACATCTGACAATAAGAGCTGGAACAATGAACAGAACAACATCGAACTTGAGTTTTATAATAGAAAACAAAGGCAAGAAAATAAAACTTAAATAAGATACAGATACACTAGACTGGAATTTGAATATTAATAAAGTATATATGACTCCCATATTCTTTCCTGCCTCAGGTTTTTAATATGCCATTTGTTTAGTCTGGGACTCCCACTCCCATGCCCCAACTCTTAAAAGCCCAGTTGCTAGTTGCCTTTCTTGCAGTTTCTGATCGCCTCCCACATCCTCAAGACCCATTCAATTTAAATACACAATCTTGCATTGTTTGGTCTCCCAAGTAAGGCAATAGCTCTGATAACCCGTATCTCCTTAAAAGTTTTTTATAACCTCCTCTACAACTATCATAGAGGCGGTCAATAAATGCTACAAATTGCTACACTGAGTAAAAGTGTGACGACTTACATTTGTGACGTCTCCAGCCCTGCGTTTGAACTGAAGAAGCCTGAAACCTTTCCTTTTTCCAGTGCCCACCCATTACAGTCACTTACTACGCATTAAATGAACACCATCAGATGCTTTATAAACTGGGTACCAGGCAGGAGGTCCTTGTGGGCACTGGGTAAGCCCAGAGGCCATGTAGCTGCAGCAGAACACATCTGGACAGCAAGTCTAATCTATTAGGGATGCGGGGAGAGTCCTGTTCTCCAGCTCCTGCTACAATGTCCTGATGGAAAACTGACCCATGTACTTGTAATTTCTCCACGTCCCCCGCGCAAGGTCGCTGTGCAGGGTAAACAGGGTACATACGCCGATATCCTGGAGTTGCTGTGGGAGTATCTGCCACTCATGTCACTGCCACTCACGACACTGCTGGCTTCAGAGAAGAGGTCAGCCTCTTGACCACGGGCCGCCTCATCATCTAGGAAAAAGTAGATGCAGATGAAAACTCCCTGCTAGTGTGGGTTAACCTATAGTGGGGTACGTGGGGTATAGTTAACGAGGGCGTATTGAAGGGTGATATTTATTACAAAGTTGAAATTTATTACAAAGTTGATCTCAAAATGAAGTAATACTAGTTATTATTACTATATACCAGCACACCAGTACCAAACCTGTTTAGTCTTTTCTTTCTTTTTATTAAAGCAAAAGAACTTTTAGAAATGGGAGACTAATTTGGTAAAACACAGTAGTTAACCACTCTGGTGGGGTGAGCCGGGGGGAAGGTTTGGCAGAGTTCTTCCCATCCGTGCTTGGTCCTGCTCCCAAGCCCTCCGGACACACACGGACAGACAGACATTCACAGCCCCCGCGGGCTTTCACGGAGGCCGGGGGCTTCCCGTGACACAGGACTCACACTGCAGCAGGCACAGTGAGCAGCTAAGACAAAGTGTGAAGCTGTCGCCCGCCCCAGCGCCGATGGCTCCCCTGTGACACTCACCCAGATGCACACGCTGCTGTGCTTGCTCCTTCAGCTCCCGAACTACCAATAAACGTTTTTTATGACGACTGAATGTGGTTGTCTGAGAGTCCAGAAGTGCCATGTAATTTTTCTGGGCTGGGGGTGCAGATGGAAAATAATTTCAGCGTGATGTTTACACACAGGGAGAAAACTAGAGTGGGAGGGGGAGGGGTTGGAATTTAACAAAAAGAAACAGGTTACTAGGTTTTCCACGCAATATTTTTTCTTAATGAGTATTAACCTACATGTTTTAGGAGAATGAACTAGAGACAGATTCCAGATCTTAGAGCTCATCAATGTCATCCTAGAATACTCTGCCACAAAATGTACAAAATCACCTGAACAAAGGCTTGATACCTAACCCAAAGCAGGACTGGCAAATAAAAGGAATGCACAAGAAGCTGTGAACAAAAAAAAGAGCAGAAGGTCACTGAAATGCTTCCTAAACATATGTGTTAGGCCTATCTATGCAGGTGAACTGTTAGCATTTTTCTAGGTTCTCAGCAGCGGAGACAATTTAAGGAAGAACTGGCTAACAGAGTGCTGTTGGGCCAGGAAGGATGCTTTCAGTACCCAGTTAGGGGCACCTAAAGTGAATGATACAGAAAGAACCCTCCCACAGTTTTAATCAGCATGGGGGAGGATGGAGCAGGCAGGGTACGAATGTGAATACATGTTCATTTCAGGGAGGCCAGACATGACTTACACAGCAGACTGTGCTAACAATGGCAGAGCTGGAAATCACCCCCCAACTCCCCAAAATTTCTAGAAGTCAAACTGATGCCCTTCTTTTCAGCTTTGCTTATAAGGGGTCACAGTGACCACCAGAGTATTCTAGAACTGGTAACACTCATTTATTCTCTAGGAGCCATCAACTTCATTTGCAAAGGTACTTCTTTTCATTTATTTTGGAAAAATTTCAAGCCTACATAGAAGTTGCAATAGTTCATTGTACATACATAAACCCTACACAGAATTTAGACTTACCAATTCTTAACATTTTGCCATATTTTTGGCTTCCCGTTTCTTCTCTCTTATTTTTGTGGAAACTTTTGAGAATAGGTTTCAGATATGATCCCTCCTTAATACTTCAGCATCTCTTTCTTAAGACTAAGGATGTTATCTATTATTTTAACCACAATGTAATTATTAAATGTAGGAAACTGTGCACCGATAAAACACTATTTATTCCTTTCAAGTTAATCAACTATTCCCAAATACAAAGATTCTTAATTGTATCTTATCACAGCTTTTTAACCTTCAAATATTTTTTTGTGCTCTCACTTAACTGGTTAGCATATTAAAAACGCTGGTCAGAATCAAGTGTTACACCAGTGGGGAACTCTGACTGACTCCACACGACACATGAGTAAAGGAACTAACAACACAGGGAGAGCGCTCCCATTTCTCTCCCCTCCCCATCTTTGTACCTCCAAATGAGAAATTCTTTTAAATGTAACCTTCCCCGCCCTGGCTGGCGTAGCTCAGCTGGCAGAAGCAGCGGCCCATAGACCGGAAGGTCATGGGTTCAACTGCCAGTCAGGACCATACCTAGGTTGCGTATTCCATCACCAGTTGGGGTGCATACCCTGGACAGGGCGCATATGAGAACACAGCCAATCGCTGTTTCTCTTTCACATTGATGTTTCTCTATCTCCCCCTTCCCCCTCCCTAAGAGCAATGAAAACATGTCCTCGGGTGAGGATAAAAAATAAATAAATGTAACCCTCACCTTCTAAAATGGAAGGCTTTATGTTGGTTTCTATAATATCCAGCCTGTTGTATTTGTATACCTAAAAAGAAAAAGAGAGTACCTTTAGGTAGAAAATATTCAAGATACTTGGAAAGAACTGCACTGCTTTCAGAGGGACCAGGATATTTTTCAGAGGTCACTCTAGTAGGAAACAGTAATATTTCACATTTAGAGGACCAACTAATTCCCAACATCAAGAATACATTTTTTAAATGGTTTCGAAAACACTGTCTATCCTTAGGCTGGGAACCTGAACTACTACTTCATTTCCCGAGCTCAGAAGACAAGGGACTCCAGCCGACCCTGTCCCCCTGCACTTCCGCTCTGCTTAGCACCTAAAGCTGGGAGGATTTTTAAAGTTCTCTTACCAGTCTCAGAGCTTCTTCCCAGGCCGCTCCATCTAACAGCAAGAGCACAGCTTCTTCATGATCCTGACAAAGGAACATCAAGGCAAATGAAATGAGAGTTTAATAGAGCAGGCGAGTCAGACGCTTCCTACTGCCGTTCTAGCTACCCCTTACGGTCCCAGGTTTAGCACTGTGCCTGGCCTAGAGGACATGCTCAATAAATATTGATCCAAAGGGCAAAGGAAGGTGTACATTCTGGAAATAATTAAAAAAAAACACACATCATTGTAAGTATCACCTCCCTACAGCCCTCAGCATCTAAAACCACCAGGGAGGCCTGTGAAAAATGCCCACTTCCCCAGCCTCATCAGCAGGTGTAAGCGGCTCCTGAATTAACAAATCCACACGTTGAAGAAACGGTCACTAGGATAGTAAGCTTCTAAACTTTTTTCCTGCTCTTTTAAGGTTTACTTCTTCTATATTTTATTTCAAAAAACTTCAAACCTACAGAAAACTGAAAAATGAGTATAATGAACTCCCTACAGTCTTCAAATGTGTTTGATGTTTGTACCCTTATCGGTAAAAAATTTTGATCCTGCATCCCAATATATAATTACTTATTTATAAAGCCTATAAAACTTAACACATTTTAAAAAGATGAAATATGTAAGGGTTTCCTCAAGTAGTTACTGTCATTAAAAGGGCGGCAAGGGGCATGCATTTAATTAAAAGTGATTCAAAGGACGTAAGATACAAGATGTAATATATGGCTTTAGATTGAAACCTAATTTGAATCAGTCTACTGTAAACAATTTTGGAACCACTAAGGAACTTGAATTTTAATTATTAGAGAAATTAAAATGTGTTAACATGGAAAGATGAAGGTCATAACCAAACAATTGAGCAAATTTACAAACTGCACAGCACCAACACTGTAATTTCATTTTGGTTAAAAAGACAGGTATGTGCTATATTTACTCTCTCTCTCTCTCTCACACACACACACACACGCGCGCGCGCACACACACGTATATGCACCCCCCCTCCCAAGTTTGTCTGGAAAAAGTCCAGCCATTGGAGAATGGTTTGCGTGACATCGATGTAACCTGGCGGTGAGAGTGGACTAGAATGCACATGCGTGAACAATGAAGACTTCACTGCACTAGTCAGTGGGGGCGGTTGATGTCACTGAATGAGCACGTGTAATGTGTGGCCATCGTACTCAAGATGACTGAATGAGTAGAGCAACAAATCTGCAGCAAATGTTGTGATAAGCTTGAACGTTCCTCCATGGAAACTTCAGATTCAGAAGGCCTTTGGAGACAATGCAACGAGTGCAGCACTAATAAAAGTGTGGCACAAACACTTCAAAGATGGCTGAGAATCTGTCGAAAGTGATCCGTGTTCTGGAAGGCCTGTTGAACATGTATGGGCTGCAGTCAACAAAGATCAGTGACGGACAGTGGGAGAACTAGAAGTTGAGCTGGGGATGCCAAAAACTACTGTGTCCAAGTTTTTGACGCAGGGCCTTGGCATGAAACGTGTTGTGGCAAAATTCATTCCACAGCTTCTGCTACCAGAGCAGAGGGAACATCATGCTGCAACTGTTAATGACTTGATACAGACTGCTACCAAAGAACCAGCTTTCCTCAAGGTCAAAACCACAGATGAATCTTGGATGTTTGGCTATGATCCAGAAATGAAGGTCCAGTGGTCCCAATGGAAGACGATGTGGCAAAGTAACAGCAAGATCAAGACTATGTTAACTGTGTTGATTGGGAAGGTGCTGTCCATCACGAGTCTGCCCCTCCAGGCCAAGCAGTTAATAAGGAGCACTACCTTCAATGTTCTTCATCAGTTGAGAGATGCATATGACGAAAACAGCCACAGCTATTGGCAACTGGTGACTGGCAGCTTCATGATGACAACATGCCCGCTCATGCATCATGTGCAGTTTTTCGGCGAAACATCAAATCACCCAGGTGACTCAGCCCCACTACAGCCCAGACTTGGCACCCTGCGACTTCAGGCTTTTCCCAAAACTAAAATCACCTTTAAAAGGGAAGAGATTTCAGACCATCCGTGAGATTCAGGAAAATAACACGGCTACTGATGGCAATTCCAACAAAGGATTTTGAGAGTTGTTTTTTTTTAATTTTTAAAAATATTTATTTTTAGGCAGAAGGGAAGGTAGAAAGAAAGACAGAGAAATATCAATGTGTGGTTGCCTCTCGTGCACCCCTTACTGGGGACCTGGCCCACAACCCACACATGTGCCCCGAGTGGGAATTGAACCAGCGACACTTCGGTTCACAGGCCAGCAGTCAATCCACTGAGCTGCACCAGCCGGGGCAGATTTTGAGAGTGTTCTGAACAATGGAAGAGGTGCTGGGAGAAATGTGTGAGGTCCCAAAGTGCCTACTTTGGTGGTGTCTGAGGCCTCATTGTTCTAAGTACAATGTTTCTTTTATCTTCTTCAATTAATGTCTCTATTTTTCATATTACATGGCTGGATACCTTCTGGACAGACCTCATAAGTGGACATATGCCAGGAAGTGAGGGAGAAAGAACGTGTGTGCGTACTCTCTAGAAAGAAGTGGGAGGTACTAAAAGCAGCAATCTCTGAGTGGTAGGAATAAGGTATTTTTATTTTCTTGCACGTATTTGCATTTTAAACAATCTATAATACATATATACCATTTCAAACATGTTATTTTTAATTAGAAAGATAAAATAAAAATTTTCTTCCCAGACTCCAATAGATCTGGCATATGTCACACTACCAGGCCGATACCAGAGGTCCACAAAGGGGCATAGTAGGATGTCTTTTGTTTGACCTACATGTGTGTGCATGCATGTGTATATTGTACTGAGGTTCAATTCACATAAATACAATAAATCATTTTAAAATGTACAATATTTATTGTATTCACAACAGTGTGTCACCACAAAAATATTTTTATCACCCCATAAAAATAGTCCATACTCATTACCTAATCCCTTCCCATTTTCCACTTCCTCATTCCTTGGTAACCTCTAATCCACTTTCTGTCTCTCTGGATTTGTATAGTATAAATATCATATAAAGGGAACCATACAATAGGTGACCTTTCATGTCTGGCTTCTTTCACTTAGCACGTTTTTAAGATTCACCCATGCTGTAGCATGCACTAGTTCTTAGTTTTGTTTTTATCTTATTTTCTTGATTATAGTAAAATATATATAAATATATATTTTATGCTATAAATATATATTTTAAAATATATATATTATATAAATAAAATATATATTTTATTTATGCTATATAAATATATATATATAGCATAAAATTTGCCATTTTACTGTTTTTTAGTGTACAGTTGAGTGGCATTAAGTAAATTCACACTGCTGTGAAACCATCATCATCATCCACCTTCAGAACATTTTTCATCTTGCAAAACTAAAACTCTAAACCTGGTGAATAGTAACTCCCCATTCTCAAGTATCCCCAGCCTCTGGCAAGCACCATTCTGCTCCTCGTCTCGATGAATCTGACTACTCTAGGCATCGCATGTAAGTAGAACTATACAGTATCTGTCCTTTTATAGCTGGCTTATTTCACTCAGCATAATGTTTTCAAGGCTTATCCAAGTTGTAGCACGTATCAGCTTTTTGTTCCTTTTTATGATTGGATAATATTCCTTTGTGTGTGTGCACATGTGTGTGCATATCTCACAATCTATCTGTTCATCTGTTATTGATGGACATTTGGGTTGTTTCCACCTTTTGGCTATTATAAATAATGTTGCTATAAACTTTTGTAAACAAGTTTCTTTGAGACATATTTCCCCTTCTCTTCATATATACTTAGCAGTGACACTGCTGGGCCATATGGTGATTCTTTAACTTTTTGAGGAACCAACAACTGTTTTCCATGGTGGCCGCACCATTTTATATCCCCACCAGAAACGTACAAGGATTCCTATTTCTCCACATCATTGTCAACACTTTTCATTTTTTTGATCGTGATATACTCAATGGAGAATTATTCAACAAAATAAAAACAAATAAACTGATGTACAATACAACATGGATAAATCTCAAAAGCATTATGACTTCCAGTTTCTGGTTCAGCATGTAAGAAACCTAGAAGCCGTTACTGTATCCTAACCACAAGTAAAAAGCTGAACACACTAAAAATCATCATCATCTCTTCTTAGATCCATCAGAGAACTGAGGTCACAGGCCAACTGCTGCCCCCCAAAAATGGAGGGACAGAGAGGTGGAGATAGAGAGCTACAACTTACCAGAGCAGAAACCCACAAACAGAAATCTCTACCAGAATCAGCACTGGGGTAGGGAAAATCTAAACTGTGATGGACAAATAGCTGGAGACACACTGTGGGTAAGGCACACTGTGGATCGTAAAGCTAAGAGTCAAAAACTCTGTGAGGCCCAGATTCAGAAAGACTCCTACACTCTAAGTGTTTGTCCATAGGAGCCCTACAGGTTCTCACAGTGTCTGTCAGAGGGAAATCTCATGTTTTCAGCAGGGGGTGGGGGAAAGTAGCCACTTAAAAATATACCCAAAGCAAGCGGGTCCTCTTTACAAGGCCTGCCCTCAAAAGAGCCTATTTTGCCAGAGCATAACTGAAGTGGGTTTATCAGGGCCTCACCTCTGTGGGGGACAGAAGTGCCCAACTGCTGCTCCCTCCAGCCTTCCTGTGCTACCTACGGGGGGGGGGGGGGGGGGAGGAACTGAGAAGCACCAGGAAGGTCACTAGGCAGGGGCGCAGGTTCACTGAAAGACTGAGACCTCATGACAGGATCTAGAAAGTTTCTCCTGCCCCCACGTCTATCACCCCATCACTAGCAGCCTATTTACTGATAATATTCCTTTGTGTGTGTGCGTGTGTGTGCGCACGCACGCGTATCTCACAATCTATTTATCCATTCATCTGTCATTGATGGATATCGGGGTTGTTTCCTCCCTTTGGCTATTATAAATAACGTTGCTATAAACTGAATGCTGCTATTTACTGAATGTCCTTTTAGCCAGCATATCACATCAGGTATTCAACAAAACACAAGGCCTACAGAAAGTACAAAACAACAGTATGACAAGCCCGAGCAGGCCTCACAGCCAGACTCCGATATGGCGGGGATGCTGGAACTACGAGGCCGGGAACGTAAAATGGGTCTGGTTAATACGCTAACGGCTTTAATGGAAGAAGTAGACCAAATGCAAGAACAGATAGGCAATGTAACTGGCAATTTTAAGAAAGAATCAAAAGAAATTTTAGCAATCAGAAGCATTATGTGAATGAAGAAAGCCACACTAAAGACCCCGTACCAGATGGTGCCATTTGTATGAAATTCTATAAAAAGCGGAAGTGTAGCGACAGAAAGCACATCCGTGGGTGACGGGGGTGGGAGTGGGGGAAGACTGACTGCAAGACGGGGACGAAGGAGCCGCCCGGGGTGTGAGAAATGTCCAGTATCGTGACTGCAGTGGTGGTGACACAACCGCGGACATTCTTCAAATCCAACTGCTAATTTAAAATTGATAAATTTTATTGTATGCAAATGATATCCCATTTAGGTACATATAAATTGTAAATAAATACATAAATTAAGGGTGTGTGTATGACTCAATCTCCATTTACAAAGAGAAAACATGGTGACCTCTTACCCATTTAGTTAACCCTCTTAGGTGATAGCTTTCTTCCCCAACCTCTTTGTTGCTGTATGTGCTCATGAGTTGGCTCCGGCTCCAGGCAAACCTATGAACGAGGGACGTCCACAATGTCCTGTCCTAAACAGCTCTGCTCAGCTCCTGCAGACTCACACCTACGGCTTCTTTTATGGAGCCAATCCATCTCATATTTGGTCCTCCTCTTTTCCTGCTGCATTATGTACATTCTACTCATTGTTGTGTTCAGTCAACCACGCAACATTTTCGTTCCAGGGTCAACTGATAAGAAATTGTTATCTTCCTTCACTCACCTTTATGACGTAAAAGACACTGAAATATTTTAAAAGCACACCTATGTTATGGAAATGTGCCCACTACTAAGAACTGTAAAAACAGCATGTCACTGAAGATCAAAAACTTTACAAGGCAATAATCTCTGGGGTCAACTGTGACGTGCACCTTGCTAGTCTGTGGTCAGTGTCAATGAAGTTTTATTATTTTCACAATAAATCCTACAATTCTAGCAAAAGCTGGTATAAGTACTTTTCTTTATAATCTGCTGGGGAAAAAAAAATCAGAACCCACCAAGCTACCTGAGGCAAAAGAGATTATTTCCAAACGAGAGAATGAGTGTAAAAGCCTAAACAGTATTTAAATTTCAATCCCCCTGTTTTAGAATGGCCCTTTCTCATTTCTGTTTTCTACTTTAGCAAGTTAACATAAAAAGTATAACTTCCTTGAGATTTAATTTAGTACGTTGTACCAAGGTCAAACCACTAGTACATATTATAGTAGAGCTCTTTGGTGTCCTACCTCCCCGGACCTTATAGCGATACACTGAATTTAGACTTCCAAATCAAGTCAGCAAGATGGAAGACCCGTAGGGCAAACTATCTCCGAACTTCCTAATTACTCAAAGTTCTTTTAATTTTCATGATCTGTAAGGTATAACCAGGAAATCCTTGCTTGTCAACTGGGGGAGTTCAGGAGGGAGGAGCTGAGCTTACCTGCGCGTACTGTTCCAATACTGTGGCTGCCTCACTGTGTTTCCTCTGCTCAACCAGCCTTCCTGCAAAGATACCAGTAAGCGTTAGACGACGGCTGGCTTGCTAAGAACAGCAGTGTCACCAAAACTCCAGTGAAATGGTTTTTGGTAGACTATTTAAATAAAAAGTCTCAATACAAATCAGAGATTGAACTCTATGGAGTATACACCCAAATCAAATTGCTTTTAAACAACGTTTTCAGAAGTGCTAGGACTGTTCCATATGATAATAAAAGGCAGTACCAAAAAAATTCTCAAATCAAGTAAGTTTAGGTAGCACTGGGTAAAACAAAGTTAAAAAGATTCTTCTGATGAAGATCATTAATATGTCTTTATTATGCGTCAAACTATGCACTTTGTGCATATCTTTGAGGGAAAGAGGCAGGAATACCATGGAGTCCTACCTTGAATGGCAGTTACAATCTATATTTAGCATGAGATGTGAAAATCACATATAGTTGAAATTAGCCATGAAAAATGCTTACAAAGGCATGTGAGTGGGAAACTGACCTGGCATCTCTCACTAATTCACTTTTTCCTCTAATAGGAAGAAACTGTTGTTTGGTTGGTTGGGCACTAGGTGGAGACAATTGTTTTGTTTGTGGACACGCAGTGTATTTAGATCCAAGAATCCAATGCAGTCGGCCCAGTTGAGAGTGTCACACTATGAAAGGCACACAGAACCGGAGGCTGGCAGGTTCGTGCCTCCCACCTCATGCTAACTCTAGGCCATCTGGTCACTGACAAAAATTGGTAGTCACCTCCACTATTTAAAGAGCTATCTTTTCTTTCTTTTGCTGGCTTATGTAAATTAAGTTAATATGCACATGAAATGACTCCACCACCGTAACATTTCTTAAAAATGTCTAACCACTGCCCTCCCCACCACTTTTTGCTAAATATCTGGGAGAACTAGGTGTACTTCACCATGAAGCAAATAGCAAGTCAAGAGTCGTAAAGAATATTAAAAAAAGATCACAGATCACAGAGCTGGAAGGTGTAAACTACCAATAACTATCAGTTTCTAAAGCAGAAGTAACAACTGAGCCAGAATGAATAAAAGGCCTAAAATAAAATATTCTCAAACTTGCAATCGCTGACTCCAAGCACAGTGGCGAGGGCGAGACCCCCCCCTCACGTCTTCTCATAGGCAGACCCTAACCTGTCCTCCACTCCAGGAAATCAGCCTCTGGCGCAGCCTCACCTCTGGTCTGGGCAACCCTCAGACCCCGAAACACCTAAACTGCCTTTGTTTCCTAACTGCAAATGTTTATACATTTGCCCTCTTCTTTTAGCTCATTTCTGAAAATTGCTGTCATGCGTTTCCAACAATCTACTGTCTATACTAGAATGGCCTCACCTCAAAATTCATCTTTACCTTCATATAAGGCACATGACCACCCAGTTATACTCCACTAGGTGTGACCACATGTTAGTTTTGGTGAATGAGATGGAGAAGTGATAGTGTAACTTCTAGGTCATTTCCAACTTAAAGTTAAGTGTTCGCCCATGACTTTGTATTTCCTCCCTTCCCAAGGAACGGAATGCAGGTGTGGAGAAGAGCCAGCTACAGTTCACTGCCCAGGAGGTGGCAGAGCCACACAACGAAAGGACTTGTCAGATGAGAGAGAACTAAACTGCTTTCTTCATTACACCATTGTGTTTTGGGTCTCCCGTTGTAGCAGTTTAACCTTTCATCTCGTTAGTAAACCATTACAAATTAATTTGTATTGAGTATGAGACTGCCTCAAGGTATGCTGCCCTAAATTTCTTTATGAAATTGCCAAAATAAAAAAGAACGAAAGAAATAAGCAAAGAAAGAAAGAAAGAATCTTTGGAGAAGGTCTCATTTTGGAGAACCTAAACGACAGTGTTTACCTGCCAGAACTCTGCTGAGGCTGGCCAGCTGGTCTTGGCCCAAGCGAAGCTGGGCTGCCATGCAGAGTGCTTGCTGCCAGCTGCCAGCAGCCAGAAAGGCATCGAGAGCTTTCTCGTGGGCACCACAGCGGGCAAACACAAGCCCCCCTGGCTCGTAGAGGTGCTCCTGCATCAAGTGTTCCCCGTAGGCAATGCTGATGTCCTGTGACAAGAGTTGGCGGGTTGGGGAGAAAAGGAGACAACCATTTTTTATATCTCCACTGTTGGCTGCGTTAGTCACTGTACTTGAAACTCTTGAATTACTTAGGAAAATCCTATGGTCGATGGGTGAATTCAGTCATTCTTCCACTCAAAACCTTACTGAGGATGAGCTCTTTATTCACTCAAGAAATAATTACTGGGTACTATTCAGGGCAATGAGAATGATACTGCAATGCAAAAAAATAAAACCAAACAAGCAAAAAACAAACAATAACAAGAAGCACCCCCAAGTTCCAGCTCTTGTGGCAACAGAGAAGGACTTAGAGCAGTAAAGGCAGAGAGCTGTGAGCAGAATAAGCCACATGCAGAGTTAGGGAGAGTGTTCCAGGCTGGGAGCACAGAAGGCACCGTGGCCATTCGGCAGGAACAGGTATGGAACACAGAGAAGGCTGGTGCAAGCGAAGCAGAGAGAGAACAGGGGAGAGGAACAAACCATGAAAATAGAGCAAAGAGGCAGCCATCAGCCAAATTCTCTATTTCCTGGACTCAGTGTTAGGCAGGGACACAGAAGGAATGTAACACGACACAGAAGGAATGTAACACAGAGAGTTTCTGCCCTGAGGAAGTCCACTGCCTGGTGGGAGAGACAAATCAGCAAATCAGCAGTCTGATAAGTTAAGAACAAGGCAGTCTGGGAGATCAGCATTCGGAACCTCATCCAGGACCAGCTTTTGGCAGGGGAGACCTGAGCGTGTTGATGGACAAGCAGGGCTACAGGATGGGGAAGGGAGAGGGCCGGCGGAGGCAGCTGATGCTAAAGAAGAAGTCCGGGGCCAGATCATAGAAAGATGTGTGCCACCTGTGGGCAACTGAAGGGGGAAGTGGCGGCGGCATGGTGATCAGCGGTTAACAGCGCGGGCTCAGGTCCCGGCTTGGCCCCTTCACAGCCCTGGTCCGTGGGCAAGCTGTTTCCTCATCTGTACATTGTTCACACCACTCACCACATTTTTATGAGAATTATATAGCATGTTTAGCCTACAAGCAAAGTATCTGACATGTAAGAAAAGCTAAACAGATGTTTAAATAGACAAACCAAATGTTTTCCCTTTAACCTGAAATGAACGAGAAAGATCAGCACTTTCCAGGACGATCAGCCACGCAGCAGTGAGGCTGGGCTGCAGGAGAGGGTACAGGGAGGGAGCCCCACGTGGCAGCTGCTGTGAGTTTTCCCCAGGAAGAACCTGGGACAAGGCCTTGGTGTCTGGCCTGGGAAAGTTCTTCAGAAGAGCAACAGGTCAGATTAGTTTAAGGGGAGGTTAATTCGTCTAAAGATGAACCTTGGCACCAAGGACAGTGTTCGGACTGAAGACCCTCACCCCGTTCTAGCTGAGGCGCAAAACGAAACCAGGAGAGCCTCGTTTCATACACCACACACCTTGTACTGCTGCGAGTTCCGTGGGTACAGCTTCAGAGCTTCGTTATACAAGTTTTTATCTTTGATTAAGTTTAAGCATTCTGGGAAGTACTCGGGTCCTGAAGAAATAAATAAGATTCATATACACATAAGCTTAAGACTTTGGAAACAGAAAAGATTTCGTTTTTACCAAGGGTCCCTACACAAAATCAATAAGGGAATTTTATAAGACCTGCGTAATCAGAGAGAGAACAGAATCCAGGAATTGAATTTTAATGAACGCCACTGCAGATTCTGAGATATTTAGAAGCACTGATTGGGATTGGAATTTCATTTAAAAATTTTTTTTTACTACTCTGATAAATAACCATTCAGCCCAGTTTGTTCAACCTGCTTGGTAAGAATCGCTTGGGGAGCTTATCAGACATACACACACCCTAGTCCGACCCAAGCCAACTGAATCCGATTCCCCAAGGAAGCCGGAAGAGCAAAGCCTAACAAGCACCCCAGGCGCCTGACCCTTCCTTGTCCTCAGGAAACTTTTCAGTAGCGGAAACTGCAATCAGTCTGTGTCTAAATGAGTATTTTAATTTATACCCTGCCTAGTTCCAAAGAAAATCTGAAGCAGAAATAAACATATTAATCCTCATACTCACCACATTTGCTGAGGTGGCCGATGGCTTTTTCATACCGTTTCAAGTATTTGTCTATGGTGAACCGCTGATAATTAGTTTCCATCTTCTTAAGTGTATTAAGAAATGGAAGATATTCTTTGGGATCCTAAAAAAAAATTACAAATAGGAGAACTTTATTGCTTGTGATTGTATTTACTTATAAAAGTAATAATAAGTAATTATAGAAGTAAGTCTAAAACTACATAATTTTAAGAATATGTACCATATTAATTCAAGGTCTGGCAGAAGTAACACCTTGAGTATGGCTGGTAGGGTAATAATATGGGTGTAATAATTTATAGTTTTAATTTGAATATTTCACCTAAAACGTCATATTGTGTGGTTGAGTGTGATGTTGTTGTTACAGAATTACTTATGATTTTGTAACAAAAGATTTTCTAATAAAAAAGGGGTGTTATTTGTGCTGGAGCCTGTTTATTTTTATATATATATTTTTACTTATTGCTTTTAGAGAGAGGAAGGGAGAAAGAGAGAGAAATATTGTTTTGTTGTTCCACTTATTTATGCATTCCCTGGTTGATTTTTGTTATATGTCATGACTGGGGATCGAACACGCAAACTTGGTGTATCAGGGTGACACTCTAACCAACTGAGCTACCCAGCCAGTGCACTGTATTAATTATTTTTTTATATAATATATGAAAATCAAAATACATAATACAACTTTCTATGAACATGCTTTCACACATGGGTGTTACCAGTTTTCATTAGGAATAAGGTCAGCCTCTTACCTAAGTCTCACCACAGCTACTTATTTCATAGCCTAATAAGGAAAACAAGGTCCCAATCTGTAAGATACTCAACAAACGTGCCCAAGTTTCTCCTGAAAACACCAGGCACTGCACTTTGGGCTGCTTCCATGACATTTTGAGTCCTCCATTTGCAAAGGCAAACTTATACCGAGTTGGACACAAAACCCAGAGGCACCGCCAGCAAAGTTTCATTGGCCCTGATCACCTGCAGCTCTGCGCCAATGCCCTGTTAGAAAACGGTTTTCTTCCTAAAGAAGAGATGCTTCCTGTTCTTAATTCAATTTCACTGGCAGGCAAGATGAATACATGTAAGAACAATGTAGGGAAAAAACCGAGAGAGTATGTAATCAAGTGTTCATGCATGTGATATATGGGGTAACTATAGGCCAAAGCATTCAATCAACAAACATTTAGCAAGAATCTGTTACGTACAAAGAATGCCACATGACCATTAACCTCAGAACAGGTAGTTACCTGCAGAGGTATGTGGTGGTTGGGGCAATAAAAGCCCTGCCTTTTCTCGATGGGCTGAGAAAAGGGATAACGCCAAAGGATGAGAAAGGAGAGACACAGGGAGCAGATCAAGGGAGCAGATCAAGGGAGGGCGTTTAAGTAACATCACGGCTTCTGAATTTTATCCTGGGGCAATGGGGAACCCATGAAGGACTTTAAACAGAAGAATGAAGCATCAAATTTTTCTATGTGGAACAATCACTCTGGCAAGAGCAAAGGAAGAAATGGCAGGGGATGAAACAGGTTGCAAAATAGATTAAAAATGTGCAAACCAGTGGTGCTCAAACTTTTTGACTAGCATGCTAAGGTGGGACAAGAGGCCCCAAATCTTCCTATTCCCGTGTTCCTATTTTCCACTGGAAAAACGAGCTATAAGATAGAAACCTGAATTGGAATATGAATCGTTTGTTATGTTTATAAGAGGAGAATTTATTCATATATATACCTGTAATCTTAAAAATAACCAAGTAATTTTATTTCACTTGCTCAACCTAGCAATCCAAACACTTTGATAGCCAGAGAACTATGCCAGAGAATGGCGCTGCAGTCGCGGGCCCCAGAGGCTCGCAGATCTGCTTCCAGGCCTGTCCTCACGCAACAGCACGAGGCGGGACACCGCACTATCAGGAGCAGGGATTCATGCTACCATGATTATCTACACAGGAACCAAAGACGGCAAAGCAGCACCTCCACATACCTTCTGTGACTTCTCAGCTACCATGAGGACCAAATCAAAGTCATAAGTCCCCAGAGAATGATTATATAATTCATTCACGTCTACCAGCAGCAGCAAATACTTCAGGGCCTCTTCAGCACTCACAGCATCAGGAACAGGGGGAGCATTTCCTGTCAGTGGGTCAGAAAACACCACAATAAAACCATCTGGAGAAAAACCCACATATCTAACTACATAACCAAAAAGACAAAGTAACAAATTCTCTAGCAGATATATACTTTTGACTCTTTTGTACATGCTTTGTAGGGCAGCACTCAATAAAATGGCACAGATCTTCAAACGGCAACCCAAAGGCCACATGTGAAATCAGTGCGGTGGCCCTGGTCCTGGTCCATGTGGCCACCCAAAGACTGGAACACTGGTGGCAACTGAGGCCCCATTAAATACTCTCTCTATGACCAGGTCTCTACCTTGAAGCTCGTGGACCTTCTGCAGCACAATTTCCAGTTCTGGGGTTGATTTCTTCACATGAGAGGTGAGTATTGACAGGCAGTACCTGAGGTAATAAGCAAAGACCACCACCAGCATGAGAAGGATGGACAAACTGAGCAAGGACAACGACATGATTCTGTTAGTCAGAAGATGCCAACTAACGCCGGCACGCGTACTTGTGAGGATTTATGCTCTCCATGGCTGCTCTCATAGCATCGCAGATGAGGTCTACTTTCCTCCCCTCAGGACCCCCGGACACGGGGGTAGTGCCGGGAACTGGCGGAGGGTACATGGTCTTCGTCACATCTTCTTCCCTAAGAACAAGTGTGTGTTAAAAGGTCACTAACCGCACACAAACAACTAACATAAACCCATGTGTGCAGATGATAAATAAAAATAGCCTTTGGAAAACAGTTTAATTATAAAAATACTTATATAAGGTAAAAAATGGAGAAACTTATTGAAAAATGAAAAGACTTGTACACTAATACTCCGATGTTTTATCCGGGGAGCCCCAAACTAAGTACAGTCCAGGTGTCCATCAACAGGAGAATGAACAAATAAACCGCAGTATAGTTATACAGTGGCGTACTACTAAGTGATGAACAAGATGAACTCGTGCAAAATAGACACTAAGTGAAAGAAGCTTTATTTACACAGAAAATTAAATAGTCTATGAATCCATTTATATAAAATTCTTGTACATGTAAAACTCATCTATGGTAAAAACCTCAAAAAAGTGGTTGCCTGAGTGGGCAGGGACTGACTGAGAAAAGACCAAGGTTGGGGGGTGGGGAGGGGAGCTTTCGGAGATGAAGGAAATGTTCTCTTGGTAGAGGTTCCGCTTACATGAAACATAACTGTTGTCAAAACTCACCGAATGATACACCCACTGGTCTGTGCATTTCCCTATAAATACAGCCTGCAGAGGGGACCCTTAACCCAAACAACACACTCTGGATAACACTATGCAAAGTGAAATATTGAGAGAGAAGGTGGACTAACACCCATAATTACCTTGAAATGTTTCTAAAAAATGATGATAAATGGACAGATGGTAAATAGTGACAAAGCAAGTATAGAAAAATATGAATTCTAGAATCCGGATAGAGGCATAGGATGCTCATGTGACAACTCTCTCAATTTTCTATATGTTTAAAATTCCTCACTAAAAAGTTGGAAAAAAAGTCAATGCAGACATAAGAAGATATCATTTCATTTTAATCTCATAAGAAAAAAATAGTTTTATATGTCCACCTAAAAATAAAGTTAAATAATATTCTGACCTATATACTTGAAAGTTTCAGTTTTAAATGGACTGTTTTTTTTTAAAAAAAAGGAGCAAAAATCCAGTACATATAGCATTTAAGAGTTACAGAGATAAAAAAAACCTAAACACTAAGTTTTCTCCTCTAGCTATTTAATTTCCTTAACTAGAAGAAGAGAAAATTATGGATATGATACTCACAAATTATTCCAAATACTTACTTCAATTCTGTGAAAAACAAATTAATATGATTTACAGAATCTATCTGTTTTATGAAGGCCTCCACATTTTCAAGAAACACCTAACCAAAACAAACAAACAAAAAAGACAAAACCTTTTAGTTCAGATCACATTAGTTCAAGTCTAAAGTAAACTAAGGCCAACAACACATACAGAAAGTTACCTTCGGGTTATGATCATGAATCAGGTTGAGATTAATTCTCAGTTTTCTCATGCATTCAAAAGCTTCTTTAAACATAAGCCTGTGAAGAGAACAGAGAGAAAAGGCATTTCACTAAGCTCTCTGGACCCAGCAAGTTTTCATTATGATACAAATCAGTTCTAATTAGATTGCAGCCCAAGTGCCAAATAACTGCTAAAGGATTTCCACTCTGAAGTCATAGAATGAAAAAACAAGGCACCAAGTTCATTTGCCTTCCTAAAAGGTATGATGGCAGGCTGAGGACAACATCCCCGCATACACACGAAAGAAAAACCATCATGGAACTTAGGGCTATTTCCTTTTTTGGGGAAATAATCCAGTTTCCCCCATATGGATTCAGGCAAGGGCAAGTTGCCATCCTAAGAGTGGCTTAGGCCCTTTGGGCCACTGGTCCCCTGTAACTGTGAAAGCTTTGGGCCTTCGGCCTAGACAAACACACAGACACGGCCTGGTGCACAATCTCCCTGGGTTCACAGGCCATCTAAAGCCCCCCGGGAGCCCCCGGAGCCCCCGAAGCTAGGCAGCCCTGACTTCCACCATGAGCTTCACAATTCTTTCTGCTAGAAATGTCTACTACTCCATAAGGAATTAAAATGAAAGTGTGAAGAAAAAATGCTCTGATAACCTAGTTGACATCTCTAATGAAGGTTTTTCAGACTTTTAAAGTTTTAAACCCTTTAAAAGAATACTTAATTGTCTTCACATATAAGTCATAACAAGCTAACTAGTCACATACGTGGTACTTACTTGTCCAACCACTTCCGAATCTGAGCCAGAACCAGGGCTCGGTGATGAACAACTTCTAAGTTTCCTCTTGGCATCTTAAAATAAATCAAAATAACAATGTTTTTAATTAAATAGAAAACACTGAAGTACCGAGGATATACACCTTTACCTAGCTTCAAAGTGAACTACCGCAACCCAGTGATTCAGACTTTCAGAAGAGTCTAGCTGTGCTCAATACTTAGCTCCCCCGTCCAGGAAAGTTCCCCATTAGCCTCACTAGGCAGAACCTGGATGAACGCTGCTTTGCATAAAGCTAACAGAGAACCGAGCAAGGAAAAGCTTAGAACAAATTATTGCAAATGATCAGAGAGCCTACAATACAACGTGCAGGAACTGTCTGACACTGGTTGCAAGGACAATCAGGAACACAGCCTAAAAGATCAGCTTACCTGTAATACCAGCTTTGTGTCCTGGGGCACAGCAGTTACAAGGCGCGATCCCCTCTCCACCTTCCGCAGAGTTTCCCCGTTAGACACGTTACTGCTGCTCAGACTTGCCTGTAATGCTAAAGACACCATTGACTGAGCCTTCAGAGTCACCGGCATGGCCAGCCACTCTTCATTAACTGCAGGTGAAACTGCCCGTTACCGAAATAGCAAAGAGCAGTTAGCAACCAGTCTCCGTCGCTCTCCCACTTAACCTCAAACCATTAGACTTTCCGATAAAACAGCTTCATCTCTCGAACTTGCCCTTTTCTCACAGAGCCTTCGTGCATATTCATGTATATAACAACGGATTTGGAAAAAAGGGAAGTTGCGTAGAGTCTCTATTTCTTAGCACTATAATCATACCAGTGAATGATTCCATTTCCAAGTAAGAAGCAAAGAAGTGAAGATTTTTACAATAAGGAAAATAAATGCACGCACGCACGCACACGGGTTGTGGGCATGGAATAGAAGGAGAAAAAAATGGACTCAATTTCCTACTAACCACCAGATGGAGTCCTTCAGATGGTACAATGGACAGTGGCCACAGTGAGGTTACGAAGGAAAGTTATAAAAAAGTTAGAGCATACTGCCAGTTTGGTATTTACTGGTAACTCAAAGTGAAATATTAAATTACCTATGTAATAAAATTTCCCGAAAAATTCTTGCTTCCCTTTAGAATACTCTGCTAAGGGAAGGACTGCCTTCCCCGGAAGCCTCTGCTAGCTCGTGTAGAAGGATTTCACGGAGGTGTTGTGCTGAAGTTAGGGGCTACGTAATTGCACTCTCATGGTCTCCCCCAGTCTGATTCCAGGATCCAAAGCCAGAGTAGGTGAAGGACTCGAGAGTCATCAAGGCTTCAAAGGAAAAAAGATACTAGAAGAGGGGCTATTTTCTATTTTATACACTGAGAACTTACTTTTAAATGAGGCATCTCTCAGGCAAAAACACTGGCAGGTATGAGAATGAGTTGTCAGCAATAAAAACTCATCATATACTGCAAATGATGTGACATTTGAAGCAACCTACAACAAAGCAAGGGAAACAAGGGACATTTAGCTTTATTACTCAGAAGCAACAGTGAAAAGGATTCAGCACCACACCAAGTCTTTATACCTCATTGTCATTGATGAAAAAACGACACCTGTCAGTCAGACCAAGGACACATTCCTGCAAAGAAATAAAATTGAAATTACAGACAGTTCTAACCAAGCTAGTTCAACCAGACTTTTCTATTACACATTTCTACTGATCTGTGATTTCACACCTAAGTCTCTGTATTCAGGAGAGAGTACAGATACAGAAGATGTAGTTGGTCCAGTCCCAAATGGAGTATGATGCCACCTAATTCGGCAGCAAGCTCTGTCATTTCTTTTTTCTTGTTAATTTTTTAAAATTACATTTTATTGACTATGCCATTACAGTTGTCCTGATCTTTCCCCCTTTGCTCCCCTCCACCCAACACCCTCCAATCCCTCTGGTGATGCCCCCTCCTTTGTTCATGTCCATGGCTGTACATACTAAGTTCTTTGGCTACTCCATTTCCCATACTGTACTTTACATCCCCATGTCTATTCTCTAACTACCTATTTGTACTTTTTAATCCCCTCACCTCTTCACCCATTCCCCCACACCCCCGTCCCACCTGGCATCCATCAAAATGCTATCTGCATCCATGGTTCTGTCTCTGTTCTTGTTTGCTTCTTTTTTAAGATTCAGTTGTTGATTATGTATTTTTGGCCACTTTATTGTTCATAGTTTTGATCTTCTTTGTCTTAAATAAGTCCCTTTAACATTTCATGTAACGGTTTGGTGATGATGAACTCCTTTAGTTTTTTCTTGTCTGGGAAGCTCTTTATCTGCCCTTCGATTCTAAAAGACGTTTTTGCTGGGTAGAGCAATCTTGGCTGTAGTTCCCTGCTTTTCATGACTTTGAGTATTTCTTGCCAATCCCTTCTAGACAGCAAGGTTTATTTCGAGAAGTCAGCTAGAGTCTTACAGTAACTCCCCTATAAGTAACTAACTTCTTTTCTATGATGCGAATGTTGGACCTCTTGAAGTATAAGTGGACCTGCTTACACTATCCCCATTTTTTGGATTCTTTGACTGCTTATACTATACTCATTTTTTGGATTTTTTACTTCTTGTTGTTCTGACTGGATGTTTTCTGCTTCCTTATGTTCCAAATCATTGATTTGATTCTTGGCTTCATCCACTCTACTGTTGTTTCCCTGTAAATTGTTCTTTATTTCAACTGGCTTATCCTTCGTTTCTGACTGGATCTTTTTTATACTGTTGAGGTCCTCACTAAGTTCCCTGAGCATCCTTATAACCAGTGTTTTAAAGTCTGCATCTGATAAATTGCTTATATCCATTTTCTTCAGTTCTTTTTCTGGAGTTTTCATCTGTTCTTTCATTTGGGCAATGTTTCTTTTTCTCTGTGTTTTGGCAACCTCCCTGTGTTTCTTTCTATTTATTAGGTACAGCTGCTTTGATTCTGTACCTTGGTAGTGTGGCCTAATGGAGTAGGTGTCCTGTAAGGTCCAGCGGCATGGCCTCCTCATCACCCATGCTGCATACTCAAGGAGTGCCCTTCGTGTGGGCTGAGTACACCCTAGTCTTGTAGTTGAGCCTTGGTTGCTGTTGGCAGATTTTACCCAGGCTACTCACCTACAAGGTTTGGTGGTGACTTCTGACCACCGGAGCTGAAAATCTCTATCTGATAGTGTCGTAGCTGTCTTAACATTGTAGTACAACACATTGTATGGTGTGTAGTGATGCTGACATTGATAAACCTACTGCCCTGCCAGTGGTATAAAAGTATAGCACCTACAATTATGTACAGTGCATAATAGTTGATAATAGTAATAATAAATGACTATGTTACTGGTTTACACATTTACTATGCTTTTATTGTTATTTTAGAGTGTACTCTGCTACTTATAAAAGTTTGCTGTAAATCAGTGCCGTGTAACACCAGCAGCAGACTCGTATGTTTACCTTGTCTCTTGGTTGCCTCATTTTCTCTTGTGCATGACTTAAGTGCAAGTGCACTCTGATGTTTGCACAACGAAACTGCCTAACGATGGAATTCTCAGAATGTATCCCTGTCGTTTAGTGATGCATGACTGTCTTGTCTCCAGTTACATTCCATCTCTGCACTTCTCACCTTGCCTTCTCTTTGTGTGTTTATTACTCCAAATTCTTCCAAATGACTGGGGATACGAGTGCCACTATCTCTGCAAACACATCCTTTAACTCACAAGCCAAAGGGAAAAAGACAAAAGTCCCAGGGAAGGGCTTTGATTGGTCTGCTGCAGGTCACGTGTCTGGCCCTGTGGCTGGAATTCACAGCACCACAACTGAGGGCCCCTCCAGGATCACAAGGAATGGGGAAGGAGCAGCTTCTCTGCAAAGCGGGGAAATAGGTTACCAGAATAAGGAGGCAGAGGATTCTAGTTAGACCAATACAGGCCATCCCCCATACCCTGAAATGCCCTTACCTTTAGGCCTTAAGTTTTGAAAAATGCAAGATAAGGGTGTGGCCCAGTCACTTACCATCCTGGGCTCCCTCTGGATATGCTTGAGTTTGCCGATGACGTGACCCTCTACCCCCCGTGGAACCCACTGTTCCTCGAGTGGTCTGATCTGCACAGAACACAGCAGATCCACTGCTTCCCTTGTTCTAACCATGGCTGTCAGTGGGGACAGGCACAGAGCAAGTGCTCACTAAACTGAATGCATAAAAGAGTAACCGTAATTCTCAGGCCAATCTGCCTAAACACTTTTCCCAAAGGCAAATAAGGCAGCCCTGGCCAGTCAGCTACAAAGACTGGCTGTGACCACTGTCCACCAACCTATGTCCTCTGTAGGGGATAAGCTGTGCAGCAGCAGGGTGGGGGTGCTCTGATGTGGTCTGTGCCTGTCAACTGGGTGCACAGGGTCTGGGGTTGTTGGCCAAGGTCAGCCCCCACCTGTGTTTTGCCCAGGGCCACCATGCCTGGGCTACACGCAATCTGAGAAGGCTGCTACTTGTGCTGGGCTTATAGATTCCCAGGCAAAGCCAAGCTGTGAATCTAGGGTGGCCACTGCCAGTGCCAGGCCTGGGCCACTTAGCAAGAGGTATGGGGGCTGGGGGCTCACTGAGGCTGGCTGTTGCTTGTTTGAGAGGATTTATTAAGTTGTGAAGCCAAAATCAGCCATTCACATGGAAAAGCAGCTTGCGTGAGCCAGTTAAGTTGGGTGGAGCTGAGTCTCTGGGGATCTCCAAAAGAGGGAAAACAGTGTTAGCCAGGTCGATAAGAGTCTCAGATATGGCACCAGCCTGCCGGCTCTGTAGTGGAAGAGTTTGGAAAAGGGACATTGGCCTCTGCCCACTTTTCTGTCTAGGAGAAAGCCATCCCTCAGCACTCTCCTTGATGCCAGACACCTCAGTGTCTCCCTGTACGCCAGTGGTGCCTTTCGAGCTGCTACCCTGGTGCTGGAGCTCAGAAGGAGTGAGTCCAAGTAAGTCCATGTGTGGGTTCTTTAAGAGGAACTGCTCGGGACTCCAGAAGTTTCTTCCACTGATTTGATCCCCACTGGTGTTCGCAGCCAGGTGTGGGGACTTATCTCCCTGGCACTGGAATCCTGGGTTCAGGGTGCAGGGCTGGGGCTCCTCATTCCTGAGATTTTTCTCTCCCTCCTGAATTTTCATCCACCACACATGGATGTGGGACCAGCACCTTCCGTGTCTCTGCCCCTACCACCAGTCGGCTGGATGTCGTTTCTTTAATTCCATGGTTGTCAGACTTCCATTCAACCCGATTTCTGATGGTTCTGAGTGACGGTTGTTCTATATTTTGGTTGTAGTTTTGATGTGGTTGTGCAAGGAGACGAGCTTATTTATCTGTGCCACCACCTTGACCAGAAGTCCACTAGTCATCTTTGAATAAAAGGTCTGACAAAATTCAGTAGTTCTTCACTGTGGCTACACATTAGACCTACCCAGGATGCTGTTAAGAGCACTGTCGCATTCTTCTATTCTTAAATTTATACCTCCAAGGAGAGGAATCCACGAACTACTGCATGCCACACAATCTCTTAATTCCATTTCATAGATGAAGAAGCTAAATCTCAGGAAAATGGGTAACTTCTCACTGTCGCCTTAAGATTTAGTGAGACCCAGGTCCACCTCCAAAGCCCATACTCTTCCTGCCTAATGCTATCAAATCCTGGGCCACGGCTTTCACTGGTTAAGTTTTTCTGTCCTGAGTTCACTTACCTCCCCTCCAATCACAGCCAATTCAGTCTGTGTGCATGGATAAGGAAACCGAACGGGAAATCCGCCTGGGTTCTTCCAGGGTTCAACAGCCACAGAGGGGCACTCTGCAGGATTGGCAGATGAGGTTTGAAAAAAACTGTCACATTACTCTTGCTAAAACACTTAACATGCAATTTGGATTACTTTCCAAATGTATTCCGGAAACTCATTAGGGCATTCCAGTTCATTATAAGAGAAAATAGGGATGGAAAACACATGCCAATTCCAAGCTATTGCTTAGGGTTTTCCAGAGTAGTTAAAAGCTCTAACAATCAATGCAGCACAGATGAGAGACAAGTCATGTTTTCAAGAAACAAACATCCCTATAAATCATAAACATGTTTTCCTAACATTTTGATACTCACCCCAAAGGTACTTAAGTATCTGGCCGCCAGCCAGCTGTAACGCCACTGACTTGGTCTTGGAATTGCAACACAGGCTGATTATGACCCCATCCACTGTCACAGATGAACTGACAAAGTAAAAAAAGGGAGGAAGGGGATGCGAAGAGACCGTTTTTCTCAAAAGTAGTGACATTTCACATTTTGCAAAACAGAAAAAGAAACAAGCAATTTCCTTTTGGTGCTGCTCTGCTTATTTCAATATAACATACTCATAAGACATACACACACACACAACACTGTGTACACACACATAATGATAAACTATTGCAATTGCAAGCCCAGATAAAGCAATTACCTGTCATTTCACACTATTTTCCATAATACAAATACGCAAGGTGTCTATATTGTGAAGACATCCCTCCTATTCTGGCAGCAGCTCATTATAACTTATTGCAACTTCTAATTTATCGCCTTCACTAGATATGCCTGGTACCAATATTATTTCTGTCTTCTTAAAACAAAAACTGCATTAAGAAAGCAGCAAGTCGGTGGAAAATAGAGCACTCTCTATCACTGTTGTATTCACTCATGGAAATCTGCAGGTCTTCAATATGGGAAGAGCGGGATCTGCCACTGCCATTATGTTTTCACCTGAGTCCATGAAAAGACACCACACATGTTTCAAAGGAGGTGGAAGAGGTGGTGATAAAAACAAATGGTACCAATGCTAACATTTATTCAGAGTTTTTAACCCATCTATGAAATACCCTAAAAGTCCCAAATTCTGTGAGGGTAAATTACCTGTAAGTTAAGAGAACAGGCTCTAGAACTAGACTTGCTGGGACTGGCCCCTGGCTTTCCCTGTGATCTCAGACAAGCTACTCGAGTGCTCTGTGCCACAGCTCTCTCGGCTGTAAAATGCCAACAGCACATACTCCAGAGAGGTATTGTGAGAAATAAATGAGTTAGTTTAGGTAAAGCACTAAGAAGAGTATTTTTTTACAAAGCACTAGGTGTAGTAAATGTAAGCTATTAAGAGCTAACAGCTAATTGCAAGACTTTATAGCCCTCAAAGATATTGACACTTTATATGAACAAAACAGTCTTTTTTGAGAAACAAAAAACAAAGCAACAGAAATACATTTTAAATGTCTTCCCATTCCCTTTACAGTAACTGAGATGACTATATCTAGCTTTTTCTTCTACAAAGAATTTTAAATTTTGAAAAGAAGAAACTGGCATAACTTAGATATTTCTAATGGAAATTATTCTGCTTTTCAAAACAAATCCCTGGTTATCTTTAAGTGCTACATGTAGCTACATCAATTTCTGCATCCAGACATATTCACAATGCTTTTTAAAAATATAAAGCCTTATGAGTCAAAGATGAGGAGCTGATCACTGCATCAGGATATGTTTTACGTATAGGATAAGGGAAGGATCCTAGTTTTGCAAGAAGAGTTTTCAGAGTTTAAATCTAACGAGACCTTTAACTACCAATGAAGCTGGAGATTTGTGTCAGTGTGTCCCAAAGCACCCAGTTTTGACCCTGGCACCTGAGGGTCTCCCAGAGCTGGCCAGGCAGTGCCATCTACTGCACAACAAGGCTTGCATTACAGAAAACAGCTTTCGCTGACTAACCTGTGACAAAGACCCAGCCAGGAATCAAAATGAAACTCTGGGTCAGGAAGCAGTGAAATTTTAGCAAAGAAAAAGAGGAGACTTTCCAGGAGTGAATGTACTAAAGGGCCGAACAGAATGTAAAGGAGAGGACGTCAGACGTCAAAATGCAGCACACAGAAATAGATCTTATAACTGATTTTAATAATTAACAAGGGTAATTAGAGTGGCCGATTCCCATGGGCTGGCACTCACCCTGCTGGAATGTAAGTACATGTTCAATTAAATATTTTAACACATCTCGTCCTGGCCAGTGTGGCTCAGCTGGTTGGGCGCTGCCCGCAAAGCAAAAGGTCACCACCGACTCAATGACCAGTCAGGGCGCCTAAGAGAGGCAACCAATCGCTGTTTCTCACATCGATGTTTCTGTCCCTTTCTTTCTCCTTCCTCTCTCTCCAGAAATAAATAAAATCTTCAAAAAGATTTGGCCTCACCCCCTGGTATTTTGTCCTATTTTTCACCACTTCTTGATACATTTTTAGCCTATATTTGGACATGACTCAAAACTAGCCATAACCTCTTGCTAATTGTGTCTTAACAAGGAAGGTACTGCCCCTCAACCTCGCTCCCTAAAGCCAAAAATAAGTCCTATGCTCATGAAAACATAACTCCATCTAGTAACACATGAAACATAGGAACATGGTGTATGTAATACCTCACAGCAAGCTGCCCTTGCTCGTCGTCCGTCTCGGAAGAAGCCACAGTCAGGTAGTAAACAACAGACTGTGGGCCGGCCGGGCTGTGGCTTATGGCCAGGAAGCCTTCTTCTTGGATCCAGGTGAGAAAGCTGAGCTTCAGTGGATTTACTTCTTGATCTTCACTATTCTCAAACTGAATTCTGTTTTAAATGAAGAATATATCCAAGATGTGAATAAAACTTCAATACCACTGAGATTTTCCTGAGTGAAGGAAGAATAAACCACCCTGTATACAGTCAACACCTCAGTACTCAGAGGGACAAAACCTAAAGTGATATCAAATACTAAAAAACCCAAAGGTAACGTTTGCCTGGCTCTAACATGTGTTTTCTATTTATTCCATATTTTTTCCTTATACTCTGAGACCTTTAGATTTGAAGAGAACACCTCACGAAACGGACCACACAAGAAAATCACCTGCCCCAGGTCGACCCTGCACTAATAAACCCCAGAGGTTTTCCACGGTCCCTGCTCACCAGAACTCAAGCCAAACTGCAGCAGATAGTTGGACCTCAAAAGAACGGGTCCTTTCTTAAGCATCTCACATTAGCTTGAGAGCCAGTTTCCCTGCCTCTAACGTCTTCCTTCCACAGCATTTATACACCAGAGGACAGTGCCTTTTGCCACCTCAGGCAGGGACTCCTAACGGCTCCTGCCTGCCTTTGAGCTGAAGCAGCAGACCCTCGGCATACACTGAAGGAGCTGGGCTACTAGCTGGCTCCTCCCCCTCGCCTGGCCCTCCAGGCCTCAGTCTCTCCGCCGCATTCAGCCCTGCGCAGGAGCATCCCCGGCGGCTCTCACCAACGCTCTGCTGCCCGCCACGCCTGATGTTCCCAATCCTTCTCTGCCAACCCTAACCTAGCCCTTCTTATAGGATTAAGTATTTAATGTCCTTCACGAAACTGTCCCTAAATGACTGGAAGCTATCCTCTCAATTTCTAGAATAATGAAACTATATTCTAAAGTGCCTTATATTTTCTATCCTCTCGTGGTTTCAAGGCTGTGAAATAAAATCATCCATGTCAACATTTTGTGAAAACTATTAAGTGTTATGTAGGCAGCCTTCAAATCATACACAGGTAAGATACATATATATTGTACATTTATGAAATATACTGCATATATTTAAGAAACATTGTTATTTGTTTTATAAATTTATCATTCCTATTAATTTAGGAATAAATGTTCCCAGGAGGCAGAATAGTATAGTAATTAAGAACATGAGCTCATCAAATAGAATAGACTCAAATCCTGGATTTTTACAGAAATGGCGTTCAATTATATCCAATCATTGACAGTATTATTTCCATGGGAAAATGCGTTCTGATTTCCAACCTGAGGGCCTCCGAAGTCCAACTTGAGAGCACCCAGAGGTTTGAGAGTGTGAGGTGAGGCAAAGACAGAGGCTGCGTCAGGCCGGCCATATGTGAACAAGCTGGACTCCTCGCTGAGGTCAGCGAACGCAGCTCTGGCCTGTCCCCTTCATCGCCACTTTCCCCGATTTTCCCCTGGAGGACCAAGGGCTGTTGACAGGCCTGGGTTTGAGCTGGTTTATTACTTGCACTCTCCTGCCAGCCATCAGCATATGTGACATTCGGAATCCAAGGAGGGGCTTCCCCAACAAGGCTGAAAGACCAGCACCCAGTGTTGTATCCACGGCAACAGGCACAGGGTAAAGTCGGGGAAATTTACTCCTAAGAACCAACTACTTGTATCTCTAATTAAGAACCACTTACTTGTATCTCTTTTCCAGATGAGGCGTCCTAAGGGAAACTTTAAATCCATTTCCACCCACAGCTCCTAGTTTCACAGTGGGATCTGCACTTGGACTATCACCTAGAAAACAAAATTGCAAATACTATCAGGGTAAAATACAAACATTTCTCCTGATACTAAGGCTATGGGGTTCTACATGTCAAAATGCTTTACAAAACAAAACAATCTAGAAAATAATCACATCTCAATCTCTTTTTAAAATCTCTGCCTACCTTTCAGGCTTAACCAAAATCTGCTTTTCCATTCATACTACATCAGTCACAATCCTCACCTGCCCCAGCAAGAGCAGGGGGAGGGGCTGCCCTCTCAGCCCAGGGCTATTTCCTCCCACTGTCCCACAACCACCTCTCACCAACCTCTCACCCCTGATCAAAAGCCATCCTCTTTCCCTGTGTGATCCATTTATTCACCGCACAGCAGCCAATACAATCCTTTTAAAAACGGAGTCAGAACACGACATCCTTCTGCTCCAAACCCTCCAGAACCTTCCTGTCTCACCAGAATGAACACTAACGTGTTACCAGAGCCTTCAAGGGCGCCCAGAGCTGTTTCCTGTCACCTCTGTGACCCCACCCACCACTCCCCCCTCACCCGCTCTGCCACAGCCACCCTGAACTCGACTATTTCCTACAATGACCAGCACCTCTGCGGTTGCTTTGTCCTCTGCCTGGATGTTCTTACCCCAGTGTTTGCAGGGCTCCCTCTCGAATTCCTGCTGGGTCTCTGCTTAAATGTCACCTTCACAGAGAGGCTTCCTGATCACCCTAAATGCAAAAGCCACCTTCCCTTGCTGGCCCTTAACCATATGCTCTCCCTATACCCCTGCTCCCTGAGCAGTGCCCGAAGCTCCCATTCAACAACTCCAGCTCCACCTGAGCTATCCCCACTGGTGCTGTCATCTGAAGCTGCTCCATGTTTGAAAGGCTAATCTCTAAATGCTCCGCTCCAATGAAAACTCCCACAACCTTTTCCAGACTCTTTGGACACACACATACTCTATAACATGCTCCTTAACTTCTCAAAGGCTTTCAGCTCCTGGATTTGTAGGATCCTTCTCTTTGCATTTTTACAGACACTCCCCTGGCTCAAGCTCTCACTGTTTCCTGCCTAGACACTCTGCAGCAGCCTGGCTGATTCGTCTGCCTCCGGGGTCCACGCCCACGGCCTACCCGCAAACGGACATCTGACAAACCTTCCGAAGGCAGAGCTCTCAGCCTGCCCCATCTGATCGCAGGGAGTCCTATCTGATCATAGGGAGTCCTAAGTATCAGTACAGCGAACATAGGGTGCCATAGGGTTTCATTCTGCGGAAACAGAGATGTTCTAAAATCGACTGTAGTGATGGTTGCAAAACTCTGTAAATATCCTAAAACCCATAGAACTGTACACCTTAAATGGGTGAGTGGTATGAAAGTTATTTTTTAAGTGAATGTAGAACAAAATATTCTGGACATTGTATGACGATACAGAAACTCAAGTTAGTGTCATAAAGGAAGCACCACAAAAGCTTATTCTACATCTAATTCTTTTTAATATCACAAAACCAGTAATAGGATACCCATCCAGTAATCAAATATGAAGACAATCATGTTAACTTTTGATATTACTGGCTGATTGAAAATCCACTTTGCAAAGCAGGTAATTTTTGCTTTTTCTGATTTGCCTTAACAATGAACACATTACTTTTAAAGCTGTTAAAAAAATCAAAAGGAGGCTTCTTAGAGCATTTTATAGTTTAGTGAAACTAAAATGAGAGAAGCTGGAAACATGTCCAAGAAGAGTAAGTGCTCACTTAGTGCCGTCAATACATTCTGTGACTTTAAGCATAACAACATACAACGAAATCCATTTTATCCCAGGCTAATTGATATGAAAACAGTTAAGTTCCTATGGCATCTCATCAACATTATAGCAAAATGACAATGAATGAAACGAGGACCCGCTGTAGTATTAGTTTAGTATAAACAGCAGGCTGTTGATTCACCAGAAAACCTGACAAGCAAGCAGGGAATTCCAACGTAAACAGTTAATTTGAACTATTCTCTCCCAGCAGCCATCTTAAGTGCTTTCTGAGAATTCGGCAGTTACTTGAAAACAAGGTGACCAGTGCCATTTGCCCGTAGAACTCATGACATCACCACAGAACTCACAACTAAAAACGGGTTTCAGGTTTTTCCAGTCCATCAGGGGAGCAACTGGAAACCGAGCCATGGGGCTATGAGAGACATCAGACCGGGAAGCTAGGACACCCGAGTTGGAGTCCCTGCCCCGTTTCGCTCAAGCAAACTGCAAGCCCTCTGGCGTTTTGTTCCTTTATCTATGAAAAAGAAAACTCCATCTGTGACACAGCTCCCAGGAGGGCTGTGAGACCAACTGAAAATATGCGCAAAGGGAATGGAGGCTGAAATAACATGCCATCTTATTTCCAGGGCTGAATGTTATTCCTTACATAACTGAGACTTCAAGGACAATAGAGCACAAGGAATAGCTTTTATAATCCAGAATAAGACTAAAACCCCCTTGAAAAAAATCCCACAAGCCAATTATTGGGTTGGCCAGAAAGTCCATTACATTTTTTTCTGTAAAATAAGACATTTTTCATTTTCACCAGTAATTGTATTGATTTGGGTATTTCGAGTGTGTCGGCCATCTCCCACCACTGGCTTCCAGTGGGTGCAGGCCCGCGGTGCTGCTAAACATCTTCCCGTCAATACGACAGCCAGCCCCAGAGCAAAGAATTATTTGACCAAAATGTCACAAGTACCAAGAAACTTCGCGAACCACTTTTGACATGTTCGATCAGTCATAGCACCTTCTCCATACACTGCACAAATCATTTTTTTGTGTTTCAGTTACATTTTTACCTTTCTTAAAATAATAAAGCATAATATGTGAAAAGTACTGCGTATTTTCTTCCATCTTCAATATTAAAATGGCTGCACAAAAATGTACCAATTTTAATAAGTTTTTTTAATGCATGCTGATATGACAACTGTCATGATACAATCTAACAAAATTGTCTCAAATGAAGTTAATGACAACTAAGCACTACTGCAGCCACTGTACAGAAAAAAAGGTAATGGACTTTTTGGCCAACCCAATAAATGTCATAATGATATAGATCTGAATTATAAACTTCAAAATTTTTAGGAACACTAGAGGGAAGACAACGCCAAACTATCATGTGCTTTTCAGAGGAGGCACCGAATTCAGGGCATGTTGATAACAGTTGTGAACATACCATACTTATAAACAGAAACCTGGTTACTGGCATCGAGGACAGCGAGGTCATTACTCTTTCGAGGGTGCGCGGAGAAGGTGACTTGATTTGCAGGCTCTGGGAGCAGCAGGCGGTAGGTGCACATGGGAGGTGGAACTACGCTCTGCCGGAAGACTGTCAGCAACACCCTGTCTGCATGGAGAGAGAGACAGGAGGAGGATCAGACACCCAAGGATGTTCAATTTGTAAAACAGGCCTTCGGAGCAGCGCAGTACCGCTAACTAATAATGGTGGGAGGACACATACAGCAGTTCTTTAAAATAATTTTCAGTGTGTTTATCATGGATAAGCTTAAGTATCATGTCAAGGGGGAAAGGAAGTATCACGGACTCTGTCTATAGCTGGCTGCTGTCACCTCCAGGCCCTCTCTGGTCTTGGCGGCTTCAGGGGCTGGGGCCCAGGACAAAGTCGAGAGGTCAGTGTCCCAGCTCCAGCCTGCAGTCCAGCCAGACTAAAGCAAGGGAATCAATACCTTTAAATTCCTTAAGGCACTTCCTTCGGCATGGATGTGGTAATAAGGCATGTACAATTAAGTCCTCTGTACAGAACACATCATTATTAAATCAGTGTTACGACCACAGAGAACATGAATTAGTCCACCAACTCACATTACAACCTGAGAAGCACCTTTTTCCTTCTGTTTTCAGCAAAAAGTAAATTGCCTCTTCAGGTGACTGCTGCTCTCCCCAATTTCCTCCACTTCACTGAATCAAAAACAACAACAAAAAACCCCTCAACCTAATTATAAACCACCAAGCCAATCTTCACAGTAGACAGGTATCTGTGACTCAGACTGGTCACACCGGAGAGGTAGGCAATCGACAAGTAATTTATCAAAAAACAAAGCAACACAAGGGTGGATGATGCCAGGATCCATGCAGATCTGTCAGGTCAGACGACTGCAAATCTAAGGGGCCGGTGCAAACCTAAGGCTGACACGCCCACAGCCACAACGCTACTGTGTCCCCTCTACTCCGGGTGAAAATTTTCAATGACCAGTAAACATGTGAAGACCATGAATGCAGCACAATGAGGACCTGGGGTGGTGGGTGGGTGTGCGGAGGAGGGACCACGGTCCTCAGGAGAGTACATGCCCCACCTATGGGCATTTCCACCCAACGAAAACAGTAAGTAAGTAAAAATAAACCAAACCACCGAAACAACCAACCCCATATGTAGTCCCCACGGTTTCAGTCAAACCACCACGTCTTCAGGCACTGGGCTCAGGGACCCCTTCCAGGCTCATAGAATCCTTTCCCAGCTGCTTACTTCCATCGATGACGGCCACATTTGCCATGTCGCTGGAACTATCTCCTGCGCTCCGGTCAGTTGTCCAGTGCCAGTCATAGCAGAGGTAGTGCCAGCCCTGACAGAGAATGTGCAGCCGGTATGGGGTCACCGGGTCCCACATCAGAGACACAATCTTGCTCTTCCCACAGGCGCTGAAGGGCAGACTTTGCTTGAGATACCAGTGATAGTTTCCAACAGTCCAGAGCTGAACTGCGAGGGAAAATGAAAAGGAAGGCCCTCAGAGGCTGGAGGGCCGACTGCGTACCACCTGCTAGAGGGGAAGGGGGCAACTGTCTCTTCTTCAAGTGACTCTTCGGCTCACCCTCTCCATTAATGAGGACAGAAGGCTGCTAGAATAAGGCATTGTTTTAGTGGGTTGTTTTTTTTCCATAAAGTTTTAGAAAGAAGAAAATTGACAGATTAAAAGTATTAAAATACTCAATCCAAAAGTACTGACTAGCACTGCCATGTTCTATTAAGCTTAAGACGCTTATTGTTTTCTCCCCGGTGCTCTGCATGCCATCATGTGCAAGGCTCTCTGGTGTGTGTTAGGATTCAGCTGTCCAAGGAGATTAGCAAGCAATTATCTTTTCCAACATGTGTTAAAAGAATAAGACCTAATCCGGAGGGGTGGGGGAACTGGGGAGATGGTGGTTAGAGGGTACAAACTTTCAGCTGTAAGATGAGTAAGTTCCAGGGATCTAATGTACCGCGTGGTGATTATAGCTAACAATACACCATTGTGTACTTGAAAGCTGCTATGAGAGTTGATCATGAATATATTACCGTAACAGCAATAAAAATGGTAATTATGCGAGGAGAACCTCATTGTGGTAAATGTTTCACAATACGTAAATGTATCAAATCATACACTGTACATCTTAAACTTACACAATGGTACATATCAATTATATTTCAATAAAGCTAAAAAAAAAAAAGACATCACATCAAAACCCAACTTTATTAAACGGATAAAACACATAAATGAAGATCCTGATGATATTAAGAAATTTACTCTCTCTAAGCGTCTCCTTGCTAATTCTTAATTCACCAACCGCAGAGAACCTAACCCAGTTCTCTATCACAATGCTTCTCCCTCGCAGTGCGCTGGTAAGTTAGACTAAGTGCTCATGAAACACACACATCCCAAGCATATCCCAGTGCCTGCCCTTGACGCCCTGTGGTTCTCACCCTGGCTGCGTGTTAAAAATCACCTGGGAACCTTTTGAAAAGAAAAAAAATTAAATACTGATGAATGGCCTGTGTTCTGACAACAAATCTAATGAGAAGAGTCCTGGAAAGGGTTTTCCTTTTTATCCCTAAAGGTGCACCCAGGGTTGTAAACCACTGGGTCGAATGAATGAATGAGCTTCCCAGTAACATTTGAGTTAAATAAAAAGTTCTACTGATTAAAAAATTTGAAAGCCACTTAGAAATAATCGAGCAAATGAAAAGATTTATGAACCAAAATGTTCAGTGCATTACCGCTGACAAAGAAATTACAGTTAATTGCTGTGGCACAAATGAGCATCGTACAGCAATTAAAAATAATGCAGATGGATATCTGAAATGGAAATATGGTAGTGAGAGTGGAAATGTAAGTTATAAAGCTGCATGTATCATGCCTATGTATGTAACAAAAATGAGATTATGGCTCTAATGAAATAAACACATAAAATCTGGAAGATGAGAAAATTTTAATAGTGATTATTAGAGTGATAGAATTATGGATTAACTTCTTTCCTTCTCATCTTTATTTTTTAATGGTTTCACCTATTATATATACACTAAAAAATACCTATTTACACAACTTAAAAGGTATAGAGATTCTTATATCTAATCCAATTTCTCTTTCAGTTCCCCAGTGAAGTATTCCTTTGGCCAATGTTCCGATTTTCAGTAGTAAGACCATCTGAGAAAGTACTGATGACTTGAATGGTCAATTTGACATGTGAGCTTGGCGAGGCTATGGTGGCAGGTTGTTTGTTTGAACAGTAATCTAGATGTGGCTGGAAGGTATTCTGTAGATGTGATTAACATATACAATCAGTTGACTTCAAATAAAGCAGATCATCCTCCATAATGTGGTGGGTCTCATCGTATCAATTAAAGGCTTTAAGGGCAAAGGTTTCCTGGAGAAAAAAGAATTCTACTTCAAAAGTGTGAAGTAGAATCCTGCCTGCCTGCAGACTGTAGACCTGTCCTATAAATTTCAGAGAAGGCTGAAACATCAAGTCCTACCTGAATTTCCATCCAGCCAGCCTGTTCTGATTCTATTTCTCTAAAGACCCCTGACTAATACACGTTTAAAATCATAAATAACCAAACCTAACCACTGGCTCATCTCATATTTCACTAGAGGACTAAGTAGAAAGGATGAGGGCAATACCACATCTTCTACTTTGAACTACATTTTATGGGGCAAAAGGCTAAGATGATGCCATAGTCTTTTTTTTTTTTTAATGATTTTATTTATCTATTTTTAGAGAGAAGGGAAAGGCAGGAGAAAGAGGGAGAGAAACATCAACAGTGTGGTTGACTCTCATATGCCCCCTACTGGGGACCTGGCCCACAACTGAGGCATATGCTCTGACTGGGAATCGAACCAGTGACTTTGGTTGGCAGGTGGGCACTCAATCCACTGAGCCACACCAGCCAGGGCAATGCAGCTGTCTTACCATAGGCTTTTAGAGCAGAATTTTCTTCCCTTGGAAGTTCTTCCAACCAAACTGCAAGCACAGTGGAATCTGCATTCCAGAGCAGCTCATTTACCTAACAGGGAAAAAAAGACCTGTTATTGTTCTTTACCTATGTATTTACTACAAAATCTTTTTGTTAGCTGAGTTCCCTGCTCTCACAAACCAAACAATCTCACTACTTGAGCTGACCCTAGCTGTAAATTATTAACCTACAGTCATTAAACAAATCTGTGTAATGTGTGATTGATTATAAGTAGAGGACTTTAAAAACGCCCTGTTTAAAGATTAAAAAAGACTTAACAACCAAATGCAAGGTGACATTTTAGACAATCAGGGACATCTGAATATGGACTGGGTATTAGATAATACTAAGGAATGATTAATTTTGCAAGATGTGGTAAATTGTGGTTATTTAAAGAAAAATGCTCTTAACCATTAGAAATGAATGTTAAAAACACATTTTCTAGGATTTAAAAAAAACCTAGAAAATAAAAATGTGTATGTTTGTTTCTGTGTGTAGGCCAGAGAGTGGTAGACAAATAAAAGTAATTTTGCAAAACGTTGGTATCTCACGAATAATAGGTACAAGGGAGTTCATTAATCTCTTCTGTCAACTTTTCATATATTTATAATTACCATTTGCTGTATATCTGCTCCAACGATGATCCTTATGGTATGCAAGCTGCTTCAGGTTTAAATGTTATGAATGAAAAACATATTTATCACTGGAATTACAGTATTTTGCCATGTGTAATGAACTCCCATGTATAATGCGCACCCATGTTTTTGGCCCAAACTTTCAGGAAAAATATCTTTTGTTTTAATTTTTAAATTTATTTATATTTAGAAACAAAACCGATTATCGTATTCCAGGGTATTATTTTGCATACAGGTATCATTATTGCTTTCTAGAGTTACAGTTTTAATGCATAAGCATAAGTTAAAAAATTAAAAACATTTACATAAATATGGAATTAGTACTACCCATGTGTACTGCTCATCTTTATTTTTCCCTCAAAAATTTGGGCAAAAAGTGTGTACTATACATAGCAAAATAAGGTATACTTTTGTCAAAATAAACAATACAAACTAACATTTCTATTTCCTGTCTGTGTTTCATTTAGGGTGGGAAAGAAATGCCATTTCTTCTTTAAAAATCTATAATGAAAAGAATTATTTTTTTAAGGAAAAAAATCTCAGTTATAAGAAGCCACTATTTTTATTAGTATCTACACGGGAGCTTCTATTTACACACCCCTAATCAAATACACACCTTCTCCATACCTGTGTAAAGTCCTCCGAACTTGGTGAAACAACTCAGGCACCTACCTTAACCTCATCCTTGAGGAAAGGAAGTGTGAAATGTCCGTGGAGAAGTCCATTTCTCTCAAAAAACACAACATCCTGCTGGTTGGGTTTATCCTGTGTGGATGCAATCAAACTGCCTGAAGGCCTGGAAGCAAACCAAGAGCATTAGAAGGCCCCAGAGTGCCTCCAGCTGGCTTAAAACAAGATAAAATGAGGAAAAATGATTTCTCCAGCAAAGACCACAAAAAAATAAAAATAGTAACACCCCAGGCAATTTTAAATTCCACGTGTCTGTGGGTAAGCAGTCTCCCTAGTGTGAGACTATACGTGTCCAGACGAAAGAGTGCCTTTTCCTAATCTGCACAAAGCCCCCATCCGCCCATAAAGCCTCGGATTTAGACTGCACCTGGGTGGCTTTTAAAAAAACCAATACATTATTTAAACCATTCCACGTATGACATCTTTTAAAACCATAACCTGTTTCTCCCTAAGCAGCTAATGGCAGCCAAAAGTCCATGCTCAGCTAAGTACTTTTAAAGACTTCTCAATCACCTGATCTTCTTTATATTTGCTGCTAGGTTTTAATTCAAACACATTTTTCTCTTTGCTCTATCATCCAACTGCCACTCAAACACTGGTGGGAAACAAGATGTCTAAAACTAGATCCCCAGTGGCTTTGCACATAACAGATGCTACTAAGACAGGCTATGCGAGATTTCCTCTATCATTAGGGCAGCTGTGTATCACAGGCAGTCTATGGCCGGCACGAGGGTGCTGGGCCAAGGGGAGGATCAGGCATGAATCCAGCCTGCACATTCCGTCGTACAGATGCCCTCGGTGTGGGAGTTTGTGCAGGGGAAGGAGGCCCTCTTCCTAGTCCTCACCAAAGCTCCGCTGCCCGCAGAGCTGTGCAGGCTACAACTTCCCTCTGAAGCACCTTTTTCTATTACATACAATGGCCTCATGGAGACCCTGCCTACAACCTGCAAAACACGTGGGCCTTGGACTGACGTTATCTGTGAAGAAGCTCACAATCTACTATTCAAACTGAAGTCAAATTTCAGGGAACTAAAAAAAAAAAAAAAGAAAGAAAGAAACGAAACATACAGGCTTATAGTCAAATGAAAAAAAATGATGATCATTTTGTGTTATATAAACACCTCGATTCAATGGGTACCACCACCTCTACCCCAGTTCCAGGAAATGCCGAGGAAGGAGTCACGAGATTTCTTCTCCCACTCACTTCCAAGCCAGAGCTGGGCCCAGTCCCGCCACAGGCTCACTGGTTGACTGCAAAGCAAACTCCCGGTTCCACACTCTGACCTTCCGGGCCCCTGTGCAGGGGGTAGAGGGGGAAAAGCAAAACAAGACAAAAAAAACAAAACAAACTTAAGCATTATGACAAATGTTTTCAAGTCAGAACTTTTCAAACGCCTTCCTTATTAATGAAAACTGTTTTACAGAGCCAATTAGATTAATCTTGTTAAAAAATTTGTGTCTACCAGGTAGGAGTCTAGACCAAACATCTCCAAAGAACTCTTCTAAATCTTGGCTCTGAATTCATTAACATCTAAAGCAGCATAAAACCCTTCAATGAAAAAGAAAAAAACTTTTCCTGAACTTCATAAAATTTTTTTTGTTTAGCTGAAATATATTTCCATACCTGTCTCTGGGCAAACAACACTCACAGCAAAAAACTGTCCATCACCACGCCAGGTAACTTGTGGTCGATGGTCATCCCACGGCAAAGCAGTCTCAAACTAAAGAGATGACGGAAGACAAACGTCATGCAGGGCGTTAAATGGCCCAGAAACAAACTAGCTGCGAGCTATTAAATTTAAATCCTGTCTACGAGGTTTAAGCTTCCTAGAACACCAGCTTCGTGAAAATCTCAGGAGCCCTTCTAATGAAAGGAGCCTTATATCCGGAAATCATCAATAAAAGAGAACTTAAAAAAAAAAATCCTTCTTTGGGCATTTAAGAAAAGCAGCCTCCAAGCAATAGAGGAAAAGAGCTACAGATCTAGATAGTAAAAGAGGGAAGGAGGGGCGGAGGGAGTTGGAGGAGGGTGGAGGGGGCATAAATGGTGACGGACAGAGGCCTGACTTTGGGTGGTGAACACACAACAGGGTACAGATGATTGTAGAGTTGTACACCTGAGACCTGTATAATTTTGTTAACCAGTGTCACCCCAAAACAGTCAATCAAAAGGAAAAAAAAACAAACCTAGGAAAATAAGTGGAAAATATTTTCCATTAAAAAAAAAAGTGACCTGAGAAATCCACCAGGTAACTGTGACAAGAAAATAAATATTGTTTGTCTAAACATCAGAGTAGAGTTTTATCTGTCATGAAAGATTCACAATGGCCACAGCAGAGCTGAGCCAGAGGCCATAAAGAGCGTAGCAATGATGAAAACACGAGAGTTCTGTGCTCGCAGTCCAAGAGGAAGCACGGCTTCCAGCGTCACTTGCGTCTCAATCCTGAAGTTCAGAGACAGAAGCCAACTCTGCGGGGTGGGGGACAAATCCACCAGAGCATCCATCATCACATTCCAATGACAGGCCAAGTCAGAGAGGGGCACTAGTGTCACCGTGCGCCCAACAGGAACACACTGGCAGCCTAACGAGATCTATTCTAAAGGAAACTGCCCCGTAGTGTAGAACACAAGATCCCTGATGAAGCATGAGTCGCCCTAAATGCGGCTATAAATAATGAAGAATGAAAAATGTAACGACAGGCAGTGTGTTACCAACTCCTTTATCCTAGAAGGGCGGCTCATGGAAATTTCTTCACATAATATATACGCAATGCTCCCATCTGCCCAGACCCCAAATGATCCCCAGTTCTACTCTCTCACACCCCATTCCCGGTCTATTATCAACAAATACTGTTGCTCTACCTTCAAAATGTACCCAGAAAGAAGGTAAACAAGTTTCACCCAAGAGGAAAAAATCCGAAAAAATATCTGATATCTACATGTGTAGGGAAAGTATCAAACACGCATGTGAACAATCAAGTGAATGCAGGACTGCAGCTCCTTATATGTATCAGTGAGGGGTGCACTGAGTGTTTTATTTCTATCTGTGATTCAGTTTTAAGACTGAATATTGGTTATAATTATTCTGTACACTGAAAAAAATGACAAAGCAGCTTGGCATTAAAAAAGAAAAAAAAGCCTTTCTAGGATGACTCATTCCTTGTGGTTTTCTAAACAGCTTCAGTTTCCCTAAAGCACAAGACATCTGTCCAGTATTGGCCACTAACTGGCCACTATGGGCCCCTCGTGGCTGGCAGAAATCCTATCGGTTCCAATTGAGTTTCTTTACCATCAGACCAACCTTACCATTTGCATCTGAAAGGCCGCCTGCCTGCCTTCTGATCCGTGGAACTGGGTCTCCTTCCTGCCCCATCCAGCAGTAATAAACTTGCCTAGAGAACGTACAAGACAACCAGTAAGCTAAATGAAACAAAATAAAATCAGTTTCACTACTAGTCTTCAAGAAGTTAGGAACCGGTAACGTCCTGGGTCCTGAGACCTCCCCCAAAAAATTGACCAGCAGTCAATAAAACCAATGTCCCGTACTATACGCAGTGATTTTGGAGACTCTGAAGTGCCCCCCGTTTTGGGCAGAGCCTCACTGTCATCGCATACATTCTGAATTCCCTTGATGACACTCAGCAATCCACCCACTTTACAAGTGAGAATGAAACATGAGAAGTTTACACAGTATATCCATTGGTAACAAGGCATAAAACTCAAGACAAGAGCTGGGAATAAAACTATAAGCATTCAATTCACTAAATGTTCCCAGCCCCTCAGTTAGTTGTGAAACGGACTGCAGATGATGGATTTCAACCCCTCACAAAGTCTGAGACTGAGACGCCTGGAGCAGCAAAGGCCAACATTAGGACACAGGACGTCCGCCTTCCAGGCTGCGGTTCTTTCTAAACCACAATGCTTCCCTTACATAAAATATGGAGTCAGAGCTGCTGAAACAATGCAGCCCCTATTCCTGAAGGTAGGATCTGGCACCTGCCTGCAAACCAGTACTATGGAGATGTCTCTCAAGCACTGGCCAGATCCGGGGCCCAACACTTCCCCCCACCACTGATTCTGGTGTGACGAAGCGGGGCTGTTTCTAATTTCTGCAAATTATGGGTCAGCATGACCATCTCCTATTGGCTCTGCACTGACACACCCAAGTACCGTAGTGCCCCAGAGCATTCCTTGCTTCTGGTACAATTAGCAGTGCTAGCCTGTACACACACCTGGGCTTCTACCCTGAAGTTTCCAGAGAGGTACAGGACCAAGGAGTGAAGCAAAGGACCTTTTCCAATGGGATCAGACAGTAAGTGACGGGGCTACCACAGGAATCAGCAAACTACAGCCTGTGACGGCTCTGACAAACCAACTGTTATTGAAACACAGCCATGTCTGTTCCTTTTACAGATCGTCTATAACTGCTTCCACACTAAAACAGAAGAGTTGAGTGGTGGCAGCAGAGACCGCATGGCCTGCAAAGCCCTTTACAGAGCAAGTCTGTCAACCTCTGGGTTAGAGGAAATACATCTGTTTACCACTCCACGAGTGACTGTTTTATACCAGCAAACACGTTTCTAAGATGTAAGACCCTAACTCGGATTCCCTCACTCCCTTGATTTACTCTATTAAGCATATTACGAAAACGTCGGTGGGATTAGCCAGGCCCAGAGCACTTTCTCATCCAAAGATGTGGTGTCTCTATGACTGTCCTCAAAGCTGGATGTCCCAGAGTTCCAGCACCATACCTGCTCCCAGAGCAAGTTCATCTACTCCCAACACTGTAAGGATTCCTAACATGCCAATGATTCAGCCCGATAGCTGCCTGCTTCACGTGGTTATCTCATATGGCCCTGAAACAAACCCCAAACAGCACCCACCACCTACCCCTTACAAACCAGCACTTCCCCACCCTCGCGCTCAGACCCTGGCATCTTTACTCCCCCCACCTGAGCTTCGGACTGCAGTCCATTAAACTGTCTCTTCACCTTGCCTACTTATTTCACTTTCTTAGCTGCTACTTCTCAAACTAGTTAGGGCAGGAGAGGAACCATGCCCATATAGTCCAAAAAAGTTTCTCAGATAATTCTAAAAAAAGTACTCTCATCCTCATTGAGAATCAAATCTTTCCTGAATTTATTCCCTCTGGGCACGCACCCGCCTTCTTCGTCTCTCGCCTGGATTCCGATAGCAACCTTGGACAAGGTCATTCTGCCTCATCCCTCTGCACCGATCACTCAGTCAGTCCTGCATCCCCACCATCTTCCATGGATGATCACCTATAACTCAATGTCCAAATTCCCTACCAAACTTAATTAAAACCCATCCACTTCATTTCATTCCACACTCATGTCCTGCGCACCATCGATGCTTAAGGATTCACAGCTGTCTGAATAAGCCATGACGTGCCAAGGCTTCTGTGAGACAGGCCTGCCTTGGAATGGCTTCATTCACTTGCTTGGACCACTCGCCCGCGCTCAGTCCTCATCGAACCAATACCAGTTCAGCTAGGACCCTGCTCAAGTCGCCTCATCTGAGAGGACTTCCCCCTCCATTACTCTCTTCCTCTCCTTAAGGTACCTCAATACCTGCACATCAGTTAATGAACTAATGGGACTCCTTAAGAGAAAAGCCAAATTATCTGCAGCACTAAACACTGTGGGGTTCATGCATCCTCAAAAATTATTACTGAATAAATAAATTACTTTTGAATAATAAATGAGAAGCAGTTTTCCCAAATGACTTCTCAGAGTTGGTGGAATAAGAAGGGATGAGGTTAGACCTCAGCAAAAGTTAAAAATCAGCCTTCTAGCTGACCTTTCTTGTTTTCTCCCCCAAGTTGTATCCCGGAAGCGCTCTCCTCATTCTAGTTAGTGTACCATCCCTTTCATCGAGCCTCCAGCCTAAGCCTTTCCTGGGTGTTGGACAACTATCTAGGTGACCCTACGTTCAGATTTCTACCCACAGGTTACTGACAAAGCCATCTCTCAGACCTGAAAGGCACCAGAGGTATTCCTTTTAAGATCTGGGGTGGGCTCAAGGAACCGGGCAATCAGAGATTTAATAAATGGGAGTTCAAACTTCATAGTTCTTTGGGTTTATGACATGAATATTGGCGTGTAAGAAAATGATCAAACCTGAAAGGAACTTCACGTCACAAAATGTTTCAATCAAAGTTACACTCACTTTCACCAAAATCATCCTGGTGGATTTGCTGTTCCATGATTGGTTCAAAGTCTTTTGTCATCATAATCAGGGTCTGCTGACCTTGGAAGGACACAAACAAGAATAATTTCATTTTCATGCATCAAATTTGCCATTCCATAAGTGTCAGTGGTACTGGGAGCTACAGAGCTTGTGCAGAGGAGTTTATAGTCAGAAAAAGGCAGATAGAATTTATTCAAAATGTTTTGACTCTCACTTATTTTTAAAAAAGAGCTCTTGACGTGGTGCTCATTCTCAGCTATTTATGTACATAAGGCTAACATGAAAGTCCATATAGCCCTCCTCTCTAAATTGAATGCTGGTATAATTGTTTAAAGAAAATTTTTGGAATCTACATAGCCCAAAACAACCCCGTAAGATATCAGGAGCCATGTTTTACCAAAGTCCAAGGGGATCAATGACAAGCTTACCTGTAGCAAGGAGCACCAGCTCTTGGTCAGGACTCCAACTCATGACCGAGATACCACTGGCTACACTCCCAACACATTCCAGCTGAGAAAGACAGAGAAAGATAAGGGAGATTTCAAAACTCCACTGTCTCAGTGAACATTTACTACAACCTTAATCAAAATAGTTAAAAAAAACAACAACACATGAACATAAATGTATTCAGTAAACACAGGAATGATGGGGAAGGGGAAAGGCCAAAAAGAATGTGGGGAATAGTGAAAGGTCTCATAAAGCCCAATAAGGAGCATGGATTCTGTCTTGCAGACACTGAGAAGCCACAAATAGGGAGGGTCAGCACCCTCCAATTAGATGAAGGGACTGAAGGAGCTTGGTAATCAGGAAAAAAATGCTATAAAATATTTTGAAAGTAAAAACATGCTTTTTAAATATGAGAAATACTAATTAAGTTGTACTTGATGGCTTTGGTAATTCTTACCATAAACTGAAAGTAAGATTCATTATTGCACTAAGTGGAATGGTTGAAAGTGAAGGTGTCAGGTTTAGACTACCAGGGTTCACATCCCCTCTGATAATAGTATGTCTTCAGCCTAGTTACTCAAGCTCTCTGTGCTGCAGCATTCTCTAGGTATAAGGAATGGGAACACAATCTAGCTCCTAAGATTGTGGGAAACAGTAAATAAAATTTTCCATAAAAAGCACCTGAAGAAGTACCTGGCATATTGTAAACGCTGAATAAATATCAGCTATTATTATTATATTATTATTAATATTATCACTCCTGTTGCACAATTAATGTTGAAGTGATCACAACAGAGTAATCAAACAAGTTTAAAAATAAACAATAGTGTGAAACTCTTGCTATTAAGAAGGTAAGAACAGAAATTCAGAAAGTCAGACTTATGCTAGAGTGGAGGCTAATGGCTGAAATCCATATCCTCTGGTAACCATAAAATATGTATTGTGATAGTATAATACTGTATTACCTGTTCTTCAGGGACTCTAAAGTTAGCCATCAATGAGGGACTTAATCAGCATTCATAACAGAAAACATGAGCCATATAAACATTTCAAAGACTTTCTAATTGAGAAATACAGGTTATTAACTCAGGATCAGATTTGGGTAAGAGGTGAGCTACACCACACAAAAATGGACAGGATTTCTTTGCATGTAATTGTTCTGATTAACAAATGCGATAGACAAAACCAAACTGTGTAAGAATCCTGAAATATAGCTAAAGCCACGCCAACAATTTTTTTGTAAGTAAGTGTATCATGCAAAGACTCCAATTTGCTAAATGCTTAAATATTACAGCTCGTGAATTTTTAAACTTCTATGCAAAAGAAGATCTTGTTTGAGGACACGTGAGACTTCCTCCTCAGTGGGTTCACACTTACCTGGTGTGTGTTGAGATTGCAAAGGATGACGTCTCCAGAGGCTGTGGCCACACACACAGACTCCTGATCCAGCAAGTCCTGAATACCAACAATGCAGCCACTTCCATCCTCCGGGAGAAAGCCTTCTGCCACTAACGCAACTTCATTTCTCACCTTCCACCAAAACAAATACATAAGCAAACTAAGCCAATCTACTTCCAAGAACAATTCATAACATTTCTGGAAATAAAATAGTTTTGAATGCTTCTTTTATAATATAAAGGCTCTCAAAAACTATTTTTTTCTAGATTAAAATACAAACTTTCATTTGAGAACTCTTACAACCTTACCATCTTTAACAAAAAAAAAAACAAACAACAAAACAAAAACAGCTAATGCGAACTTTTTGCCAAGCAAATGCAAAAATAAAACCGAGAAGCCTGGTCTCTTTAAAAGTGTCCAATAAAACATGAAAATAGTAACTATGATTTCCTAAGATTTCTATCATATGGAAGAAAAGGAGTAAGCATGTAATCACCTAAAATACATTAATAGCAAAATATAATTAAGGGGTGATATTAGAATCAACCCAAAGAGCTTTTAAATATACACAGAGTAGGGCAAAAGTAGGTTTACAGCTGTGAGTATGCAAAACAGTTTATTCTTGTATTATTATTATTTTCCATACAAGGAACTGTAAATCTATTTTTGCCCCACCCTGTGAGTATAGGTACCATATTTTGCTGTGTATAATGTATACCTACATTTTTGCCCCAAACTTTCTGGGAAAAAAAAATCTTTCATTCTAATGTTTTAATTCAATTTTTTATTTATTTAGATATTTGTTTTTTGTATTATATAGGAATTTTAGCATTTATTTTTGAACATACAGATATAGTCACTGCTTTCTAGCTACTTTTAACACATAAGCATAAATAAAGAAATTAAAACACTTATATAGATATGAATTAGTACTACCCATGTATAATGTGCATCCTTATTTTTCCCTAAAAAACTTGGACAAAAGTGTATACATGGCAAAATAGTGTGTGCACGTGTGTGTGTAGTCTGTCTTGAAAAAATCCAGCCATTGTTAATATAATGAGAACAGTCTGTGTAACATCGATGTAACCTGGCAGCCAAGGCAAATGGACTGGAATGCGCATGTGTGAAAAATGACACCGTCTCTGTAATGGTCAGTGGGGGCAGTAGACACTGTTAAAGCATATGTACTGTGTGACTGTTGCATTCAAAATGACTGAGCAAGCAGGGCAATGAATCTGCATCAAATTTTGCATTAAACTTGAACATTCCTCCATGGAATAGTTTCCATGGAAACTATTCAAATGATTCAGAAGGTTGCAGCTACAGACAAACGGGGATTGGCAGCTTCATCTCCACAACACAACTGCTCATCCATCACGTCTTGTGCAGTTTTTTAGCAAAACATCAAATCACCAAGGTGACTCAGCCCGCCTACACTCCATATTTGGCACCCTGTGACTTCTGGCTTTTCCCAGAACCAAAATCACCTTCAGGGTGCACAGGAAGAGATTCCAGACAGTTTATGAGATTCAAGGAAATATGACAGGGCAGCTGATGGCAACCGGGAGAACTATGTGAGGTCCGAAGGAAGTGGACTGAGGCATCATTGTCTTATCAACAATGTTTCTTGTATCTTGTATCTTTTTCAATAAATGTCTCTATTTTTCATAGTACATGGCTAGATATTTTCTGGACAGACCATTTGAGATAGATAGACAGATAGATAGATAGATAGACAGACAGACAGACAGACAGACAGACAGACATGGTCAGGATCCAGGAGTGAACATTCTGATTTAGTTGGTATGGGATGGAGGCTGAAACAGTTTTCAAAAGGCAACTTTCATTTGCATCCCCAGTTGAGAACCACTTTTCACTGTTACAGACAGTACAAGGTAGAGAGAGTAAAAAATAGGGCACCCACACAAAAATATAAGGTCAGAGTTTGGTCAACTCAGATTTAAAAGAGTAGTAAAGTTAAAGGTACATTACTATTTAAGCTATATCTAATATGACATCAGTACAAAACAAAGGGAGTGCTCATTTAGGAGGATAAAAATTCAGTACAATTTAAAGACTATCTGGGGGAAGCAGGTTTAGAAAAAGGTCAATGGTCACACCACGTGCAAGCGTTTTCCATCGAAGCTCACCTCTCTCGTGGCAGGGTCCACTTCTATCAGTCCACGCTCTGAGCCAATGAGCACTGTGCCCTGCTCCGTTTGGAAGGAGAAGCACTGAGGTTTCCCCGGAGCCTGAATATCCCTGAACTCCAGGGTCCGAAGTAACTTCAGGTTTCTCATGATGGAGCAGCTCCTGAAAGAAAAGTACAAATATCTCTTGATGAAGCGCTCACTTCTAAGTAAGAAAAAAAGAATTAACATCAGTTAGTCCTCAGCAAAGTTAAAAGGAACAAAATAAATGGGAAAACACTTTACATAGACTTATAAAATCATGTAAAATCCATATATATACACACACATATATATTCTTTAAAGAAAACCTGGAAAAAATTACTTAACTATCAGTAGGTACATTTATCTATGACCCAGTATATACTTTCATTAAAAATTAAAATTCACATCCAAAATAGAAATCTAAGTTTATACTGTTCTAAGGGGTAAAACAAGACACTGTAAAATTATAAGTTTACTTCAAAATGACCGTTTGGGGAGCTTGTAATGATATCTGAACTAATTCATGTAACTCAACTTCCCTGGCTTGGTTTTTACCAGTGCAACAAAAAGGTGAGAAAAGAATGACAAATAGAAAACCTACTTTAGTCAGGCAAAATCAGACTTGCTTAAATGTGTAATATTATCTAAGTAGGAGAAAAACAAATATTAACGTGCTAGTTATTTATATTCATATCCCTTTAGGGTTTCTTTTTTTCATTTATACTTTATTTTAATTTATAAATCATGTTTATTCTATTACAGTTGTCTCAATTTTTAACCCTTTACCACCCTCCACCCATCCCACCCCCATCCCCCGCTCCCACAGTCAATTCCCACTCTGCTGTCCATGTCCATGGGTCATTCATACGTGTTCTTTGTCTAGTCCCTTCCCCTTCTTTCCACCATTGCCGTCTTTTCCCCTCCCCTCTGGTCACTTTCAGTCTGCTCCATGTTTCCGTGCCTGTGGTTTATTTTGTTCCTTAGTTTATTTTGTTGAATAGAGTCCACTTATAGGTGAGAACACATGGTAATTGTCTTTCATCAATTGGCTTATTTCACTTAGCGTAATATTCTCCAGTTCCATCCATGTTGTCACAAAAGGTAGCAGTTCCATCTCTCTTTCTTTCTTTCTTAAATGCAGACTGATTTTATTTTTTTAAATGCCAAAGTTAATTATATTAAAAAAATTTAAATCCATTATAAAGTCTCAGCAATTAAACCAACATGACACCAGCACAGAAATAATCAAGTAGATCAATAAAATATAATGAACATTCTAGAGACAAACACATATATCTGTCTAACAATATATGGTTAAGTTGATATTTCAAGTCAATGGGTAAAATAAGGTTTATTCAACAAATAAGGTGCATGGACCACTATTACTTGAAATAAAACAAATATAGAGCCCTATTTCACACATTATACAAGAAATATTCAGGTGAGTTAAAAATCAACATGTAGAATCTAAGGAGTTTTTGGAGAAAATGCAAACTACTATTTTTCATGGCCTGAAGTAAAATATTCAAACCCAGAAGCTATAAAGTAAATACTGACAATATGACTATATTAAACCTTTAACTATATAGTAATATACATATAAAAAAAGTTAAAGGACCAGGAATAGAAAAGTATTTGCAACACATCTAAAACATGGTTAATAAGTTTGTTTTTTTTTAAAGTTCTACAAACCTTTAATCAATAAAGAATACCAAAGTCATTTAAAGTTTTTTTAAAAACATAATAGAAATAGGAAAGAAATACACTAAAACAGGTTTAGTTTCAACAAATAATAAAGGAATAATTAAAATAACATCATTATCACAATCAGATTAATGAGGATTAAAAATATTGGTAATATCAAGTATTGGAAGCTCTGAAAGGAACTGGATATTCATAGACTCTTTTTATCTCCTTAGAGCAGTCCCTTTAGCATATCTTGCAGTGCTGGTTTGGTGGAGCTGTATTCTTTCAGCCTTCTTTTGTCTCGGAAACTCCTTATTTCGCCTTCCATTTTAACTGAGAGCCTTGCTGGGTAGAGCAGTCTTGGTTGCAGGTCTTTGCTTTTCATTCCTTTGAATATTTCTTGCCATTCCCTTCTTTCTTGCAGTGTTTCTGTTGATAAGTCAGCTGCTAGCTGTATTGGGGCTCCCTTATGTGTTACTACCTCCTTCTCCCTTGTTTGCTTTAGGATTCTCTGTTTGTCTTTGATATTTGCCATTTTAATGATGATGTGTCTTGGAGTGGGCCTCATGGGGTTCCTCTTGCATGGGACCCTCTGTGCTTCCTGGACTTGTGTGACTTTTTCTCTCCTCCAATTAGGGAAGTTTTCCACCATGACTTTTTCAAACAGGTTCTCTATCCCTTCCTCATTCTCTTCTCCTTCTGGTATCCATATTATATGGATATTACTATGTTTCAGGTTGTCCTGCATTTCCCTAAATGCCTCTTCATTCTTTTTCAGTCTTTTTTCATTTTCTTACTCTTTCTGGTAGCTTTTTCCTACCTTGTCCTCCAGCTCGCTGATTGGGTCCTCAGCTTCATCTAGCCTGCCTTTGATTCCTTCTACTGTGTCCTTCAATTCAGAAATTGTATTCTTCATTTTCTCTTGTCTCTTATTGACAGTTTCTATGTCCTTTTTCATGCTGATACAGTTTGCAGTAAGTTCCTCATAGTTTCCCCGTAGTTTTTGGTAATTCTCTGAGCTCACTGAACACATTGAGCTTCCTTAGAACCGTTGTTTGGAACCCAATATCCGACAGTTTACTTGCCTCTATTTCATTTAGTTCTCTTTCTGGGGATTCCTCCTTTCCCTTCTTTCCCTTCGACTGGGGTGTGTTTCTTTGTCTTCCCATTATTTGTGAGACTCTTCACTTTTGCTTCTGCTTCTTAGGTTGATCTGTCTTGATTTCCTGACTTTGTGGTGCGAACTTCTATGGTTGGAGACCGCTGTTTTTACTTTCTGGATCTGCCTCTGATGATGTCAGATGTTGACCCTGTCCAACCTTAGGCAGTCTGCTCCAGACTTTCAGTAATCTACTGTTTGTGGCTGTCACCTTTAGCTGTTAATCTATTCACTCTGCACTCAGCAGGCTGCTTTAGACAGTTCAGGGCAGGGCGGAGTCCCGTCTGGGGGCAGGGTTATTGGGTCCTCTCTCGCTGCCGTGTGGGGTAGGAGTCCGTACTGGGATCCCGCCAGAGACTCTCTCAGTTCTCTCCCCAAAGCCTCTGTCCCCAGTCTCTCCTCAAGTGTCGCCAGACCTGTCTGCATTCCCTTTTGCCAGGGATTTACTGTCTGTGGCTGCCACTCTGCACACAGCAGGCAGCTTAAGACAGCAAGGGGCGGGGTGGAATCCCACCTGGGGGCAGGGCTATTGGGTCCTTTGACCCAGGTGCCGCTCAGGGGGTGTGGTCTCCGCCTGAGCAAGATGGCTGCTGCCACATGGGGGATGAGTCAGCACTGAGATCCCCCCGGCTACTCTCTCAGTTCTCTTCCCCAAAGCCTCCTTCCCCAGTCTCTCCTGAGATGTCTCTAGCCCACTCTCTCCCACCTTTGCTGGAGACCAGGGTAAGTGGCTGCAAATAAAAATTCTGTGTTTGCCCTTTAAACAGTTCATTGGGTCTCCAGCTGCCCGTCTCTGGCTCAGAGCAATCCTGCCGCTTTTTGCAGCTGGCTGTTTTCTGTGTACTTTTTGGGCTTTGGTGTTGTGGGCTAGAGATCCCCACTTTTGGTTTAGACCCCGCTGTTCTCAGGGGGAATCCAACTGGCTGTTTCAATATCCTTCTGGGGCTGCCGCCTGAGCACCCTGCCCGCCTTCTCAGGTCTCTACCGTACTCCTTACCAGTTAGATTGCGCTAAATCCGATTCTTTGTCTCCGAGGTTACAAGGCTCCTCTCACTATTGCTCAGTTGTTTGTTCCAGGTGATTTCTCCGCAATTTAGTTGTAATTCCAGGTTGGTCCTGGGAGGAGGTCAGTGTGACTTCCGCTCACCCCTCCACCATCTTGATTCTCCCCCTTTAGGGTTTCTAATTGGAAATACCTAAGTTATGTGAGGGGTGGCAATTACTTAGACCACACTGGCCTTAATGCCACATTCTAAGGAGAATTCTCCCATCTTGGCACTTCACACATATAACACTGAAAAACATGAGTTAACCTTTCCTCAGAGCAGACAATGTGAAGTGTAGCATGAATGATACAATATATAATGTGGGTTAAAAGGAAGACAAAACCATACATAGTGGAAGCAAAGAAAAAAACAAAACCAAGGCCAACAATGGCTTGGTAAGCTTTTGTAATATTTACATTCAAGAATTTCTAGAAATTACTTGAACCTGTATTATACCATGCTTTCAAATTTAAATCTAATTCTATATAGAAAGTTTAGGCTTTCAAAACACATAAAAATTATATCTTTTATCTTTATACATAAAGACAACCGCTGGTAAAGGACGGGGAGATCTGACAGACGGGTAGATTTGAGGGAGGAGCACGCAGGGGATGAGCCGCGAGAGAAGGTCAGGCAAGAGGGCAACCAAATGTGTGGTTTCCTGGCTGTCTTTCATTCCAGTAATACTAATATTATTACCTAATATGTAATAATGACCATGCTGTGACTGCTCATGATCAGATCACCAAAATATCTTCATATCCCTCCCTGTGAACTTCGATTCTATTCATCAACAATCTGTGCCGCTCCGAGGTCCATGGACCGGCCCCTCGGTAAGAATCTGGAGGGTAAAGGCAGCAGGAGCTGAGAAGGATGCACTTTTCCCTGGTAGCTCACCGTTCCCATCACTGCCCGCCCCCCACCCCCAGCTACGGGCCCTCACCCTGGCAGGGCCCCCGGGGCCAGTCTCTAGCACTCCCGAGACCAGCCTCACCACGCCCTTCCCCTGAGGTACCAGCAATAACGAGGCAAGACCCTCCACACGTCTGAAATCCAACAACACGGGGGCTCCTCTTCTGAATTCGGAGGTGTCAGCACCAGAAGTCTGAGTCCCAGCTTTCCAATGCCTCTCTCCCAGTTCAGGGCATTATACTCCCAAGCGCTTCCCTCTTTTTCATGGCCAGCCCTAACTAAGTGTTGTTGCTACTTCCGAATCTTTTGTTAAATTTCATTGTTCCCTTTTGCTTTTCTTTCCTCCAACAGCTATTTAACCCATTCTTCTTACTAAATTCTGTACAGATAATACGTGGTTTCTACTTTCCGAACTGGACCCTGACTGACAAACACCGCAAACGTGACTTCTCAAAGCGGAGCTTCCTGAATCACGGGCCAAGGGCTCATCATCCATCTCCCACCTCCCCACGTCTCCCAGGGTCAAAAAGATCTTCTCTATATTTTCACACCCATCATCCTTACTCCCTCATCTTCTCAAGTGTCCCCATGCCTTTGCAAGGATAGGGAGGGGGTATCATCCAAACTCCCCAGGACCTCCGCTTGTCAGTACGCTTTCTTTTACATCCGCAGTCTCTGCAACTCCCAGCCCTCAGCCTTTACATGTGGTTAAGACCTCTCTCCACCAGAGATCAATCCGGATTTTCTCCAAAATTCTGCCAACTTTTCCATTTTCTTCTTTGCTCCTTCACCCATCTGTCTCTAAGCTAATGATCTACCCCTGACTACAAGTACCAGGTAGATCACTAATGTGCTACAGGGATCTGCTGGCTCCGACCCGCCCTAAATTGGACACTGAACCACATTTTCAACCTCCTCACACACACATCATATGCAACCTGAAAAAAGTAAGTACTTGCTATTTTCCCACCAAATGCTTTCCCTGTTTGGAAACATGGCATTTCTACTCTCTATTCCCCAACCTGAAAACTATCTGCCTACTTTTTGCTCACATTTTTCCTTCTAAGTTGTTCGCTGGTTACCTCCGTGGCTGTCACTCTACAGCTTGAATTCTTTATACAGTAAGTACCTAGTCAATCCCACGATCCGGTCTGTGGCCTACCTCAAACACGCAATGAGCAGTTTGTTAATGCTCAAATATGAAGACAGTCGCGGCCTCTACGGAGGCCGCGGCTTAACGGTAGACGCGGCCATATGATATACCACATTAGAGGGAGAGGCACAGGGGACAACATCTCCATGAAAAAGTCGCACAAGAGAAGGGAACCGCAGCACAGTATTCGAACCTCCAAAAACCGTCGCTCTCTATTGTGCACTAATTGATTGGCTTTCAACGGTACTGCCCCCTCCTGCAAGGAATCCGCAGGCTGGGTAAGAGTGAAGCTGGGGAATGAAGTCCTCCTCTCCCACCCCCACGGCCGCAGGTGGAGCTGGTGGTAAGCCTGCAGAAAGAGAACGTAAGGCTCGAAGGCAGAGGCGGTAACGCTGAACTCTATTCCTGGGCCTGCATCAGGCAGTTTGCATGCTCGGGGGTTCCCAGCCTCAGGACAACCCCGGGCGGACAGGGCCGGGTTTGTGCCCCCAGCCCGGAGTCGTCTCCGGAACGCCCACCTGACACGGCGCGCTGACTCCCAAACAGCGGTGAGTCCACCCTTGCCTCCTGGGCCACACGCAGCCGGCTTCCCAGAGCCCGCCCGGGCTTGCGTGCACGCCTCTCTCCGACCGCGGTTCCCGAGCTCTCCTGGCCAGTACTAGGTCTCCGGGCCACCCGATCCCCGGAGACAGCGGATGAACCCGGGCGGAGGAACAGCGGGTAGAACAGTGATGCCTGAGCGAAGCAGACCAGACACACGCCCAACCTAGCGGCGCCGGAGAGACGTCACGAGGCTGAGGGGGTGTGGCCAGCTTTCTCCGTCAGTAGCCCCTGCAAAGAAGGGGGAGAAGCGGCAATCTTTCTGCCCAGCCTATCGTATTTGATCCCCCCTTTGACGTAAACCCTACAGGCCAGTGATGACGCTAATGGGCGGAGCCTGCAGGGCCGGTGTGGCAGCGCGGGTGCACACGCGGTCCTGTGCCCCGGAAGGACAGCCTCTTTCGGGGCCAGGATGGAGGAAGAGCTCGGGTCTCCGAGGGAGGAGGTGGCGGCGCCGGAGGTCGCCATGGCTACCGAGTCGGTGGCCTTGGAGCCCGCGGTGCCGTCACTTGTGGATCGTTACTTCACTCGCTGGTACAAAGCAGGTAAGTGGGAAGTAACATCGGTCTCTCGTCAGCCGCATTGGCCTGATGCCGTAGGGAACTATGGCGACCCACCAGAAGCTACGCACACTCTCCCTGGTGCTTATTCCCACGTTGGAAGGAACTGGACCTCTCTGTTGCCTGCAAGCAGGAGGGAGTGGGTATTTGCATAGACATGTTGGAGTGAATTGTAGCAGGGTGCATTCCAGGGCTGGTGAGTGCTGTGCGAATTTCAGGATGGGTTGCTTTCGGGAAGATGGTAGTTGAAGGTGAGGCTCTGCAGTAGGCAGGGGCTGGATTGCGTTCTTCTGGAGGGCCTGAAGGGATTTGAGGGGCACAGTCCCACAGGGAGTGGCAATACCTAAAGTGATTTAAAAGATCAGGTCTTAACTAAGGTAGAGGCCTTAGGGATGGAGAGAATATGGTGGGTTAGAATAGGGACACTGAGAAAGCAGAATCACTGGCCTGAAGTTTTACTGAAAAAGAAGCCGCCGGTTTTATACACATCTGCCACTTAATAAGTAGGTATTCAGTTGTGTTGTGTACCCAGTAAATATCAGTGATGGAAGCATCGTTGAGGACCTTCCTCTAACTCCGTACTTGCTGTCTTTCATTCAAAAATTACAGCTGCACTCATTTTTAAAAATATTTAGCCAAATTTAGGGTGAAAAACCGTCCCCCTTTTCCAATGGCCGAGGGGTTTTCCAGATCCTGAGACATTCAGCGCTAACATCAGGACAGTCCTAGACAAACCAGGAGTTAGTCATTCTAAAATTGACCAACAAAATATACACTACTGTGTTATACAAAGAATGCATTGCTAGTCGCATTTTTCTAATAGAAATGTGTACTCATTTTAAAGTGAGGATAAAGCAAGATGGAGCAAAGAGTTAATAATCACTTTAAGGATGAATGATTCCATCTGGACCACGTATCTTTAAATACTTTATAGCAAGCCTTTTAGGTATATCTTTTTTGAGTAATCAAGAGGTACAAGTGATCAGTCTTCATAATTAACTGTCTTCACAAACCAAAGAAAGTACTATACAGTGGTAGTAAATATTGACTCCACAACCAACTTACCCATTCATTCTTCTAGATGTCAAAGGAAAACACTGTGAGGACCACTGTATACTACAGCACTCTAACCGGTAAGCAAACTGGGAATTTTAAATTATCGAACATTTTCTGGTATTGTAGCCTGCTATGGTCTTGGATTGAATAAATGATTATCTTCCCCTGTGTTGAAATAACATTATTTATTATAGGAGTTTGGTTGACACGAATGAGCCTTTCAGTGCCTACTTAAGCTAAACTTAAGCTAAACTTGACTACCCAAACATCCAAATGGACCGCTACACCCTCAGTCAGCTACTGTCTTAAGTAACCAGCCTGTGCTTAACCACGGAACTGCCAGAGCCCGTGGAGAAGGCTAGGGTGGAGGCCTGGGTGGAGGCCTAGGTGGCAGCCCATGCATACGGGCATGCCTTATTTCTCTCCCACCTCAGTGCTACCTAAGACCCTGTACTTGTCCCTTCTCTGGAAAGGATATAAAATCCTATTTTCTCCTATTTTGTTATTGCATTCCCTTCTACAGTAACCAGAGGAAAATGGATGAAAAAGCTAGTTTGTCTGAACAATGTCAGTTCATATATTCTTTTGTCGGTAGGACTACTGTGTTATAAGAGGAAGAATTACACCACGCAATAATATAGGGTCAATGTTTGCTCCTTGTAGAATATGTGTCATCACATTGGCAGAGTCTCATCCAGTTCTTCAAAGTGGAAAAACAATTAAAAGCATTTCCTATCAAATCAGTACCAACTGCAGCAGACTTCAGAACAAAGTCTCTGGGAAATTTAAACGGGTATGTTTCTATAATTCTCTACTTAAATCCTCTGTATCGTAGTAATGTTAGTTGTACACAGTCTTAGAATCCTGTGATGTATGCTCAGCGGTCTTCCCTGGCAGTTTCAGATGCTCATCTTAAGAATGATGAATTATCCACTTTAACCCTAAAGAAATTCTCAGACCAAAAAAATGAGGTATTTCAGGACATATAGGATCTGCCTGTCATTTCAGGTTTTGTGCCACCACTCCTGTCATTCCCAGGATGGAGGGCGGGGAAGGTGGGTCTTTGAAAGGACCAATAAAATGAGATATTTTGTCCCTTCTAGTTTTATTAAGCTAGTATGTCGAGTTCTATAAAATTTAGGTAACCAACTCTTCTTTACCATATATTTACATATATAAATTAAAAACAAAAAAAAATTCCTGATAGTGAAAAAATCAATACATTATATGCTCCTTAGCATTTTCCTTAATCATTGCCAATTTCATACACATAGCCGCACTCTCTACCTCCACATAATGCCCACTTGTACAAAATGGTATCTCTACCCCCTACAACTCTATGCAGGATAGTCACATTTTATTAAAATATCACTTTTAGTAGATCCATCATAAAGGGTGATTTAGGTCCTTCATTTACTGAGTTCACAGAAACAATTTCTGCTAATAACCCTCACTCTCTATACTTCTCTTTGTAGGCCTGAAATCCCCTAATAACATGACATGTGCTTATTGATTTTTCCTCACCCAGGAACACATGGACTTAGCATGGACCATTCTTAACAGATAAAGTCTACAGATCACAAGTAAAACCATTAGTGCTTGTGAAAGTCCTGTGATAAATTTTTGTCCAAAATAGTGTAGTAACACTATTGTTACTACCAAAGAACAGAGAGGGACTTACAAATGGAACCCACTACAGATAAGTTTTGATGGGATCTCAGCACTCCCAATCATTTATTCTTCCAAGGGAGGTGATAAAAAGGAGTCAAAACACTTCGGCTCTTTAACACAATCCCAGCGGTGGATAAAAAGGTGGGGAGTTGCACTGACTAGTATTTTGAAATGAAGTACCCGCATGCAGAGAAGTGAAGCCAATGTGGTATATCTGAACGTTGTCTAGTAACATTTTGAGTAGTAGCAATCATAAGGAACAGCATCGTGACTCAAATGCCTATGTTCACTACAGGAAAAAGTCCAGGAGGGGAAAAAAAGAGAGCAACACATGAGACATACCTGCATTGGTTTCCCATGAGCATCCTTGTAGATTTTTTTAAATTTAGCATTTTTTATTTTTAGGATGGTTATTGTGATTCAGTATTTTTTTCTGTTGCAAGTTTATCCTTTGTTTATTATTGTTGTTGAATTACAGTTGTCCCCGTTTTCCCCCCATTACCCTCCCCTGCCCCGCCCACCCCCTGCCTCCCACACTCAGCCCTCCCCTGTTGTCTTTGTCCGTGGGTCCTTTATACATGATCCTTGACTTGACTCTTCTCCTTCTTTCCCGTTACCTACCCCTCCTCTGGTCACTGTCAGTTTGTTCTTTATTTCCATGTCTCTGGTTCTCTGTTGCTCACTTGTTTGTTTTGTTGATTTGTCAGAAACTCCCCCAATGTATCCACAGAATAAAGTACATGAAACAATAACCCTGCCATAGCATTCTAACATATATGTCAAACTGTGATATTTACTTCTGGGTTATAGGATAATGGTTACACAATTCTTATTTGTTGCTGAAAACTTTGCTGTGTTTTCCATATTTTCTCCAAATTTTCCTCGAAGTTCATTACTTTTTAATTAGAAAAACATCCCTTTTTCAAAAAGTCTTAGAAAAGGAAATAACTTTGTACAGTATTGTTGTCACACTGTGTCATGTTGAGTTTTCTATTGCTTATGGATGAATTTTCCTATATTTTGCAAATCCTTATACCTGGCGATATGCAGCTTTCTCATTTAAAGTTCATAAAATATATTCTTACCCTTTAAACTAGCTATTATCACATGTGTCTTAGTTTGCTTTTTCCCCTAGAATCTAGTTTGGTATCTGGCCCATAGCAGGCACTTACATAAATGTTTGAATAAATGAATAGTTTTTAGAACACTAATTCCAGGAATATCTCCCATGATAACACTGAGTGCTACCTCTCAAAGGGAAGTGAAAGTGTACATCAATTAATTACTTCTTCCTTTTTATTATCAGGGGGCACAGTTTCTAACAGAACTTGCACCTCTGTGTAAGATTTACTGCACGGATGGAGAAGAATATACTATCTCTAGGTGAGTTACTTTTTAACCATAATTTAGTGGGAGAAAAAGGAAGTAATATTATTCTATAAACAGTTCTTTTTTCAATAGCTGTGTCAGAGGACGGTTGATGGAAGTGAACGAAAATATTCTCCATAATCCTTCTATTCTTCAAGAGAAGGTAAAGGGTGTGTATTGGGGTAGGGGAGGAGGCAGAGGGACATGATCTGATCCACATACTTGCCATCTGATTTTTGCCATTTGACAGGCTAAATGTTCTCTTTCTTTTCTAGCCATCCACCGAAGGTTACATTGCAGTTGTGTTACCCAAATTTGAAGAAAGTAAAAGCATAACCGAAGGGTTACTAACACAAAAACAGTATGAGGAGGTCGTGGTAAAACGCGTTAACGCTGTAACTGCTGCATCCTGAGGACTGAGTTGGAATGAAAAGCAGCGCAGTGTTCGATGAGCGCACTGAAGCAGCCCCAGCACATGGCGAGAAGCATACTTCACAGCCAGCCTTCCGCCCGGAAACCTTGCTCCCGAATTGGCCTCCAGCCCCCTGCATCTGCCCTGCCATGGACTCACTCTGCTCTTTTTCGCTTTTCTTTTTCTAAAAACTGTCAAGCAAAAGATGTTTTTCTGATTAAAAACAAACCAGCAAAACACTTCAAGGAAAATTTGGAAAAGACACAAGTTTTAAGTGGCAAGTAAAAATAATTTACCCATCATTTTATAACTCATTAGTAAATCTACATTTTGACATACTTCGGTTTGAAAGTTATGGTATGGTTTACTAGTTTTGCTCAAACTTCCATCAGTTTGAAGGTGAAAGAAACAACAGCTGGCCTTTCTTACCCATTCTGCTTTGGTGTGACACTACTAAAAAGTCTAGTCCCACCCCTTCTGCACCAGCTCTGCTCTAGGTTGCAGGGGAGAGGCAGCGTGTAGCGTGTACCCTCTCTAGTCCTTATGCTGCTGGATGGCCTTTCTCTCCGAAACAAAGTAGAACTGTAATTTTGTGGTTCTTACAGGAGAGTCACCATGAAATGGCTTTGAAATACACAAAGGGCTTGACTAAAAAACAAACAGACAAACAAACAAACAAAACAAAGGGCTTTCCTAACTTGTGGAGTATTATAAAGTAGTACATACATCATAGTAACAGGGTAAGGAGCAAAGGAAAAGTTATTGTAATTCAAAGACACAGGCCTTTGAATAGAACAAAAGCTTTCACATCATTTGAACTAAAAAACCTGAATTTATTAAAATTATGTGTTTATGTACCCTGATTTTTAAATAAAAGACTTTAAAAATTGATATTTTTCTTTAAGAGCTACAATATGTATACATTTAAATACCTGTTTTTAAATAAATTGTTTAATACAGAAGAAATCGCTTGACGTGTAATTTCCCTTGGTTCCCTACCCCCTTCTGCTGTAGAAGTCATAGTATCCTTTTCCCTCCCCAACTTGCACTTAAATAAGAGAATATTCTCATTTCGGGTTTGGAAAAGCATTTTGCAAATAAAACAAGTGTTATTTTTGACTTACAGGAAAAACCTATAACTCGAGTGCTAGCATGACTGTCCCCCAGGACAGCCACCAGACATGACACAGGTAGCACCTCTGCAAACATCTGCACTGCCCGTGCTGTGAACTGAAAACGGAAGCACAAGCCAGTGGACCCCCCGCTGGAGTGGGCAGTGATTCCTGAAGATGACATAAAACAAAGCTACTAAAGATAGTAAACTTTTTTACTATCTATTTACACATAGTCCATGCTATGTGAGATAGCTATTTTACACATAACCTCACATCATTCACCATTATTTCCATTGTAATTTTTAAAAATATTTTGATTTCAGGAAATAAAAATCATCATTTTTATAAAGACATATTTCATAAAGATGATTAACCAAGCTGCATGTGTCCCATTTCTCCCAGAGGCCTTTCCACTTCAAGTTTTCTCAACGTTGACTAGTTAATTGGTAATAGTGTGGTTCTTTGGGATCTTGTGAGTATTGTGATGGCTGTCCCAGGTAACAGTAACTAGACAAGCTTATGTAAGTACAGCCATTTGGCAACTGACATGTCCTGTTAGGTTTCAAAGCAGTGGACGCAAGCACTAAGGAATCCAAAACAACCACACCATGTTGTAAGGGCAGGACCCATAAGCCAGGTCATTCCATCAAAACCCCACCCCACAAAATAAGCAAAGCTTTAAACCCTGGAATTAAAAAGACTAAAGATATTTATTTGTTTTACAATGAACATTCCAAAGGTACATATATAAAATGTATGATTATTCAAATTTTAAACAGCCTCTTGGTTCCATCATTGTCTTACATCTTCCATCCCGTCAGTCACTACTGAGGACAGTTCAAAAACTATTTTTTTTAAGCCAGTAAGATAGGTTTAACATTCCAGCTAATATTCAGGGCAGACTGGCCACCTCTGCTAGAATTAGAACTAAAAGCCACCTCCTGGTGAGTTTCTCCAGGATTCCGTGGAGTGAGTCCATGGTTCTGCTTTAGGGGATGGGGAGGGATATGTATCACAAGAGACAGCCCGTGCTATGTGAGATGCTGATTAGAGGACAAATGTGTGTCACTAGCATGGATGATCTGTGATGGCCAGCAGCCCAGTTGCACCTGGTGAATAGACGGACTGAAGAAGAGTCTACAGGGTTAAGGAAAACTGCTTTCAACCAGACCACTCTGTATTTTCTCCCGAAAATTAGTGTTCTATCACAGGTGTCCAAACATGCAGCCCAGGATGGCTGTGAATGCAGCCCAAGACAAAATTGTAAATTTACTTAAGACATTATGAGATTTTTTTTGTGATTATGTGTCGCAATGTATTTAGTGTGTGGCCCAAAACAACTCCTCCAGTGTGGCCCAGAGACACCAAAAGGTTGGACGCCCCTGTAAGATGATAAGCTTAAATAAAAAACAAAACAGGTAAAATATGCCAAAGGTGATCATACATTCAAAATAGCTTCTTTGGATTAAATTGTCATTCAGACAGTTGGGATATTTGGCTTGACTTTAAAAGAATATTGGTGGCAATAGCTTGTTTTAAAATCACACTGCAATTAGAATTCTAGCAACTACCATAGCATTTATTAGTTGTCAAAAAGCCAGTCAGTTTGATGATCAGAAAATAAAGCAGGATTTCAGTGTCATTGTCTTTATAAAATTATTGAATTTCTGAAAATATAAAGAATCATATTGCTTTTAAAAATGTCAGCCTTGCCATATGGTGTTCCCAAGATCTGACCTCAAGAAGTTCTCAAGTTTTACCATCCACCGAGTCTTTACTTGTAACTGAGACCCATCTGTTGTTTTCCATCTGAAGCTGGAAAGAGTTAAGACAATTTCGGCTTTACCCTCAAGATAAAAATTGCAAAATTAAATAACAACTATATTTTCTTTTGCATTGTTCTTTAAGCTAGTTTTTAAAATGTGAGTGTAAGCTATAGAAACCATCTCACCTTCTTCAGCAGCTTAAAGCAAAGCGGCAGAAGCTGGACCAAAATGGCCATCACAGACCTCGCCTCTGTGATGCATCTATCAACCTGTAGTGACAAAGAGCAAGTGAATGAAATGCCTTTACAAAGGGGCACTTCAAAAGATTTAGTCAGTGTTTAATTTTAAAACGGTACAATTTCTCCATTCCTGAACTCTAAAGGATCTCAAAAGGCCGACGCATCAGTACACAGGTACTGACGGGATGGCTGGAGACCCCAGGACACAGACGGCGGGACTGCGGCCCGGGTCTCAGGCCTCGTTCATGAATCCCCAACAAGAATGGGTGGGAAATGGCCCCATTCGACCTCCGGCCGTGTGGGGGCTTCTCAGAGCACTCCCCAGAGGGGCAGTGCCCCCCCACTTTGCCGTTCTTTGCACTCCACCTTGTTGCACTCCAGCCCCTCTGGGGGGGGCCCACACTCCCAGTCATCTGTGCCCTAGTGAGACGGGATGACACTGAGATTTAAGGGAAGCTGCTTAACGCTATGGAATTAATCATGTCAAAAAGCCAATTTAGTTGGTGAACCTACTGCTCCCTGGGGTCATTTATAACTGCAGACAGTAAGTGACATTTACAACTGCAGCCATGGCATGAAAAATGGAACTAAGTTGCTCTTCTGTGGTTATTAACCCTTTATTCAAAGAAAAAGAGGCTGGAATCTAATCTGCTAAAGAATTATCAAAGTCTCTCGATGCCTACCCGAAGTAACCCGCTATCACTTTTACCTTTAGAAACACTTGATTCTGCAAAGGTGTCTTAGTTATTGTCTGGAGCTGGTGGCATAGAGGAATCAGTTTGTTTATTTCCAGGAGAAGCATAAGCTTGTCATCATCTTTCAGCTGAAATGTAATTTAGGAAATTATAACAACTCCAACAAAACTCTATCTTTTAAACCTTAAACCTTCTTATCTTAATGACATACCCCCAAAGTAGATACTGTGACATCCCCACCAACGCCAGGCAGGTAGACCTGCGTTACCTGTTTTGAGAAAGCTTGGACACTCGAGGCAACCTTCAAGCCCTCTTCAGCGAAAACCTGGTGAAAGGAAAAAACATCACCACTTTAGATGTATGTCTTCTGCACACTTGGTAGGAAATACACTCATGGAAACCGAAAGGTAAAAAGTGTGTCATGAAAACACCTTAATTTTTTGCTGTACCCAGGAAAACACAAGATTTTAACTGTATTCAGGAGGAAGGTTCCAGGACCTGCTGCAGAATCAGTCCCTGAAGGACTCCTCTGCATCTGGACACCTCCAATTACTCGAGGATCCCACGGACCTACGATCCTTAGCCATATAAACTATGACTGGCCTCTGGAGGGATCCGAAGCTCATCCTGTAATATCTCCAATTATAAAAGGATGATGAATCTTACAGCGTGAGCTCAAAAGGGTTAGAGCTTCCTACTTCCAGCTGAGCAAGATGAAATTTGTCACCCATGCACATTCCTTAACCAGCCACTCAAGAGGAGCAATTCAGATTGGTTTTTGACAACTCCCCTGGCATTTCACAATTTAGTAGGGAGAACAGGATGATGGGAAAGAACAGTGACAAACAAGTTGGACTGACAAGAATATTCAGGATGAGTGAAAGGTACCAAAGGAGTAAAAGAATGAAGGCTTAGCTTTAGGTGGCAGCAGTAAGAATGAAGTGAGCAGGGCAAATCTGAGAATGATATGTGAAGAAAAAGAACAGGTTTTGGTAATAAATTAGATGAAGAATGGCAAGAAGGAAGTAGTAATTTTAGGGTTAAGTTTAAACCTCTATCAAACAGCCTTAACAACTTACTGTCATTGGATAAACTGATCTCAAGATCAAATCGTTCTTTGCATCCTTCCCCATCCTTTAAAAGGAAAACCAGTAAGTGTTACACCTAACTTCCTACGAAACGGAGTTACTCACTTACCCATATATGTATACTCTACTTCAGCAAATCAGTGCTTGATTTCCACCCTCTAGATCTGGTGTTTTCCCTCAGTGTCCCCTACCTCAGAAAATGGCACTACCATTTACCCTGTTGGTCAAGTCAAAACTTTTTTTTATTTGTTTTTTTAGGAAAATATTTTAAAAGATTGTACTAATTTACATTTTTAGAGAGAGGAGGGAAGGGAGAAAGAGAGGTAGAGAAACATCAAAGTGTGAGAGAAACATTGATCAGTTGCCTCTTGCACGCCCCCCACTGGGGACCTGGCCAGCAACCCAGACATGTGCCCTGACTGGGAATTGAACTGTCAACCTTTCAATTCGCAGGCCGGTGCTCAATCCACTGAACCACACCAGCCAGGACAAAAACCTTTTAAAACATAAGTTAGATCACGGTACTGCTCCTCAAAACGCTCAATGGGTTTTCCATCATATCTGATGGAAGAAAAGTGTTTTCCATGGCTACGGAGATGTCCTATGTTAGCATCTTCCTCCTGGCTCACTCCATTGTATCTACACTTGCCTCCTTATTACTCTTCACATACCCTGAACTAGCCTCACACCGCAGGGCCTTTATACTTGTTCTGTCTGCCTGAAAGAGTCAACTCCAAGATATCCATCCAGCTCACCCTCTCACTTAATGAGTATCTCTATGCAAATGTTACCTCTTTAGAGAGGTCTTTTCTGACCTCCCCTCTATCACCTCTCTCTCCTTATCCCAGATGATTTTTATCTCTAGGTACTTACATATGGACATTATATACTTTTTATCGTCTATCTCCCCCCATTAGAATGAAAGTTCCATGGGGGCGGGGGCTTTGTTTTGTTCACTTTTTTCCATAGAGTCCTTATCCCAGGGTCTGACACACAGTGCAATAAATATCCAATGAACAGTTTACGCTCATCAGAGTCTGTAGACAATTCGGCACATGTCAGTTCCATGAATGGAAGCTCACACAGAGAGAAGGTGAGTGGGAGACCTTCCTCAGCGAATACCCCCTACAGTGCGGTGTGACCTGGAATGATGTGGGCCAAATGGAATGGAATGAGTCCAGAATTTATTCCAGCGTTTTAAGAGAAAAATCCCAAAGAAATATGTTCTATAATTCTTCTGACAAACACCCTCTCCAGCTGAAACCCCTTTCCTAAAAGAGGCTCAGGTAGAAGCACAGAATGCCCAAGAATAGGTGATAAAAGTGATAAAATGACAGAAATTTCAAGTTTCATATGCAAGAAAGCTCTTGGTTCTGGAGAGGCAAATAGACTAACATGAAAGTCAGGAAAAATAAGAAGGAATCCTGCAATCTGCTCGTCAATCTAAAGCCTCTAACTGAGAGAAGAGAATTAGAGGTGGGCCCGTGTGGAGTTCCATGAGCATCCAAGGGCACATGGGTGGGTGTGAGTGTACCTGTCTCTTCCCGAATGTCCTAAAGCGTCAGCAGTATGGAAGAAAATAAGGAAACTAACGGGGACTGAGTGCCTCTAGTGGTGTCCTGCCGGACAGGTGCTCTCTTATGTGCTATCTCATTTAATCACTCTCATTCAACCACTTCAATAACGAAGAGGCCAAAAAGCCTTTCTGGCATTCAGGAAAGTATAAGAGACATGTGTCTGATTACAGGATACTAGGTCCTTGGAACCCTAAAACTTGTATCTCATCTATTGACTATCAAAGCCCATTCTACTTTCCCCCTATGATACTTACAAGTTTTGTTTTTTTTTTCCCAGTAAGGTTACCAAAAAAAAGCTCCACAAAATGCTACTGCAATTCCTCTACTTTTCTGCCACTTTCTGTAGTACATATGTGTGTACACAGGTTAGCACACAAACATGACACAGTAAATCATTTAGATATTGGTTATTGCCCACTTCTAGCCCAGAACTGAAGCAGTAGCATAAAATGGAAATAAAACATACCTCTAGTTGATGAATTAAATCCCGGGAAGTTTTCAGTGGCCCTTCTCCCCTGGAATAAATGAATTAAGGAAGGAAGAAGAAGTTATTGCCTGGGAATTGGCTTTGTAATATTAAAGTTTTAGAGCATTTTGTATATTAAGGGTTCACAAGTTTTTAAGAATATTGAATAGATTAATAATATTGTGATCTTTATTCTTAAGGCAACTTTAATGTTTATTATTTCCTAGGCACTTTTTAAAATTTTAAGTACACATTTACACCTTAATTTTACAATGTAAAGAAATTTAAAACCGACAAATTATATTTAAATTTTATTTTTCCTGTTTAACCTTTTTCATTTTGCTCCATCCATTAAATATATAGGATCTGATAATATATCTTAACCAAAAGGCCTTTGTTATGTAAAGAAAAAAGAGTCAGACTGAAAGGACATTCTCATTTCTGATTCCAGTCTCAGCTCCAGCAGGAAATTCAGTTGTCTTTGATAAGTATTGTCATTTAAGTTGCAATTTTGAGTCTATATAATCATCATAAAAATATTTGTGCTCCTCTTTCATCAGAAGGTTGGGGAATATCCGATTGAAAACCACCAAGAAGAATTAAGACCTCTACAAATGAGCAGTGAGTTACCAGAGAAAGCAACAGAACGCACGAATCAGGACGAGGCATGAATCAGGAGAAGTGACACCCAGCGGCAACCAGTTCTGCCTCTCAATAGCTATGAGATATAGGTCAGATCAGGTAACAGTAAAGTTAGGGAAAATCTGTGCTACGTAATCAATAGTGATTCAGGAGATCTGGCACTCCACTGAGGTGGCAGGCCTAATGGCTTTACTCTTTGATCTGTGTCTAATCATTCACATGCATAAAGATTTAAAAGGCATGTTTCCTAAACTTACTCATGCTGCCCGGGAGAGACAGTGAAATAGAGGATAAAAAGAAGCAGAATGCAAAATTATTTCAAAATTATGAAAAGAATAGGATACAAACCTAGAAGAGGATCTGTTCTAACTCTTAAATCTTAATTAAATGTTTTCTTGTTGCATTCACTTAATTGACACAAGAACTACAAACATAGGCTTTTTACCACATATATGAAACTGACTCTGACCCATCAGTGATTTAACATGGCACCTTTCCTCTACACTAGATACTAAATGGATGTTAAAAGTTCGAAATGTAATTACATTCACCTAGTAAATAAATATAGAGAATAGGCCATACTGGACATGTTCCGTCCACATCGAACAATCTCATTCTCTTGATTCTCCCACTTCTCGATCTCGCAGTTGACATCAGAGGTGAGCAAACCCAGCTTAAGACCAAGCTTTGCAATCTTGGCCTTCTCCTATAAAATATGTAGAAAACATTTTAATCACAACAATTTTGTTATTACTGATGTAAAAAAAGATATTAGACATAAGGTGATTACAAAGAAAAAGGTCTTACCTCAGAGTCCGACTTGTCTTGTTTTAATGATTTCAGGTTTGTGTTATTCTTCTGTGACAAGAAAAAGATGAAGATATCTTAAAAAGCAGTTCAGTTCATTGTGAGGAAATACAATGGTAACAGAAAGCATAACAAAACACCGGTAATAAAGTTTTAATCTAGGCATTTTCAGTATCTATTTAAAGTATATCAAGTTGTTTAAGTTAAAATAAGAACTAACTGCAAGTACTCTCCTAACACGTGAGTTCAGCTCAGAACAGCTAGTTAGTTAGAAGGCCGGGGCAAGGGCAAGCAGAGCAGAGCCCAGGAGGACTTAAAGACTTCAGCAATTTTCCAGAGTCCAGTTACACACCCCCAAACCCTCCTGGCCCCTCTGTTGAATTATTCTAGAAAATGGCATAATGAAATTAGCCACTATCCGTAGAAGTCCATGTGTTCCTAAAGTTATGACTGGAATTTGATCCCTTTACCCAGTTTGCCCTTCGAGGGCTAAATTTCAGCATCCTTGTTTCACTGACACCCTGATTCCCAACCCTCTGCCCAGGCTGTACAGGAGATTACGTGAGTAGTTAGAATTTAGAACACTTGAACCAACATGTTCGATAGGCCTCTATTTTTGAAACAGCATGTTTGTTCCTTTGTAAGATATTGTTTAAGACTCAGAATTTATTTCCCCTGGGAAAGGAGGAAGCATTGTGCACTAGTCAGGTTACCAGGCTGACCCACAGATGCCTATTTACTAGAAGGGCAGAAAGCACTGCGATAGCAATGGTCCTTTGAAAAACATATTCAGAAGTTCTCTCAGAAGGCAGCAGGTTGGGCATTCTTCTCACTACGAGATGGGCTGGGAACTCCCATAGCTGGGCAGGAGGTCCAGAACAGCTGGGGCTTGTGGAGATGAAGGGGCCAGAAGAGGCAGGGGACTTTTTTTTTTAAGGAAACATTTATTTAAATAGTGCTACACATGGAGTGCATATTCGCACACCTGTACGAAGTATAAATTACTATAAAGCAAAACACTCAAATGCCCACATAGCTTAAGAAACAGACCACCACCCATACCTCTGAAGTACACACGTACGCCTCCATTCTTGGTTGCCCTCATTATAACCATGACTTGTTACTTCTAATCAGCTATTGTGCTACCAGTTTTACAAAGAACTGAACATCCTCAATTTTTCCCCTTTTTTTCCCCATTGTTTATATCTGCTCATTTAATGTAGTTCTTTGAGAGTTCCTAATGCCATTTACTATAGAAGAAATGGGAGAAATTAAAGCATAAAAAAATGAGTAAGGAAACTATAAGGTTATACACACACACAAGCTGCCTCTTATGTTCATTAGAAAATAAATGGATATAATCAATGATCTCTTTGGCTCCTCCTTGTAAAGTCACATCATCTTTATCTTATTCTTCAGTCTAGGCTACAAAGCAATTAATAAAACATTTAAGAAAGTTAAGAATACCCTACAGGGTTTTAGGCTTTATTTTATTTAGAATTTTATGTTCCATGATATTCTTTTAAATTGAGCTGTGTTTTCACTATTTTTAGTTAAACTTTTGCAAATTATTATTAAAGTGTTTTATGAAGACAGGAAGAGGATTGCCTGAAAAAAGCACAGAAACCAACTTAATAATGCAACCAAGCTTGCCATCTAGTGGACACTACTTGGGAATGCAGCCAGGTACATCAGCCTCAGTTATAGAAAGCTATATATACATTTCAAGCCTCTAAATGTAAATAGCATGGCACATTTTCATCAAGATAGGTAACATTTAAAAAGTCCCTAGCTTGTAGAAAATGGTTCCAACACAACCTTGTTAATTAGATCAAAGATATAAACAAAAAGATCTCTGACTTCAGATTATGGCTTCTTATTAATCATACCATTTGTTACCTATTCCCTCAACCCTCCAAACCCAACAAAAACAGTCACAGTAGGGGCTACAACTAGATTGCTATTCAGAATAGCAACCAAGACAGCGGGCAGAGGGGCGGGGGAGAGCGGGGGACCGGATGGAAGAGGGCGAGGGGGTGAGCCAAAGACCATGCAGGCACCGCCCACAGAAACAGACGGCGGTGGGGCGCGGCCTGAGGGAAGTGGGGCAGGGGCTGGGTGGAGGTGGGCAAAAGCAGCGGGAGACGGGAGCATCCGTAACAGTGTTGGCAATAAAAATAAAGTAAAATAAATAAATAAAAGAACAATGGGCCAAAAAAGAATAACAGCTACGGGCGGGAGGTGAGGGGGTGGAGGGATCGGACAAAAAAGAAAAAGGACTCGTGGACAAGGACAACAGGGTGGGGACTGCGGGGGCGGGGGCGCGGGGACTGGAAAAGCGGACTATGGAGTCTAAATGGCAATGGAAAAAATACAACGAAAAAAGAATCACACACAACTATGAACAATCACCATTTAATAGCCTATTTTCTTTAATGTCAAATATTGGAGGATGGGTAGCAGCAGGCAGCTAGAGTATAATTTGAATTCTGAATAAAAACATTCTGACAGGTACAAAACTCTCTTACTTACCGTTAGCTTTGGAAGTGAAAGGTAGCCATACTTCTCTCCTACAAATAACATATATAACTTAAAAATTGTTTTCCATTATTCACATTTAATTTTAAAATATTCTTAAATAAACAGGAATGTCAGTATATTAGTTTTTATAATTTTTCCTATTAATAACATGTGATTCAGAAATAAAATTGCGATTCGATTGGTGAACACAAAGACTGTCAGCAGTTGCATCTCTAAGGTGCCTATGTTGGCCATTCTCTACCCCCTCCAGCAAAATGGCAGAAAGGCAAAATATCTCACTGACATGTACTTACACGTACAACCATTTCCATTCATAGCGGATGCTTTCACAGTAGTCTGCCTCTAATGAAACCCAATTCTTCTTTTATCAGTACCAGTTACTGGTGCTTGCTTCCTCTTTTGCAAGTAGCAGACCAAATCATTTACAGCTATCCACATGTCCTCCCCGTCAGGGGAGAGGACAACGCGAGTGAAGAGACAGGAAGATGAAAGAGAGCAAGTAACAGACTCTTGGCTGGGAATGAACGTGTGGCAGGAAGTACAACTGCTAAGGAAAGAAGGAGATGTGTAACACCCATGCACCCCTGCCCTTTCATTCCTCCGGCCTCTGGGTCATGTATAAAGTCAGGTTACAGTGAATGATAGATTTTTTTTTTAAGCTAGTTTGTTATATCTGGGGTAAAAATTCAAGGTAAGATTTGAACAGTAATTGTCTATTGATGTCAAGGAAGGTATGTTCAACTATAATATATTAGGTGGAACCATATATAAGTACTGATACTCAACTACTTTCAAATATAAAAACAGCAATTTCATATAGTTCTACCCAATCAAAGCCAATAATATGTAAAAACACTAAAACATGTCATTCCTTATAGAATGACTATTACATGAACAGAACAAACCTGTTCATAACATATTTAAAATTTCATCTAGACCTTTACTGTTGAATATGAAATGCACTAGCCATACATGACTATTGATTCATTGAAACATGGCCAGTCTGAATCGAGACATGCATCTGTACGTGGAAAATACATGCTGGATTTTGAAGACTTAATATAAAGAAATAATGTAAAAGATCTCAATAATTTGTAAATATTGATTGTAAATTAAAATAATATTTTGGATATGTCAGGTTAAATAATATTATTAAAATGAATTTCATCTGTTTCTTTTTAAAATTTTTCTTGTGCCTCCTAGAAATTTTAAATCACATATGTGCCTTACACTGTATTTCCATTGAACAGCGCTGATCTGGAAGGTGACCTGTCCTTAAAGGTCCCCTTAAGGGTTCTTGGGAATAGCTTGGGATTCAAAATATTTCTCTGTAATGTCAGAATTGTAAGGGAATTTTATTAACGGTTTTCTGGTCTCAGGTTTGTGAGAGGAAAACACAGCTTTAAAGAGGAAGTCGCTATTTCCATGCCTTGTCTCCTAGCCCAATGTAAACTCTGCCTGATTCAGCCGTGAGAAGATGAGCAGAGGACTGTCTTCGAGGCACTCGGAACCTCAAAATTCACCATCTCTCTTAATTCAAAGTGTGAATCCTGTCTGTCATACCCCCTTAAAAAAGTGGTCTTAATAGGCTAGAGAAGAGGGCATAACCAGTACTGAAGTATAACTAGCTTAGATGAGCAATCCTGTATGAGCTGCCCTTGTGATCCTCGAGCGCGCCCATGAAACGTTCACATTTACTCTCCACGAGGGAGAAAAAGAGCTAGCCATTTCAGAATTTCTTATTTCTCCAAAGTAACAATAGAGTTAACGAAACCAGGAGGCAGGGGGAAATGCAGTGAGATGACAGCCTTTGAGTAACCGGCTCTGCTGTCATCTCCATTCACCAGTCCCCAGTCACCTGGCAGCTCCAATCCCTGCACCCTCTTACAGCTACGTCATTTTGCTCCCTATTCCCAGCCTTCACCTGGACTCAGAATGGGTCACAAATTTGAAGATCCCTCCAAAACCGGTCATTCTTCAGAGAGTCTCCTCCAAATGCTCTGCAGGCAAAGTTGTCCCTCTTTTCCCCAATTCTAATATAACCAAGTAAGTTGATAAAATACAAAAAAAAAAGATTAATCTGAATCATTTTATAATTTTATAGTTGTTTTTCCATACCAGCCCAATTATTGCCATCAATTTGAAGCAGAACAAAAATACATTGACTCAATTATATTTAGCTATTATATCAAATAAAAGAGGTAGTATAAACAAATAATTTCTGTCTCTGGTGATAACACATTATAAACATTAGAAGTAATTGGAAAAATAAATATTTGGAGAAAACATACTTGGTACAGATACTAGGTTTACAGAATTATTTTCAAAGCACTAAATCCTTTGTTTAATACTCCCTAAATCAAAACCACAAGTGGGCCATTGATACTTCTGAGTTTACAACTCCAGATAAATTAAGTTCCAAAGCCCCTCTCATCCTATGAAAGTACCAAAGTAATTTTCTATGAAAACCTAATTGAGAAGCACTGTTCTCATTTTCAATATTCAGAGCTTTTCCACATTTCTACAAATAAAACAAATTCCTCAAGGACACATAAGCCTTGTTATTTCACTGAAGATGTGCTACATTATTTCCTGTTAGAAGTTCAATTAGCTTTGGGGGTTTTTGGAGGGGCTCTATATGACATGATCAATCAGAAGAAAATCCATGTTCCCACTTAAAATGAATCCCTAACCACTGAAGGACAGGCAGATTATTGGCAAATCTCAGAAGTAGTATCTAAATAGTCTGTGTTGAAATAGTCTAATCCAAACCCAGTTGTCAACCTCAAACCCTCCCTACTTCTGCGTTCAATTAATCACCAAATCCTACTGATATTATTTGTAAAATTCTTCTCATACCAGTCCTCTTATTTTCTTTTCTGTTCTCATCACCCCATCAACACTTGTCTGGATGGATTACTCCCTTGTTCAAGATTTTGTGTGTCCCCCAAATAAGCTTGCATTTATGCGCAAGCATGTTCCTCTTCCTGTACCCACAGGCATCCTACCTGCCAAGTGAAACAGAGCTACCACACACGTCCTTAAAACCTGAGCTTAGCAATGTGAACTCTAAAATGGGTCCGACAGAATGAAGGAAACTCAGCTTCCTTAAAGAGGGGAGAGAGTCTGCAAACTATGGGAGACAGCTTCTTTTTGACAGTCATTTGTCTAAAATAATCTCAAGATATAAACACTGCTACACACTCATCACTAAGGGAAAGTGAAGTCTTTTTTACCTCGTCCCTTCCAATATGAAGACCATGGCCTCCCTGGAGGTTTGGGTGAAAAGGCAAAAAGGCTGGAAGGCAAATACTGATTTTTGAGTTCTTAAAGCAATCCCAAGAGGCCCTATTGTAAAATTTGAGTGTCTTAAGTAAAGACAGTGACTTAACTCTCAGGTTGGCTTCAAGTATGAGAATACCAATAGTTCTTTCTCATTGTTTAGCATGCTGTTCGCCACTTAATTGCTTGGTTAAATGATACTTAAAAACCTATCTGAGAATTTTCCCAGTTATGAAAATCAAGATATGCAGAGCAGAACTAAGGTGGCTGGAATACAGCAAAGGCTTTTCAGTAATAGTTATAACGTGAGCTATAACAGTATCAGAGAGGAGTCAGGAGTGGAAGAATACTCATACGCTCTGTCCTTTGTATGGCAAGCAGTGAGCGGGGGCAAGGTCACAGGCAGGTCGCTCAGACCCATACAGAACAAGAAGAGCGACACTGTGACCTGACACTGGACTCAGCCCACACAGTAATGGCTAACTCAGAGTTGGACTTCGTGGAAAAAGCTATTCTTACGAGCTTCATGATAAATAACAAGGATAAGGAAAGGCGATACAAGAAATCAGCCAACTCAGTCTCAATTAACCCCACAGAATGAGGTCTTCCGATGTCTTTAGCAGGAAAGCAGTGGGCATCCTGCTGACTGAATGGGGCAGAGGTTTCCCCTCCTAAAGAGGAATTTCTGTTCATCCCTAAGGAGGTTAAGGTAATCCTTAGGATAGGCTACCCAAAGCTAAAGAAGAGGTCATTTACATGATATCCGGCTTGAAAGGAAAAGTAACTCCAGTGACCATGTATGACTTTTCCTGTTTCGACTCTGGTCTATCTGCATGGGCGCTAGGGCAAGGAGACGCGGGGGAGACCACTGCTCTTCCCTGACTACACAAGCCCGGTGGCTAAGGGATCATTCTTCTGTAAATGCGGGTCAGTTACATCACCTTCCCTTTTAATATATGAAACTTACCTCACATAAAAACCCATGTAACTATAAATACTTTAACAATGCATCAAAATGATATGTCATTCAGACTAGCTCTCACAGAAATCTTTAAGTGTAGAAGCACAGTAAAATTGATTATACTTTACAAGTTATGTTAGATCTACAAGTCTACCATTCCCTGATTTTCAAGCATGTCAGGAACTGTTCTAAATGAATATTTTTAAAAAAATAGGAAATGTTTAAATGTTCATATTCTGTAAAAAATATGTAATTTGATGTTATTGTGGCTTTAAATGTCATTTTATTTTAAAAACTAAGTATGCTGGATGCTAATGGAAGCCACTTGAAGGGAAAACTATATAAAAACACAAATACAGCCCTGGCTGGTGTGGCTCAGTGGATTGAGCGCTGGCCTGCGAACCAAAGGGCCGTCGGTTAGATTCCCAGTCAGGGCACACGCCTGGGTTGCAGGCCAGGTCCCCAGTAGGGGGCGTGCCAAATACAACCACACATTGATGTTTCTTTCCCTCTCTTTCTCCCTTCCTTCCCCTCTGTCTAAAAATAAATAAAATCTTTTTTAAAAAAAGTAGGAAACTTTAAAGAAAAACACAAATATGAATAACAGGACACACAGCACAATGGGAAATAAAGTTAAAACGATGCCTTCCTGAGCATTGTACAGTGCTATTCTACATGTTATAGAAATAATGAACTTACCCACCATAGGAAATATTCCAAGATTATGTAGTCATCAAGGAAAAATATTCCATCCAAGTGGAAGGAAAGCAATTCAAAAATCAAATAACTACATTCATTTCATTATGAAATTAATGGAATTAAATCAGATAATTACTATGTTGCAGAAGAAATTTGTGCTAAAATTAAAACCAACTTAGAAGAAATATAAGATTACTTAACTTCAATAGGAAAACTAGAATGGTAATATTAATTCAAAGAAATCTACTGTGCTTTTGTACAAGAAACTTTACTGCTTAGATACTAAATAAGGACAACTATTATTTTCATAATTTGGGGGGGAGATATTTTACTATAAAAATAATTCAGTTGGGTTATAACAAAATAATTTATTTTGCATCTAAAGTTTGAAATTAAAAAACTAATGGAGTTACATTAAAATAATAAAATATTTCAATATGTGGATAGTTTCTCACCTCGTCTTCCTTCAAACACATCATTGATCTCTCTTAGCAATGTTGACATGTCACTAATTTGGGATTCCCAAGCTTCACAAAATACATCTAGGTTTTCTTTAGCAATTTTACTAGACGGATGCAATGTTAATGTTTCAGCAGCAGAAATTATCTAAAGAAAGAATATAAACAAGTGTGAATTTCAAAATCTTAGCTCTTAGAATCACACTGGTGACCAAACTTAAGTCTGCACTGCCCAACTCAACTCAATAAACAACTATGAAGTAATTTCCACATATAAGCCTCATGTTGGGCAGTGGGGGGATACATAGTAGAACAAAACTTGCTGTTTCTCATAATCTTATCTACAGACAAACAGTATGTACTATCCTGTACAAACCTTTATTCAGGGAGCAGTTATCCTTATGCAAGGAAGACTCTGTTCCAACAAAGCTATTTCCATAGTATAATTCAAAGTTATGCTCAGACAACAAAGAGTGTACCATATACTAGAGTGTACCATATACTAGAGTGTACCATATACTGTAGTAGAAGAGATAGCAGTAATAGTAATGGTGGTAGTAATAGCAGTAGTTAGGCAGTAGTGGTAGTGGTAATGGTGTTGGCAGAGATGGTGAGTGGTAGTAGCGTAACATTGGTGGTGTTGGTGGTAGTAGTGGTGGTATGGTACTATTCATGTCAGTAGTAGTGATAGTACTAGTTCTAGCTAAATAGTAATGCTGGTGGCAGTGGTGGCAGTAGCAGTAATATTGGTATTAGTGGTGGTAACAGTAGTAGGTAGGAAGTAATAGTAGCAATGGTATTAGTAGTAACATATGCACACACCTATGAGTACATTGTAGATATATTCTTGAGATACTGTGTTAGGTGCTTGATATACACTAATGTTAATCCTCAAAACCCCACAAACAAAATACTACTCTTCCCAAAAGATCATTATTCCCATTTTATAGCTGGAGAAACTGGGGCTCAGAGATACCAAGTAACTAATACAGCAGGTCCTCGAATTAGGTTATTTCATTCAACCTTGTTTCATTATAATGCTGATGAAATGCCATAGGAACTTAATTTATGCTTGTATCAATTAGCCTATGATAAAATTGGTTCTGTTACATATAATTTTGTTTCACTTAAAGGCACAGAACCTATCTATGATGTTAAGTGAAAGCTTACTGATACAGCTATTCATTCACCTATTACGTGCCAGCCACTGTACCTGTGTTCCCAGTGCTGGGGAAACAGCTGTGAGAGACACAGATCAATGTCCCTGTCTTCATGGGCTCACATTATAATGTGGGGAGACAACTGAAAATACAGGGTCCAGCAGAAGTAACGCCTGCTTAAGTGTGGTTGGTAGGGTAATAATTTGGGTGTAATAACATAGTTTTAATTTGAACATTTCACCTAAAATGTCATATGGTGTGTTTGAGTTATGATATTGTTATGCTACAGAATTACATGCTTAAGATTTTGTAATAAAAGCTTTTATTTTAAAAAAAGGGCATTATTTGTGCCAGACCCTGTATATAAGTAAATTATAAGATATTTTAGAAGACAAATGGTATGTGTAAAAATAAAGGGTAAGGTGGGTGGAGGGTATTAGGTGGTGAGTGAAAAAATGGCATATAAGCAATGAAATGAAGAAGGTGAGGGAGCCACAGGGAAAGTGGTTTGGGATGAGATGGGAGCATGTCTGGTGTGTTCGAGAAACAGCCAGGAGGCCAGTGTGACCGGACTGACATAAAAAAAAGGAAGGTCACTCATGGCCATGTGATGGACAAACATACACAGTAGGACCGGACCGGCTGCTGAGTGGGAGAGGAAGTCGCTGGAGAGCTCAGAGGCTGATGTGATAGCGGCTATGCTCCCTTGCAGAGAATTAGAACCAGGTGCTTCTCCGGGGTGGGAGGAGCCGACAGGCACAGGGCCCGACAAGCCGGTGGCAGCCTTATGAGTAGAACGCAGTTCCCCATCTTCCGGGGAGGTGGACACGTGGCTGGCCAGCAGGCCACGAGCTAGGCCTCAGCACTCCTCCCTCTCCGTCAGGAGCCCCTGCACAGTGTGCCAAATGCTCGACTGTGCCCTGGGCGTGATCTAGCATTTTAAAGGAGATATAAAAATGACATTGCTAACACAGAGGTATGCAGAAATAAATATAAATTATCCCAGAGGCATGCTCTCCTTCCTTAAATGATCCCTTTGTGAGACAGATGGCAAAGATCAGGTAAAAGCTGAGGTGATAGGAACAGAAAAAGCTTCCAAGTTACAGACGTTTGAGGACAGGCTCTATCACCATCCTGGGAAAGAAAACCTGGCTTTTCCTAATATCATTACTACAGTAAAAACAGTAAACAGAACTGCAACCAAAGAGCTGACTGTGTAGGACAGGAGGGTCAAGCCCTTTAGTTCTACGGAAATACATTCTAGCCGAGGCAAGTAGGATAGCTCCCATCTGGACGAGCAAATATGGAAGCATGGATTTCTCTCAATAAACAGAGATCCTCTGGTTATAAAATGTTCAGCAGATGATCGCTGGGGAGAGTCGCTCTTATAGAGTTGACCCTTGAACAATGCAAGGTTTAGGGGTGCTGATATCTGCACGGTCAACAATCCACATATAAGGATATAGACCCTGCTTCCACAGTGAGCCTTTGACACTGCTCTCTCTGTAGGAGGGTATATAATCATCCCTCTGCTGAGGTGAGACCACCATTGTCTCTAAGCCACTTTCACTGCTCTCAACTATAAATCCAGGGATTTGATATCTATATTGCAATAAAATAAGTCCTCTGGGGCCCTGGCTGGGTAGCTCAGTTGGTTAGAGCATCATCCCAATTATGCCAAAGTTGCATGTTCCATCTTCAGTCAGAGCACATACAAGAATCAACCAGCAAATGCATAAATAAGTGGGACAACAAACTGATCTCTCTCTCTCTCTCTCTCTCTCTCTCCCCCTCTCCCCCCTTTCCTTTCTCTCTCTAAAATCAATTTAAAAAAAAAAGGAAATTCTTTTGGCTGACCATGATGAATGAAACAGGAACACCTAGTAAATTCTATTTTGGGGTTAGAGAGGAAGTTCTGTCCCTCACTTTTCCCCATAGATTTATTTGACAAGGACAGTAGTAAATGGACTGTCAATTTTTAAAAGGCTTTGAAAATTACTATAGAAAATTTAGAAAAAAATAATTCACAATTCTCTCAAAGAACTTTCATTTCTGCATATTCCCAGAGTCCTTTTCTTATATATATACATTTTATATAATAGCAAGTATAGTATATATACAAAGTTATAGTTTTTATCACCTAACGTTTTAACAAAACACTTTTCAATATTGTTAATTCTAGTTATTATTTTAAGTCATATCATTTACCTAACTTAAGATAGCTATTTTGCTTCCAAATGAATCTTATGATAAGTAAAGTTGTAACAAACATCGCTTTGTTTTCTTCTGTTGTTGTTTTTAATCTCCTTATGTCCTTAGGAATTACTGGGTCAAAGTGAATATTTTTATGGCCTGTTACATAATAGCAGCTCTCTTTTTAAACATGTTACAACAACCCACATTGTAAACAGCTTCATTAAAATACATATAAACTAGGGCATTAATTTAATGGGCCAATCTCCCACTTGGCAGGTGACCAGGTAACCCAGCGGCATGTCAGCTATGTCCCAGCACACTGCCAAGGAAAATTCCATTATCTTCGCTTCTCTCGGTAGAATTTGCCTGTAGTTAAGTAGAACCACTTACATCTTCCTTTTGCACAACTTGTTATGACACTCCGACACAACTTAATATAGCAGGAACAATTCTGCAGTTGATCATACCTGTTGGCCAGTCACCTGAAATGTCTCCTCTGCGTGCACACAGGTTATTTCCAGAGGTTCTGTCCCAGATACATGTCGCAACAATCGACAGGTCTACAAGAAAACATTTCTACAGTTCAACCTCCATAATCTCGTGTTTCACAAGACATAGTCTCATTTTATAATTCATAGAGACAATAACACATTAAAAGCTATAAAAATCATTTTTGCATTAAGGAGAAATTATTATAATACTATACTGGTTACCAACAGACTCTCTAGGAACAAATAAGGGTACAGAGTATTGGTTTTACTTCCTATCTGACCATGACAGGGGGGTCAGAGACTGTTAGAATGAAGGCGAGTCCTGGAAAGGATCGAGCAGTACCCACACATTCTACGTATGAAGATAGTTTGCTCAGAGAAGGGACTTGCCCAAGGTCTCTCGGCTTAACTAGGTCAATTACTAAAAGCTATGCATTCTTCCTGTCAACAAAACCCACTTTCCTTCATGGTCAGTTAATGAACACACCTTTCACTGGCGTTAACACTGAGCTAGGCAAGACAAAAGGAATGAGCTGAGGGTTGTAGTCAGTGAAAATTCCTGAAAGCTTGGAGGCTTAACACAGAAAATTAGAAAAAAATCTTTTTTCATCTTTAAAAAGATTTGCTGCAGGATTCCTATAATCAGCAAATTTGCTTACAATCATAGTATTTGGCTCACAAACAAAAAGGCATAAAAACTATTTTTAAAAGGAGATGTAACTACAGTCATTTTAAGAATGTTCCTGAGCAGTTTCACATATAATCAAATAAAGGGGAGGAAGCTAGTTCACTTGATCTAAAGGCTCCTTCAACCATTAGTCTTTGAAATTTGGTGAGCAGGGTATATGAGATCATCGGAAAACAGCTAGTTGTTTCGTATTCACATATTCATATGCATGTTGGCTAAGACATGTCTTTATATATGAGGTGTATATGGCTTAAATATATTTTTTACTAGCAGATCAGATGTCTGACATTCTCAATAGGTAGAAGGCTTAGAATATCAATAAATAATTGAAATTATAACAAAAGCGGCAGGCAAAGCACCAGTAGTGCTTAACGGAGATCTAGGAAGTACAGGAGAGGTTCGGAGAAGGCAGATTGTACCGGATGTCTTCTCTTTGGCCTCCCATATCCACTCTCCTCCTTTCTCAAGCCAGCTTTTGTCCTGGGAGACTGGCCTAGGTGGCCTGCAGCTCCGTTTGGCCAATGGGAAGCCCCAGCACTACTAGACTAGCAGGGATGAGAAGAGTAAGGGCCTTTATTCCCATGTTCTTTCCCTGCAGGGTCGCCTGGGACTACCTCTGTGTCTAGTCCTAAAATCACCTCTCTGGGCGTCGCTCTGGAAGGCTCTCTGCCCTCCCAGTTTCCAGTAGCCACTGGTTTCCCCTGCGCCCTGTCTATGCAATTATAAATACCTCCTTTATTAAACCCTCTTTAAATTATCCTAATTTGAAAGTGCCTTCTCTTTCCCCCTACCCAGCAGATCCAAATAGAAACAAGGTTATACAGGGTGTCTCCACTGCACCACTCAAGGTCTAATCTCTCTGAGGGAATAAGGGAAAGATTAAGAAATGCATTTGTGGATTCTTGCAACTTTGGTTGTTTTGTTTTAGAAGCCAGACTGTTGTAAGAACAAAAGAGATAAATACAATACCTTTAAAAATCCAAAAGTGAGAAAGTGCTTGTGTAATTTAACCAAAAACTATATTTGCATTAATATTCCCTGATGATAGTACAGTTATCCTTAAACCACAATTTCTTTAACAAGTAAACCTATTACTCACCTCGACAAGCTGTTCTTTCTGTTCTGAGAATTTACAGGCATATTCAGCCAAACCTTCTAAATTTCCTTCTACTCCAGTAAGTTTTAATGCTTTTAGAACCACATGATCGGCATGGTATTTTAACAGATCCGCTGCCCGCTGAGTGGCTGTACTATGAAGCTGCAGATGGCGGGGGTGGAGGGTGATGAAACAAAGGCAACAAACCATGAGATTTCGTGACCACGCCCCTCAGATTCACTTTAAAAACCAAAGAGTAGCAACCTCCACACAGTCCCACTTGAACCTTGAAGGGGAAAGGTGTAAAGATCGCCGTGGGGATGGAAGCAGCTGTAGAGACCCGGGGAGCTTGCAAGCCGTCGCCAGGGCAGGGGCAATGTCTACATCTTTGAGTCCCCAGTGTCGGCAGTGATGCTGTGTGTAGAATGTGGCCTGGTCATCCTGGCCGATGAGCCCGGTCCCTGGTTCATTCTACTCTCAATCAGCTCTTGCCCACATGGTTTCTCTCTTACCTCAAAAAACGCTTCTGCCACCCTTAAAGTCAGTGAGGAATAGAACAGTATTAACAGTATGGCATTCAAAGGATTAAGAAAGAAATCCATTAGTAGTTTGTGATCATGTTATTTTTATCAGATTTTTTGAAAAGTGTATCAATGTGGGATTTAATCAATTAGCTATTCAACAGAATTTTATTATGTATCTCTCTCAAGTCCGGCGCTGGGTTAGAGCCTGGACATTCGTGACAAGTAGGTCACAACCCCTTCCCTCAGCAGGGTTACAGTCTATCGACAGTTGTTTTTCAGAACTTCTAACTCTTGGGCCACAGGAGGAACAATACATAAAAGGGTAACAAACCTCCTAAGGTTCTATTTGACGTGGGAGTGGATTTTAAGCATGGTTCATTCAAACTGGGTATCTTTGGGTTACTATGCAAAATCTTCTCCTTATTCTGGTCTCTAAAATAATAATAATAATAATAATAATAATAATAATAATAATAATAATAATGTGACAGGTTATTTTTGGGTTCTCCAGAAAGAGATAATTTTTAATAACACTGTCCCCAGAAAAATCTGACCTTGAATTAAGCCTATTTGAATGAAGTGACTTTTTTTTTCCTGGAAGTAATCCAATGTCAACTCAAATTATAGGACTTTCTGCAAATTAACAATAGGGCAGTCCACATTCATGCAATCAAGTGAGAATAATTACTGTCAGAAACAAAGACATTAAAACGTACTTTCTTTTGGAAACAAAAGACTGCATAAGAATTTTCAAAGATTTTGTTTACCCATCAGGGCCTTAGAGGATACTTAATGCCAGCCCTTTATTTTACAGACCATGAAACAGGTCAAGTAACTTGTCTAAGGTCACGTAACGTTTACAAATTGTTCCAGAGACAACTTATTAGCAACCCTAAGGGAAGAAGGGTAAGTAACACAAAGTTCCTGCTCCGTGCAATGCACTGACAACAGCTTTATATAGACGTTATGTCCCTTAATTCTAACAAAGATTCTAGGCTAACGTAAGAGGTAAGAAAAATGAAACTTGTGGAAAGCCCTCAGCCTAGTACCAAAGGGATGTGTGCTCTCTGATAGTCGTTTCTAACAATAGTTTAGTTAAAATTAAATAGGTTGGGAAAAAATGGGTAGGGTTTTTTTAAACCATAGAAAATCATACCTTCTATGTTTGACAGAATATTAAAATGAAGGTTTCAATAGAGGTCGGTACCAAGTAAGATGTGAAAGACATCACCATGTATATAACTTAGAAAAGAAACATTCAAAACCCAATTTTATTCTCTTGATCTCTTGACCCACTTCAAAACTATGACGGAATCAAGAAATTAGAGATGAGGGAGAGGAGAGGTTTTTGGGGGGAGGATCTGTTTGGACAGCTGATGGTGCTGGCTGCGAGTTCCACCTTCCCGGGCGCCCAAGGAGAGGGAGCAATGTGACATGGGGCTTGCACTAAGGGCTGACGAGGGGGACAGCAGGAGCGCCTCTGAAGGACACACTCAAGTATCCACAAGAGAGAGTCAGCTTTAAAAATCTACTTAGCCCAAAGCATCTTACAGGGCACCAGTCACTAAGAACTTCCCGCCTCCCCACTTCCTGTCTTCTCTCCCACACCTGGCAGAGATCAGCCACAGAAACTGGATCATGAGGGATGAAGGTGTGAACGAGAGACAGGAGACCACACTTCCCTCCAAACCCTCGCTGGGGCTGAGGGAATGGGAAATAGGAGGCAAGTCCTACAACTGAAATAATGATTAATATAGTGGAGTGAACATTCTCATTCTTGAACTGAGACTGTGTTTTATGATGTAAAGCAGAGATTGGCAAACTTTTTCTGTAGAGGCTAAATAGGAAAGAGTTTAGGCTTTTCAGGCCACACAGCTTGCACTGCAACCGCCCAACTCTGCTGTTGATGTGAAAAAAAGAAAACAAAACAGCAGACAAAAGCAAATGAACAGGACTGTCCCCCAAAATTTTATTTAGGAACACAGACAACCTGGTTGTAGTTTGCAAACCCCTGACTTTAGGTGACTTTCAACGACCTGAGAGTGACCAAGTAAGTCATGGAAGAACCAAGTCTTCATTTAGGGAACCAAAGGAACATTTTTCAAATATAACACAATTAAGGTATAATTTATACACAATGAAATGTACCAAGAGTACAGTTTGATGAGTTTTGACAAACATATAGACCAACCACCACAATCAGTATTTCCATTTCCATTACCCCAGAAAGTTCTCCTTTATAGTCAATATCCCCAAACTCCTGACTCCAGGCAGCCACTGATCTATGTCACTTCAAATTAGTTTTGGCTCTCCTAGAATTTCTTCCGAATAGATATATATCTATCTCTACATCTATCTATCTGTATAGCTACACATATAGATATAGAGATAGAGAGATATACACATACAGAAATGGAGATAGAGAGGCAGAGACAGTGACAGATACAGAGACATACACACACGTTCTTTTGTTTCCGGTTTCTTATGTTCAGTATAACATTGTGACGTCCATATTTTTTTAAAAATTGATTTCAAGGAAAGAGGGAAAGGGGGAAGAGAGGGAGAGAGAGACACCCACCTGCTGCTCCGTCCATTTAGCCTTCATTGGTTGCTTCCTGCATGCTCCCTGACTGGGGATTGAACCCACAACAGTGGCACATGGGAACGACGCCCTAACCAACTGAGATACCCAGCCAGGGTGTGACATCCACATTGTTGCCTATACATTGATATTGTTCCTTTTATTGCTGAGTAATATTTGGTTTAGTTATACCAAAATTCTTTTATCAATTTCCATTGATGAAAATCTAGGTAGTATCCAGTTTGGGGCTAATAAAAATAGAGCTGCTATGAACATTCATGTACAAGTTTTGAGATTGATGGCACTAATAAAATGGCGGCTTCAAAAGAAAGTTTTAGAAATCATTTTCTGCATACAGGGACATACGAATACTTACACATTTCATATGTACCATATACAACATGAAAATTCACAAAGAATTCAAAGAGGCTAGATTCCAAATGATACTCACTTCTTTCTTAAGTTCATTGAGGCTGTGACTGATTTTCAGTATACTGAGTTCCAGTTCTTCAGCAATGCTTTTTGTTTTCTTGCTTTGCTAAAGAATTTAAAAAGTATATATGTAGAATTACTACATCTTTTTTGTCTGATAATGCCAATTTTACTTGAACTATAAATTATAATAAATTCCTAATATTCTGTGCACTATAAGAAAAGTAGATTTCAAAAATTCACCTGTTTATGGTTAGAAAAGAAGATAGAATTTTAAGTATTTAGTTATATTTTCCCACTCTAACTATAAACAGATTAATTTCTAAAATCTAAACTTTGTTTAATAAATTTATGTCTAAAACTAAACTATTCTATCTTATGCCTGGAATGCTCATCTCCTCACTCTTAACCTGTTAAAAACTAACACCCTATTCCTCTTCAAGCTCTTACATAAATGTCTCTTTCTCAGAAAGTCCTCCTCAGATCACATAATCTTAACTAAACCCTCGTCTTATCCACGCTAACCTTTTCTCTAAGGACCCATCCTGGTATGGCGTTACATATTTACTCTTTGATATTCTTTACTTGTTTGTTTCATGTCTGTCTTCCCCACTAGGCCTTGGAAGGCTCCCTGAGGGCTGGGATCATATTTCTTCGTGTCACCACTGAATCTACAATACCTGGCACTGCAAATGGAAGGTAGTGAGTATTCAGTCCTTTGAATGCATAAATCAAAATTAAATGTCAGTATTTTCAAGAAGCCATCTTGATCCCTCCTCCCTAAATAAAAATCCATCCTCCTTCAAATTCTCTCAGCACACAATCTGTATCTTCTTTTTGGATACTTCCAAAGCTTTTAATACTTGCCTCACCCCTTCCCACATTTTTCTACATTGCAAAATTCTTGCAGGCAAAGATTTTATCTTCTTCTTCATCTTTAGATTTCCAGTGCCTGGCATATAAAAGGCACTCAGTAACAACTGCTAAAATAAATGAATGAATGAACAATGCACCTGGTATGCAGAATCGGAGATCTGAGTGCTTGTGAAATATGTGAAAGGTGCTAACTGCAAATTTAAGTGCTGATAGAATCAGATTCCCAACACAAATAGCATTTTCTTACAGAAACTCTTTTCACTGGATGTTGGGCTTAAAATTTAACACCGAAGCAATCTATACTTTAGATTAGATATCACATAGGTAATTCAAACTAAATGCAAAATCCTGTTGTTATCCCTCACACCACTCCGCTCCAGGTTAAGTGTCCCCATTACTGTGAGCATTTACAGTGCTGCAATGCCAAGAAAATACGAGAGAAATCTGCGATTCATGTCTACTCTTCATTCATAAATCAATTTTTTAGAAGTTTTTAAAAAAGATTTTATTTATTTATTTTTAGAGAGAGGGGAAGGGAGGGAGAAAAAGAGGGAGAGAAACATCAATGTGTGAGAGACACATCAATTGGTTGCCTCTCACACGCCCCCAACTGGGGGCCTGGCCAGCAACCCAGGCATGTGGCCTGACTGGTCATTAAACCCGCGACCTTTCAGTTCACAGGCCGGCACTCAGACTACTGAGCCCCACCAGCCAGGGCCATTAATCAATTTAACACGGACATAAACTCTGTTTTGTTCCGTACACTCTCAGTCACATTCACCCTTTTTCTTCATCTTTACTGCCAAAGCTTTTGTTTAAGACTTCCAGATGTGTTCTCTCCATGCTATATGTCAAAAACCACGTTAAATACTGTTTTGACATAGCTGCAGTCTAAAAACTAAAGGGGCCAGAGACACCGCAGGCCTGCGTCTCTCAAGGTGGAATTGCCCTCCACAGGAACCTGGGCCCTTGCTTCCTGTGTTGTCCCACTTCTGCCGGCCTTCACCACGCTGCCCAGATACCGCCTGTGTGTGAAGCATACCAGCAGCCTCTTTAAGGTCCTTTAGGTCAAGGCTGCCCACCACTCTCAGACCAGGAATCTGTTCAAGAGTGAAAAATCCTTCCCCCGCCAGCTGGACCCACCCTCGTCTTTGTTGCATCTAGACCCCAATGTTTCCTAAACCGCTGTGTCTGTAAACCAAGCTGTCCTCAGAGTTAAGAGCTGTGCACATGTGAATGGCTCCAGCGGTAAGACTCAGGCCCCCAGAACCCGGAGATAGGGGTCTCCTCCTCTGCTCTTCACTCCAAGGAAGCATTTTGGGGAGGAATGTTCCAGAGGTGAGTTTGGTGGAAGAGTAGGGACCACAGGGTGAACTAGTAGATGACAGGGGCACAGAATCCAGAGTGGCCAGGATGAGAAACAGGCCTAGAAATGCTAAGTCCTTTGAGGGCCAAGTAGGAGGGAGACAAGCAATGAGACACCCTGGTCTTCCTCTGGACCACGTTCATATTCCTGGTGATTGCATTTGCTTCCACATCTCTCAAAACTTAAGGAAAGAGCTACTACATAAAATTTACTTGGATGAAAAGAGATTCTTACAGCCTGAATCCACACAGAAATCAATGGCTGCAGTTCCCTCCTCGCTTGAGCTGACAGTTCCAGGATGCGCTCTCTATGTTCATGGCTGGTATACGCAGAATCCGTGAAGTCCTCTGTACGCTCCAAGATGGCTTCCAATGTTGCAGAAAGACTCTCTTTGGACTGAAAATAAAGATTCTCCCGAAGAGTTTCAATATTCATCTGAGAATAAAACAGACACACATCCACATGAGTGTTCCCACCTAACGAACAGGGACTGTACTTTCCAGCAGTGCCCAGGAAGACACTAGCAATTTCTTTCCCTGGCTGTGGGCTCAGGAGAAATACAGCCTCCACCGCAGACTATATTCTCCACTAACCCAGGAGGACACGTGGCTCTGGAGTCACCAATGGCCATGTAGAGCCTCATTCCAATAGCTGTTAATTCCCATAAAATCAGTGAGTATGAAGGCAGAAAGAACATTATCATGTAGCAACAGGTGGAGAAAATGAACCAGCCTCCAGGTAAAGGATCTGCATTTGAGAAAATGCTGAGGCAAAGCCCTAGAAAATGTTACACCCAAATATGATTGTGTACTGAGCCCAGAGGAAGGGTGTGGAGGGTGGAGGGTACGCGGCCAACAGCACCTCCCACACCAAAATATCCTCTACCGGGAAGCCTATATAATCTTTCTTAAAAGGTAAAGCTTATGATATTGCCACCTCCCTCTAATTGGCTCCTCACCATCTAAAAATCAAGCCCAAACTTCTATTGTATAACACAACACCCTCTAGGGCCTATCTTTATATACCTCTTTGATAGTCTGTCTTATCCCCTACCCCCCACTTTCACTTCAGCCACCCAGTGCTTAGAGTGCCTTCAATATGTGACAGACACGTGTTTACTGGGACAATCGTCCTCTCTCAGTTTTCTAAGATACGCTATGCCACTTCAACCTTATGTAACCTCTAGCCCATGAAATATATCACAGAAACAACTCGGGTCAGGAGGCAACAAGAGGGGATGATCACGACTGGTCACAATGAAGGTGCTGAGAAGAGTGGCTTATAGTGTTTTAGTCCCTTCACAAAGACTATGTCAAGTTAATCCTTCGTATGACCCATGCAAATATTAAGGTTTATGAAAATCAAGAGGCCATAGGGGCTGCTTGCTGCCCCTTGTCCTCCTGGCCCGAGCTGTCTCCAGTGTCATTTCATCATATGTAGACAGGATTTTTTTTTTTTAAGCTGGGAAAGAACATGGGTATTAGTGAGGTATGGAGTTGACAATGAGGGTCTGCGAATTTGAGAATTTGAACAGAATTGCAACATAAACATCAGCTATGCTGACTGCATCATTTACGTTAAGGTTTTTTCTTTTTCTCTTCGAAAGAACATGGATGCGTTTTTAAACAGTAATTTAGGACAGTTATTTTTTTGAAGGCCATTCATTTTTAGGGTTTCAGAAGATTTGTCCATACGTTCACAGTACCAGATACAGTAAAAGTATTTTCCTCTACAGATTATACTCTCTATCCAAAAAAAGTCAAGATGCCAAAAACAGAACCACGGGTAGTGAGACTGAGTCTATTCACGATAGCTCTGCCCTTCAAAATGCCTGACGATGACAGGGTCAGCAGCTAGAGCCATTGGCCACAGGTATGGTGCTGCCCCGAGTTAACCTGGCCAGAAATGCAGCGTTAAGGAGCAAAAGACCTGGCTCTAACCCTACTTGTTTTTGATCTTTGACAACACATCTCTCCCCTCAGCCTTCATAAGAAAGAGGGGATTAGAAAAATAATCTCTAAGATGCCTTTCAGTCATAAAAACTCTAAGAGAATGGTCCCTCCTTGCAGCTTCTTTCCCCTCGGGGGGATTTATGGCAGAACTATTAATAACAACAGTTCTTGTGAGTATTGTACAGCATGTAGGCAGACTCAGGGGTATGAGCTGGAAGGTCATGGACATTGGGATTAAAAAGTCCTGGTTTTAAAGGTCTCCATCACTTACTAGCTTTTTTCCTCAAATATGTGGAACAGACTGACAGTGACTGGAGGGGAGGCAAGAGGGGGATAATGGGAGAAAGGAGGGGGAGGGTCTAGTTAAAGAACACGTACGAATGACGCACAGACAGGGACATCAGTGTGGGCACTGACTGTGGGAGCGGGGGGGGGGATGGGTGGAGGCGGGCAAAGGGGGAAAAACTGGGACAACTGTAACAGAATAACAAAAAAAACCTAATAAAAAAAGTGGGCATAATAATATCCACCTAAAAAGGAAGTTAGAGATTAAATAATATTATTAAAAGCATAGTCCCTAACAAGAACAAGGGGTTCTTTTACCCCTTGTTTCCTACTTGGCCCTTCACACAATTAAAAGTCAAAGTGGAGGATCCAAGATGGTAACAGCGTAGGTGAAGGTCACACTCAGCTCCTCCCAGAACCAAACCAGAATTTCAACTAAATTACAGAACAATCAGCCTGAAAAGTCAAAATGCAGTAGATGAAAACAACGCCATCTCTGTCACAGCCCTGCCTATTGAAAGGTGATAACCCTTAGTCATCTTAGATAACTTCTTGGGGCCCTAGTTTTTGCCTCTGTTGACGAGGGGTTGTGCTGGATGATTTCCCAGGGCCCTCTTGATTCAGATGTGGCTCCTACCCAGGGAGCAGCTTCACCATCTCTCTGATTTCTGATAAGAAGTTCGGCCCTCAAACGATGGGGAATTCTAGAGTCAGACTTGCCAACTTCAAATCCCAACTCTGGCACTTCCTAGCTGCAAGGATACTTAATCTCTGTTTTTCAGTCTCTTCAACAGTCTAATGCGGGGATAATAACAATAGTTCTTGTGAGAACTAGACATATACCTACACTTAAAGAACTCAAAACAGGGCTAGCACGGAGCAAGTGCTCAAGAAATGTTAGCATGTATCATTTTTCATTTTAAAATTTCAATTATACTAAATACTATTACTGCTACTGTCTCAAAATATGAATTCTATAACACAGGGAAGAGCAGGAATTACGGCAGAAATGATTTGCTGTCTGTCATTGTCCATGGATGGTATAGCACTGCTCCAGAGACTTGGTTAGGAACACACTTCTAAGCAGGTGGCAGGAGGCTACAGCCAAACCATACAGCTAACCAGGGCCAGAGTAGCTACTCTAACCCAAGGCCAGTGTTCCTTGGACATACCCCACTAAGCCAGATGTTACTGATTATTAAATTTGTACCTCGTGGCATTTTTTAAAGGGAGTCATGGCTTTTGTAAAGCATCTATTCTAAAATATTACACAGAAATAAAGCTATCACCTGTAGCGATGCTCCTTTAAAATGGAAAGAAAAAAATCAAAATATACTCCCTTTATTCTTACCTTGAATTCTTTAATTCCAGTAAAAATACTGAGTGATGCAATGTCAGTCTCTCCCTTGGGTTTGCAGTCAGTCACAATCTCGATTACCTTATCCAGTGCCACTTTCATTCGGTCAAATACTCCCTCTTTGTTTTTATGGGCCGATTCACAGTTGGGATGCCTGAGACACGTCTTCAAAACAATTGAAGCTTTTTATTTTAAGATTTGATCCATATCCTAACACACAAAATCTTACAGAGAACACGTCATGCTAATAAAAATGGTTCTTTACCAAAATCTCCCGGGTCCCTGGCTCACCCAGCTGCTTCTCCTCACTACACGTGGAAGCAGGACGAGTAAAAAGCGATAGCAAGGTTAAGTGAAAAAGGCAGAGTGCAAAGCTGTATCTTTATACTTCAGTAATCAGTTTACTTAAAATTTTTGGAAAAAAACCCTGTATCTTATCTTTAGCATGATTAGAAATATTTTTAAATGTTGCCTTACAGGTGCAGGAACTACAAAAGAATGAGGAAAAATGAACAGATGATACATGACTGTGGCTGTATCTTGGAGTTTTTAAAAGTGATGTAAATGAAAAACTACTCAAGGGCTTAGACACAAACAGAGGCTTCCACGTGGGCTCCAGTGAGATATGTTTTTGTGGCTTTAGTGATCCCAGCAGAGTAAATATTCTGAGCAGAAAGAGCAATTCTAACAAGATGTTTACTAGTTCATTCTTGAATTGTACCCATTTGCTGGCCAACTGCTGTTTGGAATCACAAGCTCTTGACTGACAGCGGTGTTTAAAGTAGGATAAGGGATTAGAGATATGAATTTACAGAATAAACAAGCTAAGGGCTGACTTAATACGCCACTGTTACTTAACAGATTCTAACTTGCCTAGCCTGTGCTAGAGGTACGTGTGCTGGCTCCCCAAGGAGACTGGCAAAACCCGCAGGCAGTGACCATATGGGACAGGCCTCTATTCCCTGCACCTAATATACCATCTTCTGCTTAGGTGCTCAAGCAAAGATGACTCATGGGTTAATTGCTATTTGGAACCGGGGAAGAAAGTTAGCGTTCTTACTAAAAAATAACTGAGATTCAAACTAGGAGAGCCTATATTCCAACTTATCACTCTGATCTTTTAAAAAATGTAAAATATTTAAATTAGATGTACTTCATCAGGTTCTCTAGTTAATTTACAACACAGTAAGACAAAACATTTTCTTACCTTTGAAGCTGTGAGAAGCATCATTGTACACTTTTCAAGCACTGCCCTAGCTGCTGCCATTTTTGCCTTTTTCTTTTCATCTTTCAGATCCTAAAAAGGAAATAGAATCACCGAGCAGTCTAGGATCATGTGAACAATACAATTTCTTGAAAAATCATTTATTCAACAACGACAATACTCAACAATTAAGTAACAGGATTTAAAAAGTGACAAAGTGAAAAGAAACAGAATAAAGTTTTACAAAATGTCACCTAAATACATGAACAGGATAGAGTGGAGCAAAACAGCTGCCCTTATGAAGGGCGCCAGAGCCAGGGACTGAGACCAAGGGAGAGGCTGCCACCTGGCTCACGCTCTGGTCGCCTGCCACACCTGACATCTCGTGCCATGAGGACACACCTCACTCCTAACCATAAATCATCTCCTTATGCTTTTCTTAAATGAATGTGATTCATTTATTGAGCATCTATGGGCTATTATTTCCTTCAGAATAGACACTTAAAGTCAACTCTTTCAGGGACCATGTCTAATTAATTCCATCTAAGTACTTACTCATGTCAACACAAGGTTTGTTCGTCCTAAATTTAACCAACACGCTGCTCTGAAATGTTTTTAAGATGTTTCATAGATATATAATCTCTCCCAACTAGTAATGAACTCTGAAGCAAGAACTGTATTTTGAACTTTTTTCTTTCAGTCCTTCCTCATTGAGCCCTTGATGGCATGTGCGCTATCACAGCAGTGCTGAGTGTTGCTCAGCAAATCTAGAACCAAATACTCCTCCTAACAATTTGGTTATGACCAACTAAATCAGAGGTCAGCATGTATTTTCAATAAAAGGCCAGACAATAAAATTTTTAGGCTTTCTGAGACCTAAAGTTTGAGAATGATTTGGCTTTTATTTGTTTTAGTAAATGTTTATAGTAGAGTCAAAGTTATCCCTATCATATCACTCTCATTCAGTTGCATCCCAATATAGCTTTCTTTAAAGGAAAAGGAACTGCCCATAAACCAGAAGTTAATTCAGTTCACAAGGTCACATCCCAAAGGACTGTGTCCTACAGAGGAATATCATCCATCATGAGTATTTAACAAAACCAAAAGTCAAAATCATTTCAAATTTCCCCTTTGTCTTTGACATGCTGAACAGGACGTTTTGCAAAAGAATCTATGGGTCTAGCTGACAATGCACTAAGTGTGTTTGCCATATGTAACTCCTGTAAGCCTCATACGATAGCATATATTGTATGGTGATGGCCAGTGATGGAAAAGGTGGCATCTCAATCCCTTACGGGGCTGGTTCACAGGACAAAACAGAGGCTTCCATAAACCCCAGGTGGTCCCAGAAGCACTAAGTGAGGCATCAGGGTCTAGTCTGCCACTTTCCGGGCCAAAATCCATCTTCCAACTCCAGCTGCAACCAGGAACGTTCACAGCCCAGACTAGAGCCAATGGGACTATACCAAAGCACCCCAAGAAAAAGTCAATTATTATGTATTCAACTTGCTGACAAGATAGATTCAGGTACAAAGACCCCAGCAAGGAAAAGTCAATCCTGGATATAATATGGTCTTCTACCCTCCTCAGTTTCAGAACTGGTAAGTGTGAATCGGGAAAGAGATCAATAAAGAACTAATATCACAGTTCAGTTTGAAAACTATAGGCCTTAGAATCTATAGGCCTGAGTTTGATCTGCTAGAAGCATGACCTTGAAGAAGTTTATTATCCTCTCAGGTCCAGTTTCCTCACGCATGAAATAGCAATGACAAGACCTACTCTATAGGGATGTTCTGAGAATTAAAGGTGGTCATGGGCGTTAAGTGCCTAACACACAGTCAATGCAAATAAATCATGGCTTGGGTTATTACTATTAATCTAATGTAGAATAATTACAGAAAGCTGTAATAACAGAATAATACATAAACATTACAGAAAGAATAATAACAGACATACAGCAAAATACTGTTAAGACTACATATGACTTAGTTATTGTCTGAGCCCTGGTCAAAGAGTCAAATGGAAAGTTTCACAAAAGAGGAAGTACTTGAGTTGGGCCTTGAAGGCAAGTATGACCTTCCCAGTGTGTGAGATGGGAACAAATAACTGTTATATGTGCACAGGAGAAATGTGCATGTATTTGAAAACTTTAAAATGTGGTAAACACATACATTTTGTCTGTCTCCAGTTAGATGTGCAAACTCCACCATTTCATTTCCAAATTGACTGAATATTTGGACAAACTCTTGAAAGCTATTCACTTTCTCCAGTCTTTCCATAGTTGCAAGAACCTGCAAAACAGAGTATTTTAGTATCTGGTGTAGATGTGAAAGAGACTGAGATGTCAAGGCTACGCAGAGAGAGTTAAAAAGAGAAATTTTCAATTTGAGGGGAAAGCTGAGAGGGAGGAGTCTGAGAAGAAGTCAGGCAGCAGAAGCAGAAGCAGATTCAAAGGTTGGAATCATCGAGGGGATGATTTGCTTTTAGGATGGAGAGACTTGGAATGACTTGAGAATGAAAAGGAAAAAGCTAAAGAAATGACTAATGTACAGGAGAATATATACAAGAAAATATGCAAGAGAAGAAATCACTTATGTAGCAAATTCTGGAGAAGGTGAGAATGGGTAGGACCAACGTAACTAAATCTTCAGAGGATGAGCAAGGGAGTGAGCATAAGAGACGGTCCACAGAAGCTTTACGGTTCAGTTAACCAGAACTGGGAAACCCCGTTCTCCTCAGGACAGGGGAGGGAATGTATCTGCAGAGAGAGGAGTGGAAAGGGAGGCTTGGGAACTTCAAGAACAGGAAAACAGTGTGGCTCGGTCAGGAATAGTCTGTGTTAAATAAAGTAATTGCCAAGAAGCTTTGGGCAGCCAGGGGTGAAGAGGGAGCAAGAATCTACAGTAGAGGCAACAGAAAATGTCCTGTGTATTCTTCAAATGAGAAATAAAGTAAATAGATGTGAAACACAGTTTCAAATGCTTTTCTCTAAAATAACACTACTGGATTAGTTTTAGTCAGACCCAGATAGGTAAAGAAAACACAGATATCCTGTGTTTACTTATTTTTAATGAGGATATGATGGATGTTTGGCGTGTTAATCTGCCCTGGCAGCTCAGGAAGTGCAGGCGACTAGCACAGATAAGGCGATTGATTGCCACACCACCACTGAGCAGAACCTCTGTCTTTCAAAGACAGGGGGGTTATTTTTATTCCTCCGGCACTGCCCAATCCATTCCCCTCTCCAATTTCTTTTTCCCTTTAAACTTACACTTGTGGTTAACGCAACACTCACCGGGTAGCTTTGTCCCCAGACCCTATGGGGACCATCCTTTCCTTGGCTGATAGCCCTCCTCCTTGCCTAGTGAATTACCCAGGGAAGAAGTGATTCTATACACCCTGGCTTCCGGGATGATCAAGGAACACCATTATCTGAGACACTGGAAGAATTTAAATCTATTCTCTAAGTTTTGTAATCATTCAGTAATATTTAGGGACTTTGCATAGAGAAATTTCATAGTGTAGATAGATGTGGCTTCAGGAAACTGAATATTTTCTTAAGCTTATCAGCTGTTACTCTGTGACTTGGAAAAAAGGCACTGAGGAATTCAGCATTTTTATCAGTTAGGTTTCTACTACATGCATTGTCATGATGTTCAGCTTTTCTTCCAGATTTGTATACAGAGAAGTCTTTCAACAATAAGCCTCAATGAGTAGATAATAAGTTTTCTAAGAAAAAGTTTAGTCCCAGTACACATATCAATTAGGAATTAACAGGTATAGAAGAAATACCACTTTCAAGTTATAGACAATTAGAGTTATAATTAAACAATAATTACAGAATTAAATTGTTAATTAAACAATTAAAATAGACAAGCATTGACAAATTACCTACAATTAACCAAAAAAAAAAAACCCAAAACAACAAACCAACTTTTCAAGCAACCCTGAAAGACCCAGTATAGAAACACCAGAAAGGAAGTACCTTGTTTCTTGATGTTATTATCTGCTTAATGACCACGCGGTCTGCCAGCAGCAACACTTTTGTCACTGAAGAAAGAAGTAATCTTGCAGCCTTTATAACTCCTGTTTTGTCTGTAAAAATTGTGATCTGGCCACCAGATTCTGCATGATTCAAGTTGCTTACATCTGTAAGCGCTGCAATTGTTTCTCCTAAAAAGAAAGTCAAGGGAGAAATGTCCAGTTGGGAATAAGGCACACTTAAATTAAAATCCAGACTCCTCTCTAACCTTGTGGGTCATGTGCATGATGGGTAGAAGCTTGGCTTCATGGTTGTCACTTTTAATTTATGTGTAACTAGCTTGTGTTGGACCTTAACGTAAAACCCAAAGTCAGCCAAATACAAATATTTATTGAGCTCCCACATAAAATATAAAACTTGACTAGTAGCCAAGTAAAAAGTGAAAACACACGGCAAGAGTTTAACACAGGGAAAGAAAAGTAAAAAATAATAATTATAACAACGACTACTATTTATTGAGTATTTTCTATGGGCCAAATGCATATATGCATCATAACAAAACACTTCTATAAACACTATTATTGTCCCTATTATATAGGTGAGAAAACTGAGGTTTAAAAAGTTTACTGGCTTGCCCAGTATCACACTGCCAGCAAGTGGAAGAGTTGGGACTAAAATACAGGCATTCTAACTCCAAAGATCCAGTTGTTTATCACTATTTTATACCATTTCCCTCAAAAAATACTAAAGGTCCGGAGGAGAAAATGATTACTATGGGATGAGTGGGCTACAAACATCTCAGAAGTGATTTAAGTCTTATATTTGTACATCTTAAGAGAAAATAGAGCTTCCACATTATCCAACTGTAGGAGGCACCATTCTCATACTCTTACCTGAGTGTCTGTAAGAGGCAGTTCTCAAGATGGGAAAGGACACTTCAGATGAGAAGAGACAGGATGTGGAGCCCATGACATCAGGTGGCTTCCTAAGACTCATATATGGGGTTGCCTAGGCTTATAGTACTTTCAGAGTACCAACCACAGTCTACTTGGGTCAGGGTACCATGTCTCTTTCCTCACCCTACACTGAGCACAGTGACACACTACAAAGCCACTAAGGTGAGCGGGACTCAGAATACCCTTCATTAGAAGACTCTACTCTTGCTTTAATTAAGGGTTGCTGTAAGAAATAGCAATATGAAGATCATCTCTACATTTTCTATTAAATTGTCCATTGCATTATGCAATGGCTTTTGTGTAAGTGCCCACACAATAATTTAGTGGCAGAAAAAAAAGTTGCTCTCCTCTTGACAAGCAGCTTTGTTTCCTTTCAACCGTGAGGATTATATAACCCTTTCTTTCCCACATTTCTGTCTTGCCTTTCAGGAAGTACAAACATAAATTTCATGCATAATTAGAATAACAGTGTTGGCTGAAGTTTCTGGTTTATTTTCATCTCCTATTTTAATAGGTTTATTGAACATATATCTTTGTTTATAAGCTACTTCAAATCCTTTTAAATATGTAGACAATATAAATAGAATATGGGCCACTCCCCCATCCTCCACATACAATGTATTCTCTACCCTGTGAATGGCTAGAAATCCAGGAGTCAAACCAGAATCCTCCCTTTCCTTCAGTTAATAACCGAGTTCTAGCTGTTTAACCACCTGAGGGAGTAGTCTGTGTACCATGCCTGCTCTGTATATCACGGTGACATGGCCTTGCCTGTAAGAGCTTCCATATTATGGTCCCGGTCTTCCGTCTCAACTCTCTCTCAATCAGCCCGCATTTGTTCATTTCCTCCACGCTACCAGAAAGATTTCGAACACAAAGCTCTATGTCTTTCATCTGGCTCCAAAGTCCTCAAACTGCCACCTACAGAATGATACCCAAAGTCATTCATGTAACACACAGAACCGTGTGTAATCTGGTTGGCCTCTCCGCGTCAGCTGGGCCTTATCTCACCCACTCCCTTGCCCCCATGGCTCTCCAGAAACACCTGCTCCTCGCTCAGAGTCGCCTGTGGCAGCGAACAGCACCGTCATTTACCCAGCTGTTCACACTCAAACCCTGACTCCTCTTTCATCGCATCCCACAAGGAAACTATCAGCATCACAATGACAATACAGCCAAATGCAACCTCTTTTCACCACCTCAAATGCTATCACCTGGTCCAAGTCGCCGTGATCTATCACCTGAGCCAAGGGCAACAGCCTCTTCACTGGTCTTTCTGACCTCACCCTCAGGCCTCCTAACACCTGTTCTCCATACAGGAGCCACCAGCCATCCTTTAAAATATAAATGTGGTTATGTCACCACCCTACTCCGAACCTCCCACTAGCCCCCCCTGTTACACTTAGAACACCATCCAAAGTTCCTATCTTTGCCTAGATGGTCATACCTGGTTTTACTCTTCTCTTTGCCAGGCATGCCCTTCCCCCAGATATCCACATAGCTGGGCTCCCATTTCACCACAGCCTCTGCTCCAATGTTACTTTCTTAGACAGACTTCCTGACCGCCTATCTCAGTAGTTCGCAACTGGGAGCCATTTTGACCCTGCAAAGGACATCTGTCTGAAAGACATTGTGGATTGTCACAATGGGGGAAGAGAGGAGCTACTGGGATCTAAGAGGTAGACACTAGGGATTCTGCTTAACAGTCTAGAGTGCACAGGAAAGTTCCTGCCCCCAACAAAAAATTATCCACAAGCAATTATCCAGCCTGAAGTGTCGATGGCATCTACCCTCTCTAAAATATACTTCCATTGGTTTCCTAACCCTTACGCTGCTTTGTCATTTTCTCCATGATAACTACCACTACCTGACATTATGTATGTACTTACTCATTTGTTTATGGTCTCACTCACTGGATGGAAGTAGGTCTCCCTTATTGGATAGAATCCAAGCTCCATGAGGGCAGGCTTTTGACTAATTTGTACACAGCTATATCCCTATGGCCTAGAAAAATGCCTGGCACATATTCATGAAAAAATAAATGAATAAACAATACTTCAATAAAGCTGAATCTACCAAACACCCCAGGTTCTCTCAGGCTCCTCAGCTACCAGCTATGGATAATTTGTGAGACATCATGAACTTTCAAATAACTATGGTTTGTCTGCTGTAGGATACAGGCACATGTTAATTTTTATTTCCATTTCATGCATGGTGACAAGTAGGCTCATATGCTCCTCAAAGGTGGAGTCCACACCTCACACTCCTCTCTCTCCCACATTTCAGTGGCTGACGGTGGTAGTCTACTACCCTGCCCAGTGAAAGAGTTCAATGTTTCAGATTTAGGACTTGAGCCAAGAGAATTTCGATAGTCTTAGAAGCTAATGCAGGCCTTTAATGTCCCAGGCATCTGTAATCATAAGGCTAAATCACAGTGCACATCTTTATGCAAAATAAGACAATAATTTATCATCATATCCAAAGCAATAAAATAGCTATAAACAGGCTTCGATATCAATACCCACATACCTGCTTGCTTAGCTTCAATACAGGCAATGTTTATTTCTTCTTTCAAATCCCAGTTTTCATTGGCTATTGCTTCCCCTACTTTAACAAATCTTCCGACTGCCAAGTTGACGGCTTGTCCTACGCGCTGAATTGCTTGCAGAGTTTTATCAGACTTTTTGGTATTATCTTTATGATTGATAAGTGTGGTAATCTAAAAATAGAATATAACAGCAACTTGTTTAAATTTTACTTCAATAACTTTTTTTTAAGCTAAATCACAAAGGCCAAGTAAATTAAGCCTGGTGTACCAGACTAGGCTAATAGACTAAATTGATAGTTCAGTGCTTCAACCCAGAGGCAACCAGGAAAGCATCCTGCATCCCTCCTCAGGACAACGTTTCCATTAATAACAATCCCAAGTTTATGAGAGGGCAGATACCTGGGGCATACACTTTCAGAAACCCTCCAGATAGTTTAACAAATCTTTAATAAGACAGGAGAAAAGTAGCAGAGGCTAGATCACTACAATCAAAAAATCCACAGAAAATCAAAGCACTTCAGGTCTAGAGTCCTCTGCTATAACTTGAGCTGCCATGAAGGTATAGGCAGTATCTTCACCTTGCATCCCACTCCACTGCCTAGTTCACAGCTTGTACAAAATGGTATGTGTGCCATACATGTTTACTGAATTAAACAGGTACTGAGAATGACCATTATAATCTATGTTTTGTGCTTCCCTGAGTTTTACTGTACACTCAAAATAAATGAAATGCCAAGAGTCTGGACACCTGCTTCCAGCCCCTGAAATAAAATACAAAAGGCGATGAGCTGGTTGAAACAAAGATAAATCTTCAAGAGGTCTTACAAAATTAGCACATGAACCCTGCCAACATCTAAAATTATTTCAAGCATGTTGCATAGAGAATATAGATCCCAAATAGTACATGTCCACTGAGCATAACTCTGAAATGACTTCTATAAATGTATTAACAAAGACGAGACAGAGAATTAAGAGAAGAGGGAAGGAATCCCTCTCTGAGCAATAATCGTGTGCCAGGCACTTTACATGCTAGGGCATTAATAGCTCAGAATCAGGGAGGCCTGGCTGTGAGCCGTGGCCCTGCCGTTACTAGCTAAATGACCTACGGAAATTGGATCTCTCTAAATTTCCTCACCTATAATATTGTTGTTCAAATTTTGATTATTTCCTAGATGCCACATTCTGAGGATGCATCAGTAAACACTACAATGCTGCCTCCATTTGGCTAACAGTCTAGTAGAACAATAGTAATAATAATTGAATCATATAAAATGTATTTGTTGTGCAGCTATCATATGCCAAGTAAAATTCTGAGTAATGACGGAACTCAGCAGTTAATGAGAAAGGCCCACGCTTTCATGGAGCTCACCTTCTAGTGTCTGGGAAGATACAAGAATCACATAGATAGCTCAACAAAATTTTTTTAATATACGTGCTATGCAAAAATATTAAAATAGGATAATGTTATAGAAAGTATGTGTAGCTACTTGTAGCTGCTCTTCCTTCAGGAGAAAATGATGTGTAAGCTGAAACCTAAATGATATCAAATAGCCAGGCTGGCAAATATCGAGGGGATAAAGCATTCTAAGGAGAAGAAATCATTGTTTAGAAAAAGGGGATCACCTAAGGAATGAGGTAAGTCCAGAAGTGGTTAAAGAACGGTGGGCCAGAGGGCAAATATAAAACTGACATCCAACAGGTAGGTATGGCCCAGCTCTTAAGGCTGCACATTGGAGTAAAGAGTCGTATTTTATTGCGTGATAGAAAGTCACTGGAGGGTTTTTAAGGAGGAAAATTATAAACTCTCTAGTGGTTTTGAAGTGTCTCCACAGATTCTTTGCTATTTCACCTTTCGAGAGGTGGAGTCTCAGTCCTCTCTCAAGTATGGGCTGAACTTAGAACCGCAGAAAGCAGAAGGGACAGTATGTTACTTTTGAAAGCAGTAGGTCACTTTTTAATGACACTTCGATTCCCATCCTTCTCTGAGATTACTTGCTTCCAGGGAAAGCCGGTGGTCATGTCGGGAAGGCGACTGACCAGCCTGGTGCAGGGGCTGCTGTAACCGGGCACCGAGGCCTCTGACCAACACACACGAGTGGTCTGGAACCACCCCGGCGAGCCACTCCCAAATTCCTGACACTCATAGAAACCAAGAGAAGAAATGTTGGTTGATTTAAACCATTAGTTTGGGGGCCATTTATTTTGCTGCAGTAATAACTAATGTGACCCCGAATGTATGTTTTTAACACGAACATTCTCTTCTAGGGGAAGAGTGGATTGCTGAAATGGCACAAGTGGGAACAGGGGGACCAGTTAGAAAGCTGTTGCAATAATCCAGGTAAAAGGTCACATTGGCTTGAAACCAGGAGGCAATAGTCAAGATGGAAGAAAATGGACTATTTGGAGAATGTCTTGAATATACAGGGTCTGGCAGAAGCAATGCCTGCTTGAGTGTCGTTGGTAGGGTAATAATATGGGTGTAATGATCTATAGTTTTAATTTGAACATTTCACCTAAAATGTCATATGGTGTGTTTGAGTGTGATATTGTTATGTTACAGAATACCTATGATTTTGTAGTAAAAGATTTTGTAATTAAAAAAGGGGCGTTGTTTGTGCTGGACCCTGTATATGACTTGCTTCATGAATTAGATTAGTGTAGTCAAAGGCCTCCAAATTTGTGGCATGAGAAAAAGCATACATTGACAAAACATTAACATCCTTGTGTGGCAGGCACAAAAAAAAGTGTTTTGCATAAGTAATCTATTTTAATCTTCACAATAATGTTAGGACCTAGACACTACATTATCCCCTTTTTACAGGAAAGGAAACTGACATTAAAAGATGTGTTTTTAAGATATCACAGATATTAAGCAGTAAAGCCAAGATTCAGTCAGATAATTTGACTCTGAGGCCATACTTTTTCTCAAGCTTTACTGAGATATAATTAACATATGACATTGTATAAGTTTGTATACAATGCGATGATTTGATACATGTGTATATTGCAAAGCCTTCCACAATATACTGCAAATGATGACCGCAATAGAGTTAATTAACAACTCCATCACCTCATGCAATGTGTGTGTAAGCATGTGTGTGGTGGGAACATTTAAGATCTACTGTCTTAATGACTTTCAAGTGTGTAATAGAGTATTTTTAACTACAGTCACCATGCTGTACATTAGATCCCCAGAACTTACTCATTTTATAACTGGAAATTTATATCCTTTGACCAACATCTCTTCATTTCCCCCACCACCGAGCCCTTGGCAACAATAATACTATATCCTTTTGCTTGGCTTTTTTGGTTTCCACATAAAAGTGAGATCAAATGGTATTTGCCTTTTTGGTCTGACATTTCACTCTAACACACTGTCCTCAAGTCCCAGCCATGTTGTTGCGAATGGCAAGATTTCCTTCTTTCTCAAGGATGAATAATATTCCATTGTATATATATATACCACATCTTCTTTATCCATTCACCCACACAGGGGCTCTTAGCTGGTTTTCACAGATTGGCTATTGGGAATAATGCTGCAATAAACATGGGAGCACAGGCTATCTCTTCAAGATCTTGATTTTATTTCTTTTGGATATATACTCAGAAGTGGGATTACTGGATCATATGGTATTCAATATTTCTTTTTCTTTCTTTCTTTCTTTTTTTTTTTTTGAGGAACCTCCATACTGTTTTGCACAGTGACTGGACCAATTTCCAGTCCCACCATCAGTGCACAAGGGTTCCCTTTTTTCCACATCCTCACCAACACTTTGTTATCTCACCTGCTAGAATAGGTGCAAAATGACATCTCATTGTGGTTTTAATTTGCACTTCCCTGATGATTAATGATGTTTAGTACCTTTTCATATATCTGTTGGCCATTTTTGTATGTCTTCTTTTTAAAAATGTGTATTCAATTTCCCTGCCCATTTTTACATCAGGTTGTTTGTTTTGCTATTAAGCTGTATGTGTTCCTTATGTATATTTTGGGTATTGACCCCTTTATCAGATACATGGTTTGCAAATATCTCCTTCTGTTCTGTAGATTTTCTTTTCATTCTGTGGCTGATTTAATTTGCTGTGCAGAAGCTTTTTAGTTTGATGTTATCCCACTTGTTCATTTTAGCTTTTGTTACTTGTATTTTTGGTGTCATATACAACATTGCCAAGACCAATGTCAAAGAGATTTATCCCTATATATTCTTCTAGGAGGTTTACAGTTTTATGTACGACACTTCAGTCTTTAATCCACTTCAAGTTAACTTTTGTGAGAGCTGTAAGATTTTTGCCTGTGATTAACCGGTTTTCACAACCCCATTTATTGGAGAAACTCTTCTTTCCCCATTAAGTGTCCTTGGCTCCCCTGTCAAAATAATAGTTGACTGTGTATGTATGGGTTTATTTCTGGGCTCTCAATTCTGTTCCATTGGACTAAGTGGCTACTTTTATGCCAGTACCATACTATTTTAATTACCATGTAGTATAGTGTGGAATCAGGACATGTGATGCCTCCAGATCTGCTCTTCTTTCTCAAGATCGTTTTGGCTAGTTGTAGTCATTTGTGAGTTGATACAAATTTTAAGGTTGTTTTTCTATAAAATGACATTGAAATTTTGAAAGAGGTTGCCTAGCATCTATAGATGGCTTTGGGTAATATGGACATTTTAATAAAATTAATTCTTCTGATCCATGAACATGAGATATCTATCCATTTATTTGTATCTTCTTCAAATTCTTTCATCAAAGTTTTAGAGTTTTTGTTATATAAATCTTTCACCTCCTTGGTTAAATTAATTCCTAAGTATTTTATTGTTTTTGATGCTGTTGTATCTAGAATGGTTTTCTTTATTTCTTTTTCAGGTATGCTGTTGTTAGCATATAAAAACACAACTGATTTATGCATATTGACTTTTAAAAAATTAAATTTATTGAGGTAACATTGGTTAATAACATTATATAAATTTTAGGTACTCAATATTATAATTTGATATCTGTATACTCTCTTGCATGCTCACTACCAAAAGTCTAGTTTCTTTCCAATACTATATAACCCAAGAAGAATGTTGAACAGGGGATAGCATGCTACCTTTATTTTCTATTTTTTAATTTTTAGTTTTAATTATAGATGATTGTATGTTGATTTTTTTAATCCTGCAACTTTGCTAAAT